ATATGATTGTATAAGTTGTTTTGTAACTTTTCTAAACTGTCTTTACGAATTTGGTGACATGGATTCCATACAGTAGATGAGTATTTCAGAATAGGTCGAATCAAAGAGTGAAACAATAATAAAAAAAATTCAGGTTTTTTAAATTCTTTACTTACTCTAAGAATAAATCCGACGATAAGATAAACGATAAGACCTATGTGTTTATCGAATAGTAATTTAGAGTCAATAGTAATTCCCAAATCTCGTATATCCAAAACTCTGTTAATCGGGGTTTTATTTAACTGATAATTATAAAGGATAGGATTTATTTTACGTGAAAACGTTATATTGTTACATTTCTTTATGTTTAAATATACAGAGTTAAGCGCACAATAATTACAAAAATTGTCTATAGGACCGTTCAAATATTACGTAAGCACTATGGAGGGGCGGGGGGGGTCTTTGCTTTGCTTATTTTGGATGACATGGGGGGTAGGGGAGTCTAGGTATCGATTGTGTCATAGGTAGTTATTTACTTTGTTATCATCACATCGAGAAGATCCATAAAAAAATATAATTATTTTTTTTATGGATTTATATTAAAAAAATACAATAATTGAAAATTGTTACGTAAGCATGGGGGGGGGTAAGAGCTTGGCTTACTTTTGCTGACAAGGGGGATGGGGGGTAAATAATTGTAATAATTCTGCTTACGTAATACTTGAACGGCCCCTATGTCTAATTGTAGGACTTTGCAATCGTTAATAGTTTTTATAATTTTAAAAATTTTAGTGTCATCTGCATATAAAAGGATATTTGAATTCTTGAAATTATCAATAATATCGTTTATAAAAATATTGACAAAGAGAGGTCCTAAACGATGAACAGAAACCTTTAATCGGTACTGCTTGACTTCTTTCACGCAAATAAGATTCAACGCATCTAAGAAGGCTACCATGTACACCGAATCTTGCCAATTTACTCAGCAATATTTTATGGTTTATTTTATCGAATGCCTTCGAAAAGTCAGTGTACACTGCATGCACCTGAAAACCTGATTCCATTGCCCTGATAGTTTTATCAGTAAATTCGATTAAATTAGTTTCCGTCGACTTCTTATTCATAAAACCATGTTGTTCAGTAACTAAATGATGACAATGTTTTTCCTAACAGGAATCGTATATAATTTTTTCAAATAGTTTAGGAATCGTTGAGAGGTTCGAAATGGACCTGTAATTTTTAATGTCGTGCTTATCGCCAGATTTCAATATAGGTACAATAAAACATTGTTTCCATATTTTAGGCATAGCTCCTGACGAAAGAGACAATTTGAATAAAACAGAAAGTCCTGTACTAATATTAAATCAGCATTTTTTTAGAAAAATGGGTGGTACCCGTCAGGCCCGGTTCCCTTAGTTATATCCAAATTCTTAAGGTATGAAAGAACAATAGAAGGAGAAATATCTACAGAAATAATGCTAACTACATTTTCATCGTAGTCATCTAGTTCAGGAGAGCGATTATTTAAATTTGATTCAAAAACCGAATGAAAATATAAATTGAACAAATCACATATTTTATAACCAACTGAAGTAGAGATACCATTAAGAAACATGGTGCTTGGAACACACTTACTATTTCTTTTAGAATTCACAAATTTCCAAAATACCTATTATTTTTACGTATTTGAGTTTCAGCATTATTCTGTAGATAAACACTCATCTTGGATACGTTTTTGTTTTTTTCTGAGTAAGGATAATGCATCGTAATCAGAAGTGGCACCATATTTCTTCCATTTCTTGTGGTATTTTAATTTCTCATTAGCAACTTTAATTAGGGGTTTAAAGTACCATATTGGAAATCTACCATCGATCCCATAAACTAAATTTCAGTGTAAAATCCCAATCGAGGGTCGAGTGTGTTCTAATCGTGACGTGTGATGTTCCCAGAGCATGAACCACAGCAGTAACGAGGTGAAGCAGCTGATGGCGCGCGCGTGCACGCTGGTGGGGCGCGCGGGGTGCGCGGACACGCGCGGGCCGGGCGCGGACGTGCTGCGGGCGCTGCTGCCGGCCCTCGTCAACGGCACCAAGGAGAAGAACTCGTACGTGCGGGCCAACGCTGAGATCGCGCTCCGGGCCGTGCTGCGACTCACGAACGACGACAGCTTCTACCAGGTCAGTGACTACGGCTGATATCGAAAAGAATGACTGGTACTTGGACTATCATCACGAGGGAACCGTCTCATGTGGTGACTGAGAGATAGGACTGTTGATATTTTTTAAATTATCGGATCGATATATCGATTTTTTAAATATATCAATATCGGAGTTCGATAAAGGGAAAAACAATATTGATATTTCGATATATCGGCTTTATTTTTAAAAAAATCGTAAGTCTGCTCAAAAATTTTTACACAATTTAGAGTCCAGTAGATTTATTAAACAAATTAATTTATGAATGTACATAAGTATTAGGTTATAGTTCGTAGTAATTATTTTTTAAATTTAAGTAATATTTTTAATTTATTTAATTTTATTATACCAGCATTTTTCAGTAAGAGTTTTTAAAAATACTCTTTGTTTTATATGTTCAGCTGTTTGGCTGCTACGATTTTTAGGCACTAAAAGATTAAAAGACTAAAAGACACAGACTAATCTATATAGATCCTAGAGGTAAAGATACTGACGATGCTAAGCTGTGAACGTTGACAGCGACAACAAATTTTTAAAAAATTAAAACAAAAAATTTCACGAGTAAAAAATTTTAAGAATTATACCTGGAATTTTTGAAAGATGGTTTATTACTTCTAATTAATAAAAAACATCAAAAATTATTGAATGTCGGCTAACCTAATTTTCATAAATAAAATACGGCAGATTAAGTTAAAAACGATTTTGTAGATTAAATAAATTACGAAAAAACATTAAGAATAATTTTTTTATAAAAAAAATATCGACCATCGATATCCACATTTCAATATCGAACTATCGATATATCGGCCAAAAAAATATTAGTAATAAATATCGATACAGTAGGACCTCGATTATCCGGACTAATTGTTGTCGGTAGGCATCCGGATAATTGAAAGTCCGGATAATCCAATATATGAAGAAAAACGGGCTTTTTGCATATGTACACATGTAGTCTGTACCAGTGGCGGCTGTACCTTAAGTGCACTCGTGCGCTGAACCGCCAATTCAAAAGATTTAAAAATTACAAAATGTAAAGTTATGTTAAGTTAATATTTATTTTTTAAACATATAAAAAAGTATAAAAAATTAAATTTCCTAATTATGCTCAAAAAGTTTGATTGCTCTACTAAACTAATATCGTGCGCTTCGGCGAGTGCACGAGGACGGCTAATACATCTTGTATGAGATGCGAGTTAATACGCCTGACGCGTGAGACAAAAGATACTTCATAGAAATGTACCGAGTAATGAGTCGGTTCTTGATTGACATCTCGTTATATTGTTTTGTTGCATTTTCTAATTTTAATATTTTAGTAAAGTGCACCACCGGGTGGATTACCCACCAGCCGCCACTGTGAGCGAAAATCAACGTTTATTAAGAAATTGTACATAATGTACGTATAAGTGTTATATGTGGCGTGGCGTTATGCAAGTTCTGACATGTTAATGTTAGAATAAACTCGTCGCGATTGGCAGTCCGGATAATCGCGAATTCGGATAACCGAGGTCCGGATAATCGGGGTCCTACTGTATTTTGGAATAATAATATCGATATTTCGATATATCGATATTTTATCAACAGTCCTACTGAGAGATACCTTCAAGTATATAGTCTATCGCCACAAGTGTGTGTTTATATGTGTGTTATAATCGTCAGCAATGTCTGTCGCTGCTGGAGGAGGGCGGGCGGGAGGCGCTGGCGGACGTGGTGGCGCGAGTGTTGCGGCGCGCGCCCGCTGACGGCAGAGACGAAGACCTGGACTGTACCCTCATCACCTGAGGAGAGGCGCCCGCTGAACACACTTATAAATATACCTTTATAAATACTACTAAACTCGTTTCATTTAATGGTCGCTAGCTCCTTCTTAAATCGGTATATATTAAAATAACTGAATAAAGTCAGTTGATATATCAGACGACTTGTCTAATGAAATGTAAAATATCAACTTCTATTAATAAATTAAGATGGTACTAACTCTGAAGACACATTTAGTGTCATGTGTTTATCATAACTTTATCGAAAAGTCAAAATACTTTAAAAAACTAGTACATATTACTATTAGGAGCAATCAATTTATTCATCGTTGTATGTAGCCGGTGATTCGAGGTTCAAGGAAAAGTTGAATTGAGACGACACTAACAAGTGTAGTATAGGTTACCACACTGAAAGGAAAGAATTCTAGAAAATACAACCAAAACTCGAGCTTCCATAACAAAGTATGCATTAATACTATACTATTGAAATATTTTTTAAGAATTACTTATTACCTTTAAAATTTTATTTCATGCATTTTTTTTTGTAAGTGAAATTAACATGTAAGGATTATAAACTGCATAATTTTTTGAAGTTAAACTTCTTTACGCACGATTGACTTGGGAGTAAGCTAGTTAAAGCGTTACGAAGTGTGAAAATAAAAAGAACTATATTTTTAAAAATATTAATTTATCAATGACAACCCATAATTAATTGACATATCGGTACAAAATTAATGTGTATAAGTATATACTTTTAGAGGTGGTAGAGCCTAGCTGTATTCAAGTTACTGCAGATTGAACATAGGCTGGCACAGATAATCGGTGTGAAAAATGACTCAAAAACTATTAGTACTTACGAAAGTAGTAAATTATCAATTTTTATTACGCGGAGACAACAAAATAGTTATTACCTATCGCTCTCGTACCTATTACCTATTAAAGATATCTCATAAAAAAATATGACGGTCATAGCCATGTGGTATGAAGTAAAAAATGTTAGTGATGTCGTAAAAATAAGAAAACAGTTAAATAAAATTTAAACATTTTTATTTATTTAAACATGGCCATATTTTCATCTTGTTGATAGCAGTTCACTCTTAATTTTCGGTTTCTTATCATACGGAATCTCTTCTATAGATGTCACTTCCAAAGGCCTTCTTTTAGCCGTTGTATGTGGTAGTATTTCATTATTTGTAATCGTCTCATCAGACTCGCCAAGTTCTTCGTGCATGTCATCTTCGTCTTTTATTCCAAGAGCATCTTTGTCGCTTGCAGTTTCCTCGAGACAATCAAAATCATCATCTGCCACGTTAATCAACAATTCAGGATCTCTTTTAATCATCACTGGATACAAACTGGGTTTTTCGAAAGTAGTATAAGTTTCTTCAGTCTCCAGCTTCTCGATCCCCTCATAGCTGATACAATGGCCGTATTGATTAACAACATCAACAACTTCTCTCCTGCCCGTTAAATTCTTTAATGTTATGCCTAACATGATGTGCTTTGGTGTTGTTACATGGCCCTTATGGACTGCGAACATCACGTCTTGACAATAAGAGAGTACTTGTTGAGAATATTCCAGGTTTTCGTGACATCCACCTAGAAGTGTTTTGTAAAAGCCCAGTAATTGTGGTGGTATCGAAACGTCTCTCTCTGAATGCTCTGCTGTTATGTTTTTTGTCGGTAACATATTTTTTTCAATTTGCAGTATTGATTTTCTTAGAATTATTGCAGCTTTTTGCAAAGTATTTTCAGTTTCTAAATTTTCAATTATCATATTGTCTAGTGCTCGCAAGTACTTGGGTGCTACAATTCTTTTATTACGAATAGTTAAAAATTTTATATCTTTAGAAAATTGTTTCAACATTTTTCCTTCTAGATGTCGCACAGTAAAGACAGATTTCATTTCAATAGAATTTTCTTTGAAGATATTTTCTAATACATCGGTATATATTCTATGTAAATGTACTAATAAATAACAGCGTCCTTTTTCAATGATATCCTCCTCAACAATGGCACTGATTTCATTAAAAGCTAACTGGTGATAATCTCGATGAAAATGCCAATCACTTTTATTGTATGATCTTTTATAAGAGGGTAGTTTATTATTAAGACTTACTCTACATTGTGAGTGATACAATATGTGTGGACTACAAATTGTTTTTAATTTATTTAATAAGTCTCCAAACTCCTCTCGTCCTTCGAGGTTGGGTAGTAGACTAGATTTGAATTGGTTAATATCAGCTTTATGAAGTGGAAGGTGTTTTGATTTTTTATATTTATTTTTCCTATCACAAAACACACAGACATTTTCATAATTGATATTATTAATTTCCTTTACAGTTAAATGGTCCTGAATTGAATCATTATTTTCACTAACATCTTGTTCACATTTTACAATATATTCTTGAGAAGTTGTAGCTTGAGGTCCTAATGAGTCAGAAGTAAAAGTTAAATTTGATGCCAATGTTTTTGAAGATTCTGTAGAGAAAGACTGTAAATGAAATGGTTCTGTCTTTAAGATAGGTATCAACGACGACGTTGTTGAGCTATCATCTGTAGATACACTGGCAATTTTTTGTTTATCACTGTTATTTATAGATTTTTTAGGTTCCGAAAATATATATTTTTTCATTAGAGCTGTAAAATGGTTATAGCATTCCCTGTGATATCCTTTTCCTGTATACTCATCAGGCACAATATTGTCTTTATATTTGAGATTATGTTTTATTCTGACTTTCAAAGTAAATTGACATTTTCTTAATGTTTTCTCCGAGAACAATATTATTTTACCATCACTTTTATTACACAGAAAACACATTGATGTATCTCCCATGACAACACTTTTTACTGTAATTATATTTTTATTTAATTAAAAAAAAAAACTGCACAATTAATATAAATAATAAAACATTGGTTGTATCTCCTTAGTGCAGACACCAGTTCAATACACCACTCATTACTCAATAGTAACTAACATATATGTCAGATGGTGGCCTCTAAAAGGAGGAGACTAAGCGTTCCATTTCAGTCACACCCGCTTGAACAGTTGTTATAAATTGGCTCTCGCTAACTAGTCCAGTCATTTAAGCTTAAATAAGGTAAGAATCTCGGAATTCGAGATACCCAGCTGTAAGTCTGTAAATAGTTGTATATTGACACCCTAAAAGTTGTCTCAAAACCTACATATGGTAGGGTGTAAGCAACTATTAAATTTCAAGGTTAAAGGTCACAAAAATCGGTTTTTTGCGCTTTTTTTGGAAATATCTCATTTCCTATGGGTTTTTTGCTATTTGTATTTATTATCAATAGTATAGAATACTAAATTCTCTACAAATTTTGTTTAAAAAATTTTTTTATACGGTGTACCGTTTTCGAGATAGAGGGCGGAGAGCGCGCGGTCACCGCATCACTTCAGGTCAACCGGTGCCTCCGGTCGAAAACGCGCCATATATAGTTGATGAACTATCAATAAATCAATGATTATAAATATTTGTCAATTTTTATTAACTATTATATTATATTTTATCATTTTTTCCTAACTTATCCACTTTTTATTCAGTATTAATTTATTTAACAACACTTACCTGTCCATGTAATTGCAGAATTGTTAATGAAAATATAAGAATTATATTTGAATTTTAAGCTAATTAATATTAATAACTTCTTACATGATGAAAAAAAAAACAAATAAATTATGAATTAATATTTTTATTAAAAATATCATTGAATAAATTATTTTTTATTGAAAGTAAAAAAATGGAATAAAGGGTACAAAAACTACAATTTATAATTTTAAACATCTTCTTCCTCTTCATCGTCGTCTTCTGGCTGCTGGTAAATTTCAAACTGGTCTTCATTATCGTCTTCAACGACATTTGTCTCAAGTTCTTCCATGATTTCGGGATCAAAGGTTCCATCTTCGTTAATGTCGCTCTGATATGGTTGAGCATTGAGACAAGCTTGCCCATTACATTGGCCACAAGCTAAAGAGCATTGCAAGCCCGCTTTCCTGCAACCGCATCGCGAACCACAACCACTTTTGCAGTTGCAGAAAATTTTATTTAGCAAATTTTCTGGAGCAGGTAAAATTAACTTAATTATTTTAAGTTATTTAGTAACTTTATTTAGTAAACGGTTATCAGTATTATTGAATAGATATAGATTTAATGCATGAAGAAAATGATAAAATATAATATAATAGTTAATAAAAATTGACAAATATTTATAATTATTGATTTATTGATAGTTCATCAACTATATATGGCGCGTTTACGACCGGAGGCACCGGTTGACCTGAAGTGATGCGGTGACCGCGCGCTCTACGCCCTCTATCTCGAAAACGATACACCGTATAAAAAAAATTTTGAAACAAAATTTGTAGAGAATTTAGTATTCTATACTATTGATAATAAATACAAATAGCAAAAATTCCATAGGAAATGAGATATTTATAAAAAAAGCGCAAAAATCCGATTTTTGTGATCTTTGACCTTGAAATTTAATAGTTGCTTACACCCTACCATATGTAGGTTTTGAGACAACTTTTAGGGTGTCAATATACAACTATTTACAGACTTACAGCTGGGTATCTCGAATTCCGAGGTGAACTTACTATAATGACTGGACTAAACAATAATTTTAAAATTTTATAAATTGATGAAGGTGTGCCCCCGGGCCTTTACTCTATACAGCGGTATTTTAAAAAATCTTTAAATATGTGACCTCTTTTTTCCGTTTCATAACATATGTGCCAAAATTACAAATACAAGTTTGATATGGTCAAAATACAAGATTCTAAGGCTTTGAAACAAAAGAAGAATTTTTCAACATCAGACTTATGTCACATTGACAGATTAAATGATAAACTGTTAAGTGTTTTAAGAAAAATAAAAATAAAAATTGGTGCCAAGTTAAGTTATGTGCTCCACTTATTAAAATTTCGTGTGTTGGTGTACCTTCTATAATATCACAGTTTATTATATTCACATACGGCAATTGAAATGTCGAATATATCTAAAAGAAAGAAAGATGGATCTAGAGCCAAGATCAAGGTAAAAAACAGGTCATGTGAATCACTCACGACAGAAATAAACATTATTTGTAATACCAACTGTATTTCTAACAACAATAATTATTGAGTTATCAGTCGTTGTGTTTCATTGTATGAAGTAATATATTATAAATAGCACAAAAACTTAATTAACCGTTATCAACAGGTTGATGACGCCGATAATGTCAACATTTGCGAAAATTTATATACATAGTTAGGTTATATATAGTATGGTGATATAGGTTTTAGTTATGTTACAGGATATTATTATATTTAATATGGTTGGAGGATTGAGTTATCAAATTAACTTACTTGTTATGAGTAAGAAAAGTTCAAAGTGAAATTAAGTCTATATAAAAAACTATGAAATGTGAACGGAATAATTGTGCCTTAAATCTGTAGGTCTAGAGTGCTATTTATTAATTCAGATATTTTTGATACACATTTATTCTGACATCCTTTCTCTTTCTACTGTAATCTGAATCAAAGATTAACAATATTTGCAGACAATTGGAGATCACAAAGAGTTTCTCAAGAGGATCACTAAGACTCTTTACTATGGAGAGTTACCGAGACTGCCTTGTCTAAGTCTTCCTGTCACTGGTATGTAATAATAAAAACAAGTTGTTTTATGTGTTTGAGTTAATTATATTCTTACAGTCACTTACAGTACACTTACATTATACCTTACATATTACAGTCATTTTAGTTTAACTAACCCCCACTTGTTAGTCTTTAATCATGTAGTATTATGTTTCCAGAGATCTCTTGTTCCCTGTGGTCGGTGTCTCAGCGCGGCCGCTCCCTCCGTCGTCTCCACGTGGACGCGGCGGCCGACATCGCTCGCTCCGCCTGCGTCTCTCCCTGCGCTCTGGTCCTCGCCATTCTTTACCTCGAACGACTCAAACGATGCAACCCCGACTACCTATCCGCCGCAGCACCAGTTGACCTCTTCCTTGTATCATTGGTACGTCATAAACCATTTATGTAGAAAAAAACTGAAATTTTATCACTAAAAGGAATGATGAATCTAAGTGTTCCTATGGTTTATACCTAGATGGTGAGCAACAAGTTTCTCCAGGACGACGGTGAAGATGACGAAGTGATATGTTCGGAGTGGGCGGCCTCGGGCGGGCTACACCTCGACCAGCTCAAGAAACTTGAAGTGGACTTTCTGAACGCGATCGTGAGTCGATTATTATCAATTCGAGATGACGTTAGATCTTTTTTCTCACCGGTCTGTGTTTCAGGATTGGAGAATTTTCGTGAGCGAGGAATCATTCGAGGCGGGCCTGTCCTGGTTGGAGCGCGAGGTGGCGCTGAAGCAGGCCAGAGCGCGAGGGTTCTTCACGTACGGCGACCTGGCAGCGGCGTGCGCGGGCGCGGCGGCTGGTGGAGCAGCGCGCGCGCTCGCCGCCGCCTGCGCAGCCTGCCTCGCTCCCCTGCTCGCCCTGCTGGCTTCCGCTCTGCTCCTGACGCACTCCCTGCCCGCGCCGCCCGCCCCCGCCGCGTCCCCCACAGACCTGTCCGTCCACACCGACCTGTCCCCGCCCGTCGCCGCGAGTGTCGTGGACCTGGTGCTCAACAAGTCCCTGTCAGAAGATCACGTCCCGAACCTCTCGCCCTCCGCGTGCTGCGACAGCTGGACTCATTACCTGGAGCGGTCCGCGCCGAGCCGCCAGTGGGACGATCATATAGTAGTGAACGACTGGAAGTCCTCGGAAACCTGGTGGTCGCGGACGGCCGTCACCACCTGGCTGTACCAGATCTCTCTCGTGGACCCCATGCAGCGGTGGCTGGAGAAGACTTACCGGTCCGCGGGCCTCCTCGGGCGAGCCGCGTCTCCCCTGGAGGCGGGCGCGGGCGGCCGGTCGTGCGCGTGGCCCTACCTGCAGCAGTGGCTCAACTTCAGTAAGCTCAGCGTGTACGTGGCCAGCGTGTCGGACCGGTGAAGGCCCGCTCACTACTCACAGTCGTCAGTCTCTACAACTCTTGTATCGTAACATCTCTCCCGGTCGACCCAGTCTAAACTACAGATATTTCAAAGTTTAACTTTACTTGTACTTTAAGTGTCAAAGTGCAACTGTTGAGACGGACTTTCCTTCTTTATATGAACATTTGAACAAGACCCCAGCAGCCCGGTACAGACCTCTCTCTCTGTATATATTTTTATATGTCATGTTAAAGTGTTGTTCAAATAAAATGGCTTCATATTTACTATGATTTTTATTAAACTTTGTTATTCTTCATAAATAATACAATATAACGTCACAATTTCATGATCGGCTCTTCAGATGGTTGTTATAATATAATACTCTTACTATATAAAACGTACAAATTGTAAAAATCCTCTCAAATGTATATCCTTTATATAATACAAACATTATCACATGTATAGAGCCCCCCCCCCCCTCCTCCTCCCGTCAGTTCATTGTCTCGTCGAGTGTATCTCTCACACTGGAATGTTATCATTTTCAATAATTTCTATCATAAAATTCTTATCAAACATAATATACTGCGGTAAAAAAAAGCGATATAAAGGTACGTCTTCAATGTTCACGACGGCTCAGTACTGGATGTGTGTCGTGTTCTGATTAACATTAATATCTATCAGTTGTGGTTCATACAACAAACATTCTGATTGTGTTTAAAACAACTGACAAACATGTACATATAAAAACTCGATTCATTGTTATTATAATTTCATATAAAATATTTTGACACCTTCGTATGACACGTGTTCTTAAATATATTATACTACGTTACAACTTATATATTACAGAGAGACACTTGTATAATAAAACTACACAAAGAGACTCATTGTTATTACTTGCTCCTAACTCGTCCACTAGAGCCGGTGAGATTATTATTTTCCCTAACTATCCACACATCTAGGTCGCGTGTCCGTGGTCGGGCCCGTCTGTCTCCACGAGCCCCGGGTGCAGGTAGAGCCGACAGTTGAAGCCCCACTTCTCGACGGCGGAGGTCTGCACGTGGAAGTTCTTGTGGAGCTCCTTGTCCACGAGCGTGAACAGCTTCTCGACGTGACAATCGTGAGCGCGCGCCGCGAACACCGAGCACAGCGCCTGGATGTACCACGAGCCGTCCCGCCGGTCGCGGAACGACACGTTGCCGGGGATGGTGGAGTGAGCCACCAGGATGTCCGACGTGACGCGGTCCGGCGCGCGGCCCCCGCCCGGGGACTCGGGCGGCAGCAGGCGAGGAGGCCCCGCCCCGCCGCCCGCGCCCCTCGGCGTGCCGTCCGACTCCGCGCCGCCGTACAGGAAGCCCTCGTTGTTGCCGCTGCGGACGAAAACGACTACAGGTTAAAGGAACAGCGCTCGGACGTACACCGAGACGAAGGAGACGAGACTCACCGGCAGAGCTGGAATATGAAGACCTTGGGGATGCCCCGGAGCGCGGGGAACCTCTCGTTGTTGAAGTGGTTGACGATCTCGAACACGCTGATGAACCGTCCGTCGTGGCAGCGGATGTCAATGTCGGAGCCGCGCGAGGACGGGTAGCCGTGCGAGGACACCACGATGAACACGCTCTCCACGCCCGCCACCACCTTCTTGAGCGAGTGCAGCGTGCTCCAGGTCTCGCTCTCCGTCAGGTTGATGTAGGACAGCACCTTGAAGCCCAGCTCGTTGAACAGGTACTTGAGCCGCTGGCAGTCCACGGCGGCGCCGCGCCGGTACGAGGCCGTGTTGTGGAGGAACTCGATGTACGTGAACACCACCAGCACGCCCCGGTTGCGGCCGCGCGTGCGGTACAGCTTGATGTCTGCGGTCAGAGCGACTCTTACAACCTCCTCCTCACTGAACCTTCATGATCAAGGCCGCGGCTGGTGTATGTTTACCGTGTCCGTCCTCGTAGAACTTGGTTGATTTGACCACGTGTATCTGAGGTATCTCCGCAGGCTCCTCCTCGTCGGGGCCGGCCGAGCTGACGGCGGGCGGGGGGCGCCGCGGACCTTGACAAGTACTGAGCCGTCAGTCGTCACGATCATCAAATTATATGTTATAACTTCACACTTGTAAATAACAGACGTTTAGGTTTTTTTGTGCATTTTATGATTATTAAAACTTGTAGAGATAAACAAAGGCATATAATTGAGGAGGTGATATTAGTGGACTTCGATGTCGTTTCTTTGTATTTTCAGAGAAATAAATTGTGGTTTATTTATAAAATCCTCAATAATATACCTTATATATATGTATATACAACACTGTACTGTTTTATATAATGCTACATACTTTTAGCCGGCTCTGGGACACTCTTCGTTTTCTTTTTCTCAGCACTGATACTAACGAAGTTGTTTTCGCTCGAATGTGAACCTGAAACAATTATCTTTATATAAGTAACGTGACGTCATTCAATGATCGTCATCCAAGTTATAATATATTACTGGTGTCTGGTAGAGGTCGCCTGGCCGTCTGAGGTCTGCTGTGGCTGTGTAGCGCACTGTGAGGGTCCAGGTCCCGCACGAGGCTCCAGTGGCCAGCCTCGAACAAGGCGTCCAACAGGTGACCGAACGCTTGAGGGCCTCTCCTAGTCACGTCCATGTATAGAAGTCGTTTGCGGTACCTTGCATCTTTACTCACGTCCTGTAATAAGTTTTAATAAAACCTGACTTATATTACTTTAGTATAATCAACACTCAACATGTTATTGTTTTGTCTTCCCAAATTAAAACAACGTTTTAGACTTATAACAATCCAGACCTAGATTCAGTTTGGATCAATTAGAGGTAGAAAGAATAAGAGATCAATTAGAAGTCGTAGGCCATGGTAGAGCGTGTTAGTTGCCCACTTCATGCCGTCTCTGAACTTCACCCTTTGTACTGGTAGCAGCGTCAAATATTAAAAAACACTATGTCAAGTGAAGCAGAATTTGTATAGTTTTTTCAAAAGTTTTATTTATTATTTTTTCTATTATATTCATAATATTTCCATCTGGCATTGTACAAGTTTGGCTTATTTTATTTTTAATCTAGAATAGCTCTCGCACTTCTGTTATGTATCTATTTAAAATGTAATAAAATTTACTTTTAAAAGTTTTTTGTCTAACTCTACTTTTACTTTCACTCACAGAAATGCAAAGCTCAGATTAAGTCTAACGGACTATACTGAGATAGTGTATTCACCACTGACAACATAATTTCCACTGGGTTGAATGTTAGTCAAGCAATATCAAAATAAGATAAAATCCCTTCTCTCATTTCTGCAATTAAATTAAAGACGTTCGAGGCAACAGGGTGCGTCTTTCTGAATATTAATCACAACTAATTTCTAATAGGGAGGAGACAATAGCAAGAGAAAAAGACTTTAAGCAATGGACTCAGAAGACCTTATCAGGAGTGGACCTAATCCTACTAATATTATAATTGCTAAAGTTTGTGAGTGTGTGTATGTTTGTTACTTCTTCACACTCAAACGGCTGAACCGATTCTGATAAAATGTTGTATACAGGAAGCTGACGTCCATGAACATAGGCTACTTTACATTCCGGAAATCTGCAGGTAACACTGCGGGACGCAGCTTGTTAATTTATAAATCAAAAATTGTAGACAAGAAAACTATTCCATTTGATTGTGATAAGTCCCAAGAAGTAATTAGGTAGGAGTTAGATGAGGCTTTCACACCACATGTAGCTTTATTAAAGGAGTAGTCCACTAGTCAACAAAACCCAAAGCTGAGACTTAAAAAGCTTTATAAACACAAAATCATTACCTTTTTCAATCATATTGTAATAAATCTGTTTAAGTATATGATCAGTAAGAACCATTTACATAATACTTAATGAATATCAAAAGGCAGCAGTCAACTCACTAACTGAACCATCATCACATATATCTTCAACTAACAGTTACGTTAACAACAACTCCAACAATTAATGCATACTAAGATTTTCACTATAATTTTATAATCGAAAAATCTAGATAATTCTTATGAATGGATCAAAGATTGATATTCCCAGTGGGTTGATAACAAGGGGTCTAATCTATGAATTTAAAACATATATTACCTTATACTGTTCAATCATCTGTTCTGAGAACACTCCCCGCTCGTACAAGGCTGTTACCATCCTATCCAGGTCTGTCTGCTCCACCAGAGACGTAAAGTTCTGCTGTATAGCTCGTCTATGCCTTTCTTCCATGATTTTGTTTTGTCTGGCTAAAGGAATTAACCCTTCTTTATCAATAATTTGTCACAAAGAATTATGTACTTAACTTTATTGTAATGATTATCTGTATGTTAGTGACTTTAATTGTTTTTATTCTACGATAAATTATATACACAAAAGATTTCTTAATATTATTAATTTTAAACATAACATATACTTACTTGTTGATTATTTGTCTTTTTTTATTTTAGTGAAACCGATAGTAATATATCATCTGACTTTTAGATAAATTACTGCTTTTGGTTTTAATTTCATTATTATTTTGGAGAACACTTTATTTAAATCACTATATAGGTGTACACTGTAGTGCAATGTCTGTTCAGTATTGTTACTGGAATATAATGTTATGAGTAATGTATATAGATAAAAATATAATATAGATAATATAACAAAAAATCACAAAACCCAACAACTCATAATAATTGCAAATTTTACTGACAAATTTAAAAAAACATTTTCAAGACAATTTTATGTTAATTTAAAAATTCTACATGCAGATATAACAAAATATATTCTTTAATAAAACTGACTTGAAATATTTTTTGTTGTTCCTACAAACTTCAATGTCTGTAAACATTGTGTCTAAATGAACAAAAAAAACTTCGGTTAGGTTCCCTAATGAGGTACATTCGGGACTGAAAAAGCATAAATATTTTGCACATTTTCCTTAGTAGTTTTTATTTGAAAGTAAAACCTATAAGAATATCTAGGAACAATAAAAAGATTGTTTATTCGAATTGATATCTGTTTATTATAATTAAAAAGGATGACATAATATCTGTCAAAAATATGTTAAATCAAGTAGTTTCTCTCGAATCGACTCCAAATGTAGAATATTGATTAACAATTATTGATTAACACACAAACTCTCTCGTTTTATTTATTCAATTTCCTTATATAATTAATTTTTAAAACGTTGTAATCTAACAATATCATAAAGATTTCTTATTTCATTTTTTATATGTTAACAACTTTAAGTACAGTACCACTCTCTGTGTGATTGTAATTTACTATTTTTATAAGAGTAGTAAAAATTTACTGAATCGTGTCTGCTTGAAATGAATCGATGTCCACGATACAGGCCTAGCCTAGTGTGGACGTCAACGTTTTAATGTATATTGCATTGTAAAGTGTTTTTACAAATTAATAAATGAAATAATTAAATAAATTGTTAGTAATAATTATTTATAATGATTTAAATGATTGTCACCTTCACAAATCTAAGCTTGACGTTAATTATATTCTAATATTTATTGGAAATTCTTATATTAGTCAACTAGCGCCACTATATATTTGTTGTAATAGCGTAAATTAATGTTAATTATATTTCTGTACAATAATTTAAATGTCCAAATACTTAACAATTGGTTTTACAATTTATAATTAGAGCTTCAGTATATTTTACATAATCTTAAACGCTTTATTATTTAATGGAAACTCTTATGAGGAAAAATTAAGCCCAATATTATAACTTACCGTTACCTTTATGTTACCTTTGAATATTATAAATAGGATACAAGTGTTAGACTGAGGCCTAGGGGCCCTGCCTGCCTAGGGGCCCTGCCACGTTCAGGGGCCCCTGTGCTACAGGGAAAAGAATGGGCAATGTTTCTTAAACAGTAAAAAATTAATTTGAAAATTTGCTCTGTACATTACATCGACGCTATTTTAGTACATTTCGGAACACATTCCTTATTAGATATTATTATTATGATTATTACTATAGTTTAAAAGTTTATAACGCAGTAATATAATTGCAAGCAATTTTAATTTAAAAAATTAATTAAAAACTGTCTTCGTTCAACGACGTCTCAAAACCGTTTAAATTCATTGGCTATAATGGCAATTGAAAATGACGTGTTGGAGAAGATTACCTTTCAGGATATCTTGAACGATTTTGTATCAAAAAAAGTTAGAAGAGTTAATATTTAAGCTATGTATGTTTTGTTTTAAATGCATAAATAAACATTCTGTTCATTTGATTCAACATTTTTATTGAATAATATGATGATATACCCAGGTTAGTAAAAAACGGTGTAATTTTGAATTTTGTTGTGTTAACGAAAAAATTAGAAGAGGATAGGGGGCCCTGGATGAGCATTGCCTAGGGGCCCCGACAGGCATAACCCGGCCCTGGACCTGAGTCCAGGGCCGGGAGTCTGTTAGGAGTTGCTGAGCAATAAGCGTCTAAGTGGAAGTGCTGCCCAAATTATTTCTAACACAATGTATTTATAAAAGTATGTAGGTATAGTTTTCTAGTATATCTAAATTTCTACAATATAAAAGAAAAATATTATTGTAATTTTTAAATATTATAATTCCTTGATATTAAAGGTCTTCTACTCGATATTTTAAATAAAAAATCCAATGTATATAATGGTGTTAATATACAGAATTATTCTTGGTTTTTTTTTCAAATAATTAAATAGGCTTTAATGTATTTTTGTGATTTATATCCTACTAGATATGTGGTGTATAATATTCTTTGAACAATAATTAAAGAAATAGGTTGTAAATGTACTGCAACTACAGTAAATGTAATGACATAAAACATTAAATATTACCTTATTGTATGTATTGTGTTATATAACAATAACATTTTTAATTAAATGATCAGACAAAGCAAATTTTATTAACAAATTCTTATATATTTATCTTATTATTATATATATTTAAATGAGCAATTCTTGTATATATGTATATATACAGGGTGACTGGTGAATTACTATCGATATTTGAGGACGTGATATTTGACGATCATATATGACAAAATAAAAACTAATATAACATAAATATTAATAAACTTCTAAGTAAAGTTAACCAAAAGTTATGTAATTAATTACGCATCGTATGAACACCCTACAGATTAGGTATACACACACACTCACACAGACGCGGCGGCGGCGTAGTGTTGTATCAGCACGCCGCCGCACGCGTCCACACTTGGAACACTTGGAACGTGTACACACTTTATTTATTTATACGGAAATTTGGTCAAAAATTAAGTACCTATTTTTTTTACATAATTCGAATGAGAATCATGTACCGAGTATTCTCCTTAAATATTGATAGTAATTCACCAGTCACCCTGTATACATATTTATTGGAATCTTGGAATCCGCTCCAACAATTTTCATGGAATTTAGTATGTAGGGGATTTCAGGGCCAAAAATCGATCTAGCTAGGAATCATTTTTAGAAAATGTTATTTTATTTTAAAAAAATACAAAATGGAGTCGTTTAAAATATGACTCTTCCTGACATCTATTGGCGAATAGGTATACTACTTTTGCTAATTACTTTTACTAATTGCTTTAACGACACAACAGCAGATGGCGTTGTTAAGTACCAGGAAGTCAACGAGTGTTGGTTTTGAGGTTAGACTAAGAAATTAATTATTGATTTATGGGTGAATATACGCTATTTGAATTCCATTGGTCTATAGAAAAATTTTATGTGAAACTTATTATATCATTGTCTCTCCATGCTTAAACAATAAAGAATATGGCATTTTATCTGGGACACGAAAATATATTCACCCTTATATTGTTTTGTGTCTTCTTAACGTGTTCACTTAAAAATGCCTAAACGAAATAAAAAAAGAAAACACAAAATAAATACCAATAATACTTAAATACCGAGCAAAGCTCGGTAACCAGATATTACACCTTTAATAGCAACAATATCTGGATACCGAGCTTTGCTCGGTATTATATTTTATTTTTGACGCGATAACGTCTTTAAAATCGTTTTAGTCGGGGGACATGTTCAGAAACTTGTGTCACACCAAAACCTCACGAGCGCGATCGCAGGTATAACGAGAGAGAGATGGACCGATCTCCCGTCTCATCTCGAGCGCTGCCAGTCATTCCGTGAAACTTGTCACGTGGAATCCTCACGAGCGGAGGCAGGCATAGCGTTCGAGTGAGTGGACCGACCTTCCGTCTCTCTCACTCTAGCGGCATACAAACGAATGGAGATTTTCTCGTGCAGTTAAGTTTTCGTTGAATGTTTTACTTCCCAAAAACTAATATCACCAATAAGACGTTATCACGTAAACATCTCGATCGTAAACCTACTTTACAAACAACCAATATTTTTTTTTATTAATTAGCTTGCCTCTAATTTCAAATTGTTTTTCACCCTTTCTTTAAGATCAAAAGCACAAAGTTGTTATTTTTAATAAATTTTTAAGTCTTTGAATTCCGCCAGATGAAGTGACAGAATTGTAACTGTAATTGTATTATTTTTACTCTTAATTTTGTTAAAATATGTTTCGATGTTTATTAAAGCGTATGACAACATTGAATAAAAAACATAATTTTGTACTTTTTGAAAGTGTTCAGCCATAAGTTCATTTTAATTCTTAAATGGGAAGGTCAGAGGAGTATACACTTTAAAATATTATTAAAAATATAAATATATTATCGTGAATAGTCTTTGTGGGCCCGATAAAATGCCATATTCTTTATTGTTTAAGCATGGAGAGACAATGATATAATAAGTTACACATAAAATTTTTCTATAGACCAATGGAATTCAAATAGCGTATATTCACCCATAAATCAATAATTAATTTCTTAGTCTAACAATTAGCAAAAGTAGTATTACTATTCGCCAATAGATGTCAGGAAGAGTCATATTTTAAAGGACTCCTTTTTGTATTTTTTAAAATAAAATAACATTTTCTAAAAGTGATCGATTTATCGCCCCCGAAATCCCCTACATACTAAATTTCATGATAATTGTTGGGGCGGATTCCAATAAATATGTATGTATATACATATACAAAAATTGCTCATTTAAATATATTCATATTTTTTCATTCAAACCATATAATTGACAGGAATCTTATAATTTTTGTCACCGGCTACACTCCTGAGCTATTGACAGCCGACAACTGACATTTATATTTTTCTGTCACCTTTCATTACTCAAGTTTTATCTCGCCGACATCATATTCTACTGTAGCTATCGGTGACTTATTTTTACGAAAATTATTTTATTTGTTAAAATATGTCTACTTTCACTCAATTGTTTTTGATAACTGTTTGTGTTATTGCTGCAATCTCAGCGTATGAAGATTCGGATATCGTATCAGCACGGATTGAGGCAAGTAGTTAATTAGTTAAAGTGTAATTATGTTGACAGAGAAATAAGATTAAACCTTTTATCTGTTTGCAGACATGTCGAGGTTGTTCTTTGAACCGGCTCCCTGAAGTGAAGAGATTCGTAATGGACGACGCCCCCCATTTCGAGCGTCTGGAAGTTAAGTTTATAACCGGGGCTCCTCCTGAACTGATTCTCCTCGGAAATGGTGATAAGGAGTTGGAGAGGATACCACTCTCAAACTTGAGTCGTCAGGAATGTAATGATCTTGTTAAAAGCAAGGGATTCATCAGGAGGAATGACAAAGAGGAATTCTAGGGTGTGTAATCACATTCCCATTTTTTATAAAACATTCCTCAATAGTTTGTATTAAGAGTATGACGTAATAAAATATCCTTTCTTGTATAAAAGTATATTTGTTTTATTATATATTTTAATAACAGATATATCTGAGGCTACATGTAAATATATAGTTATCTTGTTTTGTCAGTATTAGATCAATAAAGAGGGAAAGCTAAAACTTACTTATAAATATATTTGAAAGTATGTATGGAAAGTGTCTTAGATTTTTTGTTTTGTTCATATTAATCACTTAAAGATTCATCTAAGTTGTTCAGTTATTTACGGGAACATGGTTGGTGATTCAACCAGACATCCTTTGGAGACAATTTTTATTAACATATTTTATATTTTAATATCATGTATAATGTATGAGTTTTTTGCTACAAAGAATTTAATTATCTAGGTTCAATTTATGACAATATTCATGAACTTTTTTTTTATTATTCTTGTGAATTTTTCAATTACAATAAATCTTTATATTCAAATAGATGGCTTTAAGTAAGGGACTATAATTCAGGCTTAAAGGTGAGAAAATTTCAATTTAACCTGAAAAATATTAGAGGGTTTTATAGTTTATAAATTTTTCTAGTCAGAACAATGATATTGTTTAAACAATGTATAGATGGGAAAGAAGTGCTGTTAATAGAATGGGCTAAAAGAATAACTGAATAAGTAACTTAAGAAGGATATGATCAAAAATATTATTATAATATATTCTTGGAAACTTAAAAATAACTTAGATGGAAACTCCAAACACCTTAATACAGTACAATGAGGTACTTTCTGCAGGCTTCATCATCAAAGCAGTTTAAAACTATACTATATGGAATTATAAAGTTAGGTAAGTAAGGAAAATGACTTTCTATATAAGATTTGTAATCAGACAATAGAGATGTTGGAAAAAATAATAAGATAACAATTAAGTGTTTACGAAGCTGACTTGCTAAAGGGATACATAAAATCTGTTTATTAACTTTAATACTTACAAAAAAAACTAAAACTCATATAAGTTCGTAATAGCAATATATTGACTAGTAAATCTTTAATTTCTTGAAGATATCAGAGGTAAAAGTAACAACAAAAAGGGAAAGGAATAAAAAAGTGAAAATTTTGAATACAATGTAATGAAACTGACTTTATTTTTGATAAGAACCGTGATCACGATGACTCTAAAGTAAACGAAACGTCGGCAATATTTAGTTTTTATTAAAATTAAAGATTTGGTAATATATCCGCAAATTATATGTGTTACATTTAAATGACTCGCGAAAATCTCAGATCTCATTATACAATGTAATGGTTCTCGTGAGCTGTTTGGCCATTTATTAAATTCTAGATTAAACACATCAAAATTGAGACGAATAATGTCATGCTACATATAAATCACACAACAATGTTACGAGCAACTCAGTAAAATTAAAAATTATTTAGTAATAATTCAAAGATTTGATAGTTCAAAGACATGTAAAATGAGTTAAAACTTAAAAAATTCATAAAACTTTCAATTGATATATGTAATAGGAAGTATTAAACTGAGCATTTCCGTTCATAAAAATATAGTGATAAGAAATTTATAGCAATATTAAATATTAAAGCAATACCTTTAAATATTGTACAATGTACATTAATTACTATGGTATTGATAGAAGAAACAAAGAAACGTAATCTCATTGTGTATCAATTGAGTTCATTGTTAAAGTTACTTTTAGAAGATATCAAACTTATAAACAAGCATTTCATGAAACAAAACTCTGACAATGCCAAATATTTCTTCTTCTTTTTTAGTTAGTGGCGTTTCCTTATAGATTTCGCCAATTTCGTGTGCCGATATTATAATATTGAACTATGTTAACGAGGGATTTGTGAGTGAACAAGGTCGCGACTAGAAGCTAGAACTAGGATGGTGCTGAGGTCGTTCAATAATATTTCACGTCAGGTGTAAATGAAGCCAAAGCGTACTAAAAACTTAGATATAAGATATAATTTATGTTTTATATAATCTGTGGTATCGAGCATATCGTTAAACATCCTAGTTGTCAAAGTCTACGTCAAACACTTAGCGGTTGTGATAACTGATAATTGTCGCCGTCGGTTTCATAGTAAACATACCTGCAGTTTAATTATTTCGGGCTATATAATAATTTAATATTATGCCTTGTTAAAACTAAAACTATAATCAGACTCAACGGGAACGAAGTATATTGTCAAATGTTTATATAATAATGTTAAGGGTGTGTAGGCATCTGTCAGTGATATTGATTTGTTTTATTTTGTAAATGAACATTTGGCCGTTTTTATGATGGATGTTATGTTCTGCATTTAAATAAAGTATTTAACGCTTCTATAGAACCGTCGCGGGATCAACTTATAATGTAAACATGAAAACGAAAAGCTTTCTACTATTTTCGACGTCAGTTTTTGCTATAAGTTTATTTTTAATAATATTTCATTCGCAACCGCCACAATCATTTCAGAGTATTGTAACGCAAACCCATCAACATATTAAGGATTTTCAGGTAAGTAAATTAGTATAACTATTTTTCTCATTTTCTAATAGTCTCTTATTGTATAGTCTAATAATTAATTGATAAAATAAAATTTATATAACATATCTCGCCATTGAGTGCACCATGTCACAACAAAGCAGGTTTCTTTAACCCAGGAGCAGCTGCGCGATGTGGAGGAGCAGCATTTGGTGCAGGAAGAGCGCTACTTACGACTGGTGGGTCTGGACGGCCACACGGACCTGTGGCACAACACCTCTGTCCCTGTCATAGTGACACACACCCGTAATGAGGATCACGCTACTGTTATTGATTTCATTCTATCGGCCGCCCGCCTCCCATACACTGTGCTTATATATAATTTAGGTCTTAAGCCCTATTCTCTGGCTGTGGTGAGTACCGATGATTTATCTCTAGTATTTGGAGAGTTTGATGTTTGTTTAATATATAATATTTTGTTACAGATAACTAACTACTGCAACTCATCTAAATGTGCGATCATTGACTTTGATCTGGAACTGTTCCCTTCACATGTCAGTGATGAGAGCATCACAGCATATCGGCCGCTAATCATTCAGGTATTTAATCATCACCCAGTTAAAGTTCCCAAGTCAATATTTATTGATTGTGTCATTGCTGTTCAAGCCCTATTTCTTATCTTGTTATCTTATCAAGTACCCATACTATTTGCTTTACAAGTATAGTTTACCTTTATATGTGAAATGTAAATATCTATGCATATATATGTATATGTATGTTGTAAAAGTTAGAAATAAATAATAATTCATTAGTTAGATTAATATCTTATATTGAAATAGTTGGCTAATAGTATTAATAATATTCTTTATTGTACACCCTTTAGTTAATAAGTATTATAATATTTGTATATAATTTCCCAGCATGCTCTGAGCCGAGTGGGAGGTGTGATATACTGTGAGCCCTCCCAGCGTTGGGCTGGTAGCGCCGCCGACCTGGCAGCACTGTGGGGACGAGTGACGAGCGCGGGGGAAGGCGCCCCCGGCTCCCTCGGCCTGCTGGCGTGGGCCCGGCGGGCGGCCGTCACGTCTCTGACTCACCCTCGCATGTTCCACTACCTGCACGCGGACATTGATGACTTCCTCTTCGTCCAGATGTTGGACGCTTCCCGCCTGCTGGTGGCGGCGCGGCCCGGCGTGGCGGACGTCATGCGTCAATGGATTGAGTGTGCGCTCACGTCCGATTGTATCATGCCCATCGGCGCTCAGTCCGCCGGATGTCGGTTCGACAAGAAGCCACAGTACCGATATTCGGGCTGCCACGGACAGGATGCCTCCGCGCTCAGCATCATACTCGGCTCTCGTGCCGGATATGAGGAGGCGCGCTACGCAGCCCGGGATGGGTCCCGCGTGTGGCGGCGCGGGGGACGAGGCGAGGCGACCAACGCCACCGACGGCCCGCCTTCATCTGAAGCCCTCACCTCACGACCCGAGCGCGGCTAGCGGCCGGAGGACTCAGAGAGAACGGTCATCACCAGAACGACTGACTTGGAACTATGGGAGATTAAACTTACGATAAAGTGTTCTATTGGCCTTCATTGTTTTATACGAGACTTGGTTTAGTTTCTACGATAGGTCTTGATGCAACACGCAGTCTGTATGCGCTGAGGAACCGCTTCGAAGACGCTTACATTCGAATGTAATGTTTTAATATAATTTGGAAGTATTATATTTTGTTACGTATTTATTTAGTGCTTTATAACGAGATCTCTTGTATTATTTTACGACCGCGTATCGTGCGACCACAGACGTGTCACTTGCGGCCCGTCTGAGCCGCGGCCGACGTGATGTACGTAATGAATGTGATTTTTTATATAAATATTTTGTATTAGTGACTTATACTAGTGATAATTGAGTTTGTGTTGTAACGCGTCGGATGGCTGTGGTCCCTTACTTAATTATTCTTAACATTCTGTTAAAAGCAAATTTTCCTTGTGACTCGATACATATCTTACTTTATGCAACAAATTATAAACTTTGCTTATTTTTAATGTACATTTTGTACCGGTTGTTGAAAATATTTATTGATTAAATTGTAAATAATGTTATAATGAAACACTATGTACATTTATTGTGTAAGTTTATGTGCATCATCATAAACTGAGGTTTTTTTAATTGGATTTTATAATATGGTCCATTAATCGTTAAACATATATTTGATACATGTTGTAGTGTTTGTGTACATTGTATTGAAGATTCTTTTAAACATTTCTTTTGTCAGTATTCAATGATCCTTCCGCTGTCAACATAGCACTCTCGTTGCACACTTCTAGTCAAATGCGTTCAATATAATTTTAGGTAATTTTAAAGTGTTAGTGTAACATAATAAGCATTTAATGTTTCAAATTGTCTTTAGTGTCAATTTTGCGTGCTGTATGCACATATAGTAGTGGATACCCGTGATGTAAAGATGGGAGGGGATTTAGTTAAGGTGGAGTACCTACCATAAGAATATTTACTCATGTCATGAGATGCTTAGCAATTATTAATTTATTTTGTATATTTATAAACAAACTAGTAGATAATTTAAATATAATCATGTAATATATTCAATATTACGCTGCTCCTTAAATTCGTTGATGTTCATGAAGAACTGCCATGTAGCAGGCAATAATTGAGTGTTAACAAATGTATAATGAGGAGAAGTCTCTTTCATTACAAGTTTTGCATAATATTACAAATTAATTTGGAGCCCGTCAGGTAGCTAGTATTATAATACTGTTTATATATTTGCTAAAAATATTCTTTAACCTAAGTTAGTGTAATGGATCTTGATCTATTAGCTGAGACCAATGTAATATAAATTTTATCTTCTAGAACAAAACTGGGGTCTGTACCGTACTTGAGTCCACTTACATCCACAATAATGTTTTGCTTATACAATGTTTGATGTACAAATATATCTTGCCTTGAAGGAGAAACCCATTATCCTAATAGGAATACTGTAAATAACAATATTTAAGTCAATTTGATAGTACATTTTACAACATGTAATTTCGATTGTGAAATTTCTATAGTTGAAATTTAATAACATTTTAAAATTAGTATTTCAAATGTTGATAGTTGGAATAAATCTAAAAGCTTCATCTGCATAATAAATGATCATTGCGACGATCGATCTTTGTTTTATTTTATTTAATAAAGAAATCTGCATTTAAAACGACAATATCATAATTAGTCATACATTTAAATCAATACAAACATAATATTTAAATGACAATTGGCGTAAAATATCACTTATTTTACTTAACACTACTTATTAAAATATATAAACATAATACACAGGAACATTAATATATTGCAAGCCTACGTGTGTCATCTGACTAGTTACAATTTGTTCTCAGATTAATTACTCTATAGGATATTATTAAATTCAAATTCACCAACTCAAAAGTATAGACGAAACTTAGAGATGGTCCAGAAAGAGCGTACCTACGCGCGCATACTTAGGGACGAATTTACCCTGATTACATGCATTCGCTCTGAAATTCGCGCAACAAGGCGGACTCTAGTCTGGCGTAATACACGCGATTTACGCGCGTATTTTGAATACGCGCGATGCTTGTGTGCACGATGTATTGGTGCCTTGTATCTCAATAACTCGCGAATGAGTTCTCGTGAAACGATTGGCGGTGAATTCGCCTTTTCTGGACCAGCCCTAAGAGAATATTTGTATCACAAAAAGGGCTAAGTCTAGAGCTGCCATTAATACAAGAATGATGAATTATATATTTTTTTCAAGTACATACATATAGGAATCGGAATCGAATATTTTAGGAATAAAGGAGTCTGCCCACTACACCGTATCATACCATGACCGTAATAGGAACGTGTCAGACAAAAAAATATTCCTTGTATAGAAAACCATGATATGTACTATGCCCACTAGACCGTTCCGTCACCGACTCGTACCGTTGCGTGCCATGCACGGAGCGTTGTTTATTGTAAACCGAGGCGTGCCGGCAGCAAAACGGTGATAATACGGGTTATAACCGTGTATTAGGATTTAGGACCGTTATAAACCAATATTCCCCTTTAGTTTTTCGTTTTTTTTTAAGTGTCGTGAATCCAGTAGCGTCGAGTGGGTTTTTGGTTCTCTTCTTCTTCCTCATCCAATATTATGACAATCATTGCCAGTTGTCCAACAGTTAATCTTTTAATAGCCATACCTATTTTATTATTTTAATACTTGAAACCACTCCCCAGACGTGCAGGCCTTACCGATACACAAGCGATAATGAAACGGCTTCCTATGAATATTGAATAGTCATACAAATTACGGGTGGGCAACGTACGGGTTGCATACGGACACCATACCGGCATCATACGGGCATTAAACGTCGTCGACTCGTTTCAGTGGGCAAAGCAAGCCGTATCGTATTACATTCCGTGTAGGGATGTTACAAAATAATAGATTTTTCTTTTAATCGATTATTATTTTCGAATAATCGATTTTCAAATACACATTAATCGATTTTTCATAAGTCGATTAATAAATTACGCGATTAAATCGATTTTCATAAATAGCACCATCTATGCGCCGAAAGAAAAAACTCGAAGCATTATAGCGGCGAATTAAGTAGTTTCAGTCAGAATAGTGAGCGAGATCTACTGAGTTTTTATAGTTTGTTATATTGTAACCAACAATAAACAATAAAGATGTCTTCAAACCGTAAAACACGTAAACGCGGCTGGAGAAAGTATTTTATAATAAAGAAAGATGCTACCACAGCAATATGCATGTACTGTTCGAAAGAATTAAAAACTTGTAGTAAGTAATACTACAAACTTAAAGTAACATATAGAACGAAAACATCCCACTGTCTTAGAGGTAACATGAATTACTATTTTTATCGAGGTATCTCTTAACTCGACTCCAGGTAACTTTAAGCCTGTATTTTCCAAACAAGAAGAAGAAGAGCTAGTTAGGTATGTAAAAGATATGGAGAAGCGATTATTTGGATTGACAACTGTCGTCTTACGAAAACTAGCCTATCAGCTCGCTGAAAAAAATGGTAAAACTCACAATTTTAACCATGTTAAAAAGATTGCTGGCATAGATTGGTTAAAAGGCTTTATGAAATGTCACCCGGATTTATCAATTCGAAGACCTGAAGCTACATCGGCAGCGCGAGCGATGGGTTTTAATAAAGTAGCCGTGAATAAATTTTATTCTTTGCTAGGGGAAGTATATGACAAATATAATTTAACGCCGGATAGAATATATAATTGTGACGAGACTGGAATATCATGCGTCTCCAAAACAAAGAGCAAAATCATTGCTGAAAAAGGCAGAAAACAAGTAGGCTCCCTTTCTTCTGCAGAAAGAGGGCAGACAGTTACCGTCGAGATATGTTTCAATGCAGCCGGAACTTATATGCCTCCCATGCTAATATTTCCTCGGCAGAGAATGAAGCAGGAGTTACTGGATCGAGCTCCTCCAGGGACGACGGCGGAATGCAACGCTCGAGGCTGGATGACAACTGAAACCTTCATGAGTTGGTTCCAACGATTCGTTATATTTTCTGGGGCCTCAATTACTAAACCAGTCTTGTTACTTCTGGATGGGCATGTAACTCATACTCAAAATATTGAGGTTATTGAAAATGCACGTAAAAATGGTGTTGTTATGCTTTGTTTTCCCCCCCATTGCACCCACAGGCTCCAACCCCTGGATGTCGGCTTCATGAAGCCATTGAGTGTGTATTATGATCATGCTTGTTCTAACTGGTTACGGTCGCACCCAGGCCGAATAATTACAACCTTTCAAATAAGCGAAATTTTTGCAGATGCTTATATTCAGGCTGCAACAATGTGCACGGCAATTAATGCATTTAAAAAATGTGGGATATGGCCATTTAACCAAAATAATTTCACCGATTCAGATTTTTTAGCTGCATCAACAACTGACATTCCGATCACAAATTATGAAACTGAAACAACTTCTTCAACTGCTGATATTCAGCAACCGTCTTCAACTGTTAATAATCAGCAACCACTGCCGCCTCCCCTTGAACCTATTTTACCTGCAGTACATCAGGAAACGCCTATATCAGAGCCTCAGTCTGGACCATCTATGCAACAAGAAAATAGCGTTTCCCGATCTCCAATCCGAAGAGTATGTCGTGATTTAACAACTTCCTTTGAAAACGCTTCTCCCAAAGACATTCTCCCCATCCCTACCGTTGAACAAAGAAACCAAACGAGAAAAAATTATCGCAGAGGGAAAACGGTTGTTCTCACTTCTACTCCCTACAAGAACGAATTAGAAGAGCGCGAACAACTTAAATGGACGAAGAAGTGTTCCAGTCCGACTGATCACGGATATAAAAAAAACTCAATGAAACAGAGGACTCAAAAAGCTCGCTCTGAAGGCGAAAATGTTAAGGAGGATGCCTTATGCATCTATTGTGTTGACTCAAACCACACTTATTTGAAGTCTTCGGAGCATTGGGTGGCCTGCCAACTATGTGGACAGTGGGCCCATACAGCCTGTGCAGGAGTTGATGACGCTGTTTTGGAAGAAATCCACATCTGCTTATTCTGTGATAAATAAAATAGTGTACCCCGTGCTGCCCTAGACTGAGTACCCCATACTGCCCCTACCCCGGGGCACGATGGAGTTTTCATTAAGGTTTTGTATTATTAAAATTAAAAATATTATTTGATTTCTTACTTCACCAAATTCGGTGCCAAATGGTAGCTTAATAAGTAACCAAAGTGTTGTCATTAGTTTTCATTAAAAAATATTTTATGTTTACTGTTTTTTTTATTTTTTCCCTTAAAGTCCCCGTTATGCCCCCCCTTCCCCTATAGACTTATATCGACTTACACGTGCTTTTTATGGATTGTTTGATAAATAGGTAACACGAATCTTTAGCAGGTTGTTGTGAGGTTAGAGCTGTTATGATTAAAGAATTTACGTTTTCTCCACCGATAAACACTTAATCATACTAAATCCTTCATAATAAAATATAGAAATACACTCTAACTGAAACGTAAATATACAATTATTATTATTATTATCTAAGTTGACATTTTAGCAATAGTTTTTCTTTCTCCAATTAAGACCAACAAAAGAATCATAGGTTATACAACCATAGTTTATATAATTTATAAGTTTTTCTTTTTTTGTTATGGGTAGCGTGGCGCTAACTCTGACAATTTTAAGTGATTAAAGAGACACGATCTGAGTATTGAAATTGACCGGTGTTTTGACTTTTAAAGAATTCCGAAAAAGCTTGTTGATGTCTGTTTAGTGTTGCTAGAAAATCCAGAAATACAAAATAGGTTTGCGGAAATCAATTTTATTTTTGTGAAATTAAGGTAAAGTCACTAATAATAGACAGTGATCCTAATAGATGAAATCTTTGATAAATGTTATTTTATTAAGAACAATTTTAGTAAATTATTTTTATTGACTGACTTTATTTTCAATTTTACTTACTGACTTTTATATTACAATATATTAGGACACCTAGCACTAATGGTGATTTTATTTTGTGATGATATCTATTAGTGCTTAGGAAAATATTAAAAAATAGATAATAATAATTAAAGTATGTTGATTATTCCAAATTTTATTACCTAAAAGAATTTTCTAAGATACACTGGTCACTGTATCCATATTAAAAGGCTGTAATTGTTTTATGTGATAGATATCTAATTATTTTCATAATAATATGGTGTTTTCACTAAAGTGTCTACGACTATTGACTTTACCCTACCTGTTTTTTATTGTCGTAGAACTTATGTGAAGATAATATTCAAGATATCAGCATATCTGGAAATAGGTGTACCGATGCAACCTCCAGCAACAGAAATGGAAGGTGGACCTTCAACTCCAAAGAGTACGAGAACCAGTATTGGATCTTGTTTTTCGAAAATTTTAAAATATGGCTCAGACGGAAAAAAAAATAAGGAAATAACTCAAAACATAGCGGAAATTGTTAAACTAATTATTAAATTTAGCCTTTCATATTAATCTATATATACTCTACAAGTAAATAGAATCTGTGTGACAGTTAAATAAATGCTCACTCTCTGTGATTCTGTAACAACTAACAAGTGTAGTTTAATTTTCAAGACATCTTCTCCATTAAATAATAAAGTTATCAGGTTATGGGCCCAGTCAAACTCTCGATTCCTGTTCAGTGTAGTACAGTATAAATTTAAAGTCATCATCCTATAAATTAAAACAAATTATGTAGTTGATTTTGAACAAACATACGTATAAACTACAAAATTGTCCACGCGGTCGCCGAAGTTTTTAGATTTCAGCTATAATTTTTAGATAAAATGTCATCAAACGGATCATTGATTCAAATTGAAAAACTTACTGGCCGAGATAATTGGACAAGCTGGAGTTTTGCAGTACAGGCATACCTGGAGCTGGATGATTTGTGGGAATGTGTCTAAGGAACAGATACTGATCCAAAGAAAGAGAAAAAGGCAAAAATCAAAACTAATATTATTAATCGATCCAATAAATTTTATACATATACAGGATGCGAAGACGTCAAAACAGATTTGGGAAAATTTATTAAACGCATTTCAAGACTCTGGTCTACTGAGAAAAGTTGGTTTATTGCGAGACTTGATTAACACTAGTTTAGAAACAAGCACCAATGTTCTACATTTTACGTCACGTCACGATTACGTCAACAAAATCATGAGCTCAGCTCATAAGCTGAGAAATATTGGATTCAGTGTTGATGATGAATGGATCGGGACCTTGATGTTTGCAGGTTGCCCGATGAATACAAATCTATGATCATGGGTACTGAAAGCTCAGGAGTAAAAATAAGTGCATACAAAAATTACGCTTAGTTAAAAACGTTTCCCTTACAATTGATGAATGGAAAGATTTGCAATTAAGGAGTTATTTGGGTGTAACAGTACACTTCATAGAAAATTTTGAAATGAAGTTAATTAGCATTGCACGTGAACCACTTCACGATAATAATCATACAGGAGAGTATTTGTTAGAGATGATTATTAAAATTTATTATTTTACCCCAGACGGGTTTGTCGTACGATAAAATTGTAAGTATTACTACCGATAATGGCAGTAACATCGCTAAAGCCGTTGAGATTACTTTTGGTCGAGCTAAGCATGTTCGGTGCTTAGCTCATACCCTTAATCTAGTTGTAGACAATTCAGTAAATATACCAGAAATTAAAATTTTCTTGGATAAGGTCCGAAAAATTGTAGCTTGGTTCCACCAGAGTGGTGTTGGTGCTGAGGAATTGAGACAATTGCAAACCGTTCAAAATGTTTCCGAGGGAAAATTAAAACATCTCGTTGGGGACGTTTCAACAAGGTGGAACTCGCAACTATACATGATTGAACGTTTAATTTTATTGAGCAGCAATATAGGATCTGTTTTGATAAATCACCCAAACGCGCCCTCAATGCTTCAAGCACATGAAATTGTGGTGCTCAAAGAAATTCAAAAAATTTTAAAGCCTTTTCATAGCGTCACTGAACAAATGAGTGCGGAAAAATACGTTACTCCCAGCAAAGCTATACCGATTAGCAAATGTTTGAGAGCTGCGTTAGATACTGTTACACCAACAAGTCATTTGGCAAAACAACTGAAACAGTCCTTACAATCAGAATTCAATAAAAGATTTGAAAACATCCAAAAAGTGCACCTTTTTTCAGTTGCAACGTTTTTGGATCCTAGATTCAAAAAAAATCATTTAGATGATGACCCTTCATCCTTATCGAAAACAATACATTATATCAAGACATATTTAAACTGTCCTACTAGAAATGACGATAATTCGGGAGCAGCTAGATAATTAGTTCCATCGAAAGCAACGGTCGAGGGAGAAGATATCTGACAGGCACATTATGAAAAATAAAGGCATGTAACGCGTCAATGGTCAACAATACCGAACTGGACTTATACTTTGCGGTACCGCTATCGGATCTTATGGGAGATCCTCTCAATGTCTGGCAGAGCTCCGAAGAGAGCACTCCTAAGTTAACCGAATTGACGCTGCAGCATCTCTCTGTGATGGCCACTTCTACTCCATCGGAAAGATTATTTTCCAAAGCGAGAAATACGGCCAGAAAACACGAAACCGTATTTTAGGAAAGAGATTATCAAAATTATTATTTTTAAACTGCTTACCGGAAAATTTATGTCAATAATATTATTCTTATTATACGTTTAGCATCATGTGACAACATGTTAACGCTGTCATTTAGCTTTTTTTACTTATCGTTTAATTTTATTTTAATACTACTCTTACATAAAACGAGACTGAAAATTTGTGCCAATAATTATTTATTTATAAGAATTGTTTTTTTTTTTTGTTTTTGAGACCATAACTGAGTCGTTTAGTTTTTAATTGTCATTTTCAGTATTTTATTTTAATAGGTACTAGTCAAATGTACAATAGGGCGGGACATTTGTGTCAATAATTATTTTTAATTTTGTTATTGTTAATTTTCTAAACATTAACAAATAAATTGTTTAATATTTTTATTTTGAAAACCATTAACGTCGTTTAGTTTTTAAGTGTCATTCAAAGTAGGTATTTTTTTAATGCAAGTCACAGGTAAAATAAGACTGGACATTTGTGTAATTTTTTTAATTTGTTTTATATTTTAGTTTTTGCGATAATAAAGTTATCTTTTTGTTGAGGTGCTCATTTAATTTATAATAAAACGTTTATTGTTACTGAGAATTTGTATCAATAATGGTTTTTGGTTTTATTATTCCTTACTTTGAAAGTTTGAAAGAACATTCATTGCTATGATTTTTAGTTTTGATTTGTTTGTTGCAATGAATCTCTTAAACCTATTATTGGAATATGAAAACCATGGAGGATTTTAAATAATAGAAAAAAAATATGATTTTTTCATTAAAATCGATTATTGACAAATCGATTAATATTTCATAAAATAAAATCGATTTTTTATTAAATCGATTCTTTTCATTCATCTCACATCCTTGCTTCCGTGCTTGATACATTCATAGCACGATCATGGTATGATTCGGTGTAGTGGGCAGACTCTTTAAAGCAAGATTCATTATTTTTAAACAGAAATTAAGTATGGATTATTATAGACAGAAAATATTGATTATTGTGAAGTGTTTCATCAACAACAATCAGGAAATGAAGTAAGAAAATATAACTGTCATTCCATGTCACAAATTCGTTACAATTTAAAGAATCGATTATGAGGTTTTGTTTAAACCTTTTTAGATCAGTATCGATTCATGTCAAAATATCATACAATCTTTTTTTCTGAAGAACTTGTTTAGGTACTATTTAGTGAGTACTAGTTTTTTTTAAGTGTAAAAAAGATTTTAAGTTCCATGCTATTTATGTTAGTGTAATTTAGTGAAAATGTTATAATATAGTAAAGGAAAGTCGTGACGATTTATCGTTCGAAAGCCACTAAATCGCGCCTAGCCTGTTAATAAACGTTTTTCTAAGAAGTAATTAAGTGCTTCAGTGCTTATCACATATTCAAATCATTTTTAAATATTTATATTTATTTAAATTATATTCATAGGAAGAGGTTCCATGTCATTTTTATAAAACCTGCTTTTTGTAATATGACAGTAACAAAATAAACAGGGGCTTATGGTATCATCACTTGGTTGTTTTGTCTCTAAGTGTTGGGTAAACGTCTATACTTTTGGTCTGAGATTATAAATTACAACAATTTAAGTTAGTAGACAAATAACATGGCATCCAAAATTAGGACAAGATAACGGTTCCTACGGCGGCGCGACTCAACCACGGAGTCATAGATTTCGGCGAGATAACATTTATCTTAAATAAATATATTTTCTACTATCTGAATTTAAAATTTAGTAGATTTTCAATTATAAATTGCTATAGCTGTGTGAGATGTCACACTAAAACAGTACTATGTTTAATTATATAAAAAAATGGATGCTGGCTTTACACATAATTGTACTTACAAATTACAATTTTTTTAATACATTTCAACAATGAAAATACTACATATTTTACAAAGAAACTCGTTTAGTTGTAGTAACAATGTCACATATTAAATACAAAAATAGTTACTGAACCTTCAACAGGGATAAGACGAAAAGACTGATAATGAGTGATAGTGAAGTCAATAACAATAAAAATAGCTTCAATTATGTCTTCACTGGAACACTTATTTTTTTATATTTTTATATATGACACTCATAATGTAACTCATAACGCTTAGATTTCATCGCTCATCATTGTTTTAAGTTAAATATTGCAATATAAATAGTGTCCACAACATGTGTTCATATAACATACATACATTTACCTGTATATACTTATCATATAATTTGTGCCATCAACATTACATAGGACATAGTTATAATCTATTTACAATTTCAAAACATAGAGATATGTTTGTGGTATAATACTCATATAAAACTTACAACACAACAAGCGGTTCATTGCTTCGTTTCAGGTTTCTTCTCGTCATCTTTGAAGAGCAGCGGTGTCATGCCCAGGAAACAGCCAAGAGTGATGCCTAAAACACGGCCCTATAAAAAATACGGAATATATCTTTAAAACAGTTTATATGGTCTTGTATGGACTTATACATGTTGAACTGCAATTAACAATGATAGAGGCAGCAGATAATTTATGTTATGACAATAACAAGATACTGCCATAATATATTATTTACAGAGATCAATTGTCTTATTTATACAATATGGTAGATTTAGTATATACGTGTATATATTATCGTTTTATGCACTATCTATAATTGGAAATAAAAAAAACATTTGTTCAGTTTATTAATTATTTGCTTTTACAACTGTACTAAGTTTAACATATGTAATTGTCTATAAGACATGCATTCTTATTCATTCCCCAACCGATATATTAGGTCTGTACCTACCATGTTAGCAAACCTCCTGCTGGTGGGCATGTCAAGCTGTACAGGTGACAGTGCGGGTGCCCCCAGCCCCACCATAGCGGCGGCGCGCTCCACGTAATATGAGGATCCGATACCTATTACATCACTGAAGGTGTTCCCTAATGCAGCGGCAGCCATCGTTGATAGTGTTATATATGCACTCATACTACTTTCAATGCTGTCACCCTGAAATTCACATAGTTTTCATTAATGAAATAAAATATTTCATTCATAATTTAATATTAAAATATACAGTGTTTTAATATATAATACTCACAGCAATTATCATGATGAAGTTGTCCAGGAAACCAAATCCAATGAATGGTATTGAATTTGCCAATGACACTGGAAATGTACAATAATAAATACTGTCAATAAATGATGATTCTCACAAAGAGAGATTTAAGATCACTGAATACATTCATGTGGATGATGTTTAGAAAAACTGGCAAGAGTTCAAAAAAAAAATCATACATTCCTTTATGAAAGAAATGTATACTTAACATATATTTAACACACCGTTATGAAATATGTGATGATTTATTGGTTTTGACATCTTATTTGTAGTTAAATTTATATTTTTTCCATCATTTATATGATTATTCTTAATTAATTAGACATAATGGGACATAGCAACTTACAATGCAGTAACTCCCTCGTTGTTGGCTTAGGAACAGTGGCGGCTGTAACACAACATTGAACAGAATTGTAGAACAAGCAATCTCTATAATTTATTCCTTGAGTAATTAATAAACTTTTGAAAGAAAATAATTTTTCAATCAGCATGAAATCCAGTTAAAACTGGATAAAACTAGTTTTGGCAAACTCTCCTGCAGTACAGATAAGAAAATTATATAACATACCATATTTTTTCTTGAGCCAGTCTTCTGGAACAGGACAGTAGGTCCCAGTGGGATCCACATCTCCCAAAGTAGGAACTTTGCTAGGTCTACCAAGCTTGCTTCTCCATCTTTGGCCAGCTAATTTATCTATAGCCAATGACAATTTATTACTTTGTGTACTTATAAATAAGTGTAAAAACAGAGGTGTTATTTTTAAATATAAATAAACATTTACCTTCAAATTCTTCTTTTATTCTATTAGATTCGTATTCCTGTAAGGCATTGAATAACATTTTTCTTTCTTCATTGTTTAAACGTAGAACTAATTCTGTTGCGTGAGCTTTAGTAAGAGGTCCTGATATCTGTCCTGGTTCTTCGAAATCTTTTGAAGTAGGGCCAAGTCCTAATTTTCGTATATTTATTATTAGAGGAGAATATCTTCTAAAATTTAGTGAACTCGATGCACTAACACTATGTCGAACTTGCAAAGTAATTGGGTTTTTTTGACAGCAAATACTGAAATTATTTAACGATTTCTTACAAAAACTTTTCATAGCTTGCACTGACTTCATTTTTTAAATAAGTATGACTCAAAATGAGTAAACAAATGTAAATTTATTTCAGATACCAGCAACCAATCTGTTTACGTTCCGTTTCATAATATATATTGTCAGTTTTAGTGATTGTCAAATTTTTATTTGTCAAAAGTTTAAATGTCTTTTAAAATATATATTATACAAAATTTTACTACATAAAGTGTGATATAAGATATACATAAATGTAATCAATAAATTGTGTCCCCATAACGTATAATATTCAGTTACTGACAATTGTTTATATAAAATAAATAATTAAAGTTATTATTGTCATACATTCTGAATGTATTATTAGATATAAACTAGATTATGACTTCTTTTTATATTTTTATAGTTAAATGGTATATGTATATTTTCACTCAGATACATTTAGCACCGTAACTTTTCTTGAGTAACACTGACCTACATCAACATTGTCAATTATATTATGTCACAGAATTACACTTTGTTTGACATAAGTCAAATTTGGTTAAAATGAAAAACACCGAAAAAGACGTAATATATCAATCCTAAAAAGATAACTTTAATGTGACGAGCGATGAGAATTAGTATCGTAATAATATTGTGCACGTGACTTATTTAAATCCATATATAAATAACTGACTTATTGTTTACAAATATTGTGATCACTTTGGAAGGTTGTGAAAGTGTTCTAAGTACACAGTTTTAAAAGCCGACATGTACCATGTTGGAAGGTCTCGTAGCTTGGGTACTAAACAACTACCTCGGGAAATATGTAGAAAACTTGAACACGGATCAGCTGAGCGTCGCGCTGCTGTCCGGTAAACGAACATTATTACGAGATCATTCTAGTTAGAAGAAGTTTTAAATTGTATATTATAACTGTTGTAAGAAAAGATTATGTTGTCTGTTAACATCGTATTTTGGTAATATTTATTTATATAATATAGGTAACTGTTGATCAAACTTTCCATATATAATTTACAGGTAAAGTAGAATTAGAAAATCTACCACTTAAGAAAGATGCTCTTCGTCACCTGGGTCTGCCCGTGGAGATCAAGGCCGGTTTCATTGGTAAGGTGCAGCTACATGTTCCCGTGAGACAGATCCGGTCTGCACCATGGGTCATTGCTATCGAGAAGCTGTACTTGGTTGCTGCTCCGGTCAATTTGGATGAGGTATGGTTACATTACACTTAGATTTAATACAAATAAAAGCAAACCTAAGTGTATGTGGAGAAAAATATGCTATTTATGTATTGTCAAAGTAAAAGACATTATTTAAATCTTACATGTTATTATACAATATGTTTTTTAATGTATCCTCAAGTATACAAGTGTGAGAGTGTGATAATAAACATATTAAAAATTAAAAGACATGTGTTCTTCTATCATGTTTAAAATTCCAGTTTTATTAACTTTTATGATAGTGATACTAAAAATAGCAATTTTTTTTTGTATAATATAAAAATAACACAATTTGTGTAAGCGGTAAATATCAAGTAAAGTGATGTTTGCTCAGTAGGTATTATAAAAAAAATTAAGTAAGGTTTTCCATTTCCTTTCTAATTTAGTGAAAAAAAAATACTACTTTATTTTTGTAAAAAGCTAAATTCACTGAAACATTTAATGAATTATAAATATACTATATAAGTTATGCTAAGTTAAAGTAAAATAAAGAAAATTACAAAATTTTACCATCCAAGTGTGTACATGGAACTTAAATATGTATATAACTCCAGAATGGGTTATTTAAGAAGGGAAACAGTTTAATGAGTGACGAGTGTTGCTGATGATACAAATAATATGTTATGTTGATAATGCAGTGGGACAGTGATGTGGAGGCAGCCATCGCTCATGAGTACAAGGTGTCGCTGCTGGATGCCCTGGAGGCCCAGTGGCGCGCCGAGCACGAGGCCTCCGACGTCGGGTACTACGCCGCCTCATACTCCTCCTGGCTCAGCTATGGCACCGGCCTCCTTGCGAACATTGTGGAGAACCTTCAGGTACACTTGACAATTTAGTACCAACACATATAGAATGTTAGAAATTACATTTCCTTGAGTGACTGTTGGATGTTAAACTATTTATATAATTTTGTCATCTAGCTGAACCTGAACGACGTTCACATACGGTACGAAGACGCTCTGACATGTCCGGGACGCGCCTTCGCGTGTGGACTCGCGGTGGAGGCTCTAACGGCCGAGTCCTGCGACTCAAACTGGCGCCGAGGCGCCGTGGCGGCCGGCGAGGAGCCTTGCTCCTACAAGCTGCTCGAACTTGCCAACCTAGCGCTCTACTGGGACCCCATGCCTGTGCCCGCTGGCATGATGGCCGATTGCACCATCACCGAGCTCACGGTCGGTACACTATATTTTCGTGGAATCGGTCGTAACTTATGTCTCTCACGACGTCGTTCTTCCGCTCTTCTCAGGAGCGCATGCGCTGTACGTGGAGCGGAGCTCACCGCTGGTTGGTCCAACCGAGCACGGCGAGCGCGCGGGTCCGACGCGAGCGCTGCGACCAGCCTCTGAGGGACCGCACGCGGCCGCGCCTCGCCTGCCACCTCACGCTGGACTCGGTGCTCCTGCGCCTCACCGACGTATGTCCATGTCGACCTTCATATCGAGGATCCTCTGTGTGATCGCTTGTGGTGAGACGTAGCCGTGTTCTGTTTCAGCGCCAGTACAGCGAGATGACGGGCTGCTGCCGCGGTCTGGAGCGTGTGGCGCGGCTGAGGGCGGTGAGGGCGCTCCGACCTCGCTCCCCGCTCCACGGACACGCTCGCCAGTGGTGGATCTACGCGGTGAAGGCTCACCTGCCGCATCACACCTGTTAGTACTCAATATAAATAATAGGTTTAGAGAACTTTATTTTCCAGAAAAAAACACAAAGTCACTTACATGGAAACAAAAAATTCAAGTAATATTAAATGTCGTTTTTAAGATAAAATTACATAACGAGTTGGTTTACTCATTCAATGTATTCAATTTACAAGTGGGTATAGTCCGTTAGACTTAAGCTGAGCTTTGCATTTATGTGAGTGAAAGTAGAAGTAGTGTTAGACAAAAAACCTTTTACAAATTAAATTTTATTATAATTTAAATAGATACATAACATACGTGCTATAAAATAAGCAAAACTCGTAAAAGGAAAGATGAAAATATTATGAATACTATGGAAAAAAAAAATTAATTAATAAAAAATTTCAAAAAACTATACAAATTCTTATTCACTTGACATTGCGTTTTGAACATTTGATATTGCTACCAGTACAAAAGGTGAAGTGAGGTAGGTGCGGGGCGGAGTAAAAGCAGAATAAACCGGTTCAAACCTAGAAAAGAACGCAACGCGCACAAATTTGACATCACATCTACGCTATCCGTGTAAATTCACACAAATGCAAAGCTCAGCTTAAATCAAACGCACTATAGTTTTGTATAATATATTCCGATAGTTTAGTTTTGAATACATTAAATGAGTTTACAGATTTTAAAGTAGACGGCAATTTATTATAATACTGTGCGCCCTCATATGTAAACATTTTTTGCCCCGTTTTTTTCTAGTCTTGGGTAAAACTAAGAAACTAGCGCGGCACGAGTGCAGCGTACGTTTCTTAGTGATAAGCTAGTATGGAGTGAGCTATTTAAAATTTTTCTGACAAGAATGCATATATTAAGTATATATCATTGTTTTATGGTCATTAATTTAGTTTCTTTATATATTTGTGTGGTTGGCGTTAAAAAATTGTAAAGGAATAATATTTTGATAATTTTGTTTTGTAGTATTTGGAGATTGGCTAGTTTCGTTTTGGCGGCGCTGCCCCATATTTCAATTAGATAAAGTAAGTGCGGTTTGACCAAGAAATTGTAAATCATAAAGCGTATCTGTCGTGGAATACACCGGACAATTCGTCGAAGCGCTCCTGTAAGGGATGATAGTTTTGCTCGTATGTGCTCAATCTGTGCATTCCACATCAAACAATTATCCATTCTCAGACCTAAGTATGTTTCGCAAGTTTTTTCCTAGATAATAATGTCATTAATTTGTAATGGATCATGAGGAGGAATCATTTTGTTTTTTGATTTAAAAATTACGTAACTTGTCTTTGTATATGTATATCGTCTAAATCTGCACCGGGACCCGATGGTATCCCATATATAGTCTTTAAAAAATGTGCATCGGTTCGTAAACACCTCCTAAATATATACGGTAAAATCTGGTCAAGGAAGCAAATCCCGGAGTGCTTCGGGAAAGCAATTTTTGTCCTCATTCCCAAAAAAGATCGAGTTACTGATCCGAAAGATACTAGACCGATAGCTTTAACAAATACTATATCGAAAATCTTTTTCTCGGTTCTACAAACGAGAATGACGCGATTCATGCTCAGCAACAACTATTTTAGGCCAAATCACCAGAAAGGGTTTTTACCCGGGATTTCTGGATGCTTAGAACACAACACCTTGCTGTCGGAGAGTTTAAAAGATGCTAGAAAAAGCGAGCGGCAAATCACGGTTTGTTGGATAGACTTGGAGAACGCGTTCGGGTCGATACAACACAACTTTCCACCCCTAGTTAGAGATATGATCGCGTCGTATTACTCAAAATTAAGGTTTTCTATAATAACTAAAGAAGGCCCTTCAAAAAGTTTGAGTTATAATGTAGGACTGTTTCAAGGTTGTTGTCTATCTCCAATTGCGTTTAATATCGTAATTAACATCTTAGTAGACAAATTAATCTGTAACGAGAAAAAATGGGGTTATCGGTTTAAGTTTAATAATAAATACACGGAATCCATTTTAGCCTTCGCTGACGATCTCGCAATACTGACACGTAACCCCAAACACTGTCAAGTACTATTGGATGAAGTGGATAAATTCTGTGAGTGGACGGATGGATTGAGGACAAAACCCAGTAAATGTCACTGTCTGTGTCTTGGTAGGCGGAATACAAGATACACCTCATACGATCCGGGACTATCGTTAGGCGGTCAATGCATTTCTACGGTTACGAAAAATGCACCATTTAAATTTCTCGGTCGTAAGATAGATAATATAGGCCGTACTCCATCTTTAGAAGGAATAGTAGATAGCTTTTTGAACGATCTTAACAAGGTAGATAGCCAACTGATAAGTAACGTCAAAAAAGCGTGGATCTACGAGAATTACTTAACTTCACGTTTGAATTGGCCTTTCCTCGTCTATGATTTTAATAAAACCCTTTTGTCAAAGTTAGATGCAGGCGTCATAAAGATGTTGAAGTTGTGGCTCGGGCTCGCTCTAACGGCGGATTCATCGGCGTTATTTAGGGGAAGCAATAGTTTTGGGATGAGTCTAAAAAGGCCATCGGAGCTCTATAAACACCTAAGAGTTTCCAAGAGATATATCCTGGGGAAATCCCATGATGACATAGTGACATCGCTCCCAAAAGATGAAGATGCCCCCGAGCTAGAGTCACGACTTCAATTCCATAAGCAATTTATGATAGGAGCGCAAAGTAACAGAGCGGGGTTAGGATCAAATAGGAAAGTCCAAGATGCGGATATATTGAAGTCTTTTATTCGGCAAGACGAGAATGATAAATATAAGATCCATGCAATGAATTTAGAAATGCAGAACGAGTGGTTAGACATAGGAGATTTTTGCATCCCATTAGCATTAAAATGGCGCACTTTAATTTATGATTGGTCGCCAGCATTGCTAAAATTCTATCTCAATGCGTTCCAGATGACTCTCCCAGATCAGAGTAATTTAGTAAGATGGGGTAAAAGTACCGAAAAAACTTGCTATATCTGTGGAAAGGCAGTTGGAACTGCTAAGCATCTGCTGGTGGGATGTAGGGTACTTCTTGACAGCGGTCAATACTCGCGTCGTCACGATAGGGTTCTAGAAGTCATACGTGAAGCGGTTAGTCTTTCGGTAGCCAGAGCGCAAAAGGGAATAACCACAAACGAACGATCAGTAGGTTTTGTGAAAGAAGGCACTAGGGCTACAAAATCAAACGTCAAGCCTTACTCCATCCTTAAAGCGGCGTCGGATTGGACTATAATGATGGACACGTATGAAAAACAATATAAAATCCCCGAGGATATTTGTGCGTCGGCCTCCAGACCGGATATATTTTTGTTTTCGCGAATTTTAAAGCGCGTAGTGATGATAGAGCTTACGGTCCCTTGGGAAACCAACATCCCCAAAGACCATACCATCAAGGTCAACAAATATTACGAGCTCACAAACGAACTCACTCGAAATAGGTTCGTAGTAGATTTGTACGCGGTAGAGGTGGGAGCGAGAGGTATAACAGCGAAATCTCTCTATAACCTACTAAAGGACTTGGGCTTGTCCAGAACTCACATTAATGCATTCTTGGAACGTACATCGAAGGCAGCCCTAGTAGGTTCTTTTCAAATTTGGTTAGGTAGGGAGAGGAGCTTGGACAGTGGAGGTGAGCGTATAACGCGCGTTAGTTAAGGGGCCCCTTAAACCTACACTTGGGTCGCAAGTCCCAGGCACTGTTGAAGCTCCTCCCCCTGCAACGCGATGGACCCGGCACCCGCACGGTGAATCCATGGAATGCTGAGAAGTTTCGTCTGTTAGCAGATTATATTGGAACCAGGTAGATAATTTAATAATACCCGTCATTGTGCTTCAAGTGAGTTCATACGATACAATGTAGATTGTCTTGTTTCAGGGATGGACCCGCGGCCCACGTGGGAGGGTTGCTGCTCGGCGGCGGGGGCGGCGCGCCGGTACGTGGCGCTGGTGCTGCAGACACTGGTGTCGCCCGCCGCCACGCTGCCGCCGGACGACCAGCGCGCTAAAGATGATTACGAGTGGCAGCAGCCCTTACATGTCCTCAAGCCGCTGCGGGAGGTATGCACATATAAAGGCCAAACATTTATAACCCTATTTTTCAACAGTGATGGATTATCACTCTAATTGCATAACTTATTATAAGTAGGCACTCACATTAATACATACACACACACACACACTCACACACACACATATACACTCTAACCACTGAATACAATCTCTCCCACATATATACAACAGTTTAATGTAAAGAGCTCTCTTTGTTAATATGGCGGCGTGGGGACCTGGAGACCTGTAATACAGGTACATATTCTTATACCCATCACGGGCTCCAGTCTCTCACTAATGTATATTTCTATAAGATGAAGATGATGTATGTAAAATTACTTGATGTAAGTACTTGTATTAATTCAAATCAATGATTTCGTTTCGAGTTTTATTTTGAATAATTTTTTTTCGTGCATAATGAATGAGCTGTCGTCAGAGGATTTTAGATGATGGATTTTAAATAATATGTTTTGACATATCTGTAACAAAAGAAAGTAAGTAAAGAATTGAGATCTAAGATTTTCGCGAGTACACATTTAAATGAAACTAATATTTTCGGATTTTACTTCGCGTTTTATTTTTTATTAAAAACTACATACTCCCGACGTTTCGGCTACTTTTCAGCAACCGTGATCACGGTTAAAAATAAAACGCGAAGTAAAATCCGAAAATATTTTTTTCATTTAAGTAAAGAATTCTTTAGCGGTACTAAAAAAATTATTACTTCTATTAAAAGCATTTCTATTATTTATATAATTCCGGAACTTATTTTTAGTGTATTAGCTGCGGAATTTGATAAGTTCAATCAATATTTAATCTTCTATCTTCTATATATATAAAAATGGATTGCTGTTCCTTAGTCTCGCTAAAACTCGAGAACGGCTGAACGGATTTATCTTATCTTAGTCTTGAAATGTTCGTGGCGGTTCAGGGAAGGTATAAAAGCTGAAAAAAATTGATTCATTACTGGGAAAACCATAAAAACAGCCCTTTTCTATTTCCCATACAAACGTTTTTTTTGACATTAGATTTGACAACTAACTAATATGTCAATCATTCTGTCACACTTCAAAACACGGGGATTTATGGCTTACAGGTTAACTCTCAAAATATAAATAAAAAACGTAATAGATATTTTTTGATTATAGGGCGATACGATGTTCGCCAGGTCTTCTAGTTTGTAATAAATTACTTATATGTATGCAAGAAGTATTGTGTTCAAACATTCATACATGAAAATAGCTGACATAGATTTTTGTTCGCACAGTTACTACTGACAGCAGTATGTACATGGCAAGTTTATATGTTAAGAAAACTATAGGTATTCATCAAACAGAAGGGACGTGAGAGTAACAATTATTGTAATAAACTCTAATATGGAACTCATCAAGTTGTATTCGATCCAAAGTTATTATTAGGGCCGGGATTAATATGTAAATACATATTTTTAATTTACGCGATTTTCGGTCTAGAATGTGTTTATTACATGGATTGTCATATTTAGACTGTGAAAAACCAACTTTTGTTTTCCATATTTTTTCATACTTTACCATATTTCAAAGTTAAGTCCATATTTTACAAGTAAATGTCACAATCATCCATATATTCACAAAAATACATAAAATTTACGTTCCCGCCACTAATGTTATGGATAAAAATAAAGGATTTAGTACGCAAAAAAAAATTATAAAATTCTGTGCAAAAGTTTCGAGGGCTGTAGACAGGGCTTACACAATTACTGAATTAAGCATGTTAAGTATGCACTCAACACGTCATGTGACGTGGAGAGATCATTATATCTGCTATATCTGTTATATCTGCTATAAGGCTATATGTCAACCAAATGGTCAGTTTTCATTTTGATAATTTAAAGAAGCACGTCATTGTGTATTGCAACCAATTTGATAAGGCTAGTGCAATAGAAGTTGAATAAAATTGTCATTTTTTGTTGAAATAAATATTTCGCTATTTTTTTTCATCGTTTTTTAAATGTATCTTTTAATGTACGTCACGTGTGACCCTTTTCTTATAGTAAAACAATGTTTAATTATGAAAGCATTTAATTTTATACTCCTCATTTTTTCCATATTTTTGATTTTTTCGTCTATGTATTATGTACACATTTTAGATTTTTTAATACATATTTATCCGGGCCCTAGTTATTATATACGTCGAGATGAAATATGCCTTCAAACCAGCGTCGGGGGGTACATTTCATTAGTGGGATGTTATATAGTAATAATTTTACCAATGAAAGGTGGCGATGCGGAAGGTGCCGGCTTCGACGCCGGTGTTGTCTCCGGAGCAGGCCAACTCGGGTCGCAGCGTGTTGGTCCGTTGGTTCCCGCAGTGGTGGGGCTGGTACGCGTCTCCCCCCGCCGAGGGTCAGTCTCCTCCGTCCCCCGCGGAGGGCGGCGTCTCCTGCTCCTCTCCGCCGTCCTCCGCCAGCGCCGCCACCTCCAAGCTAGAAGACGAGATCCTCGACGTGATCGCTGATTCTCTGGACGACAACACGCTGCTCCGTCGAGACGCCGTGTTCGGACTGTTCGAGTTCACGCTCCAGAGAGGCTCCCTGGACATCTGTATCGACAACGGCGAGGAGGACAGGTCAGTGTGTCCGTGGCATGTGGTGTTGTGTCCTCACAGTCGGTAGTGAGTGTTGGTGTCCACAGCGAGCCTCGCGAGGGTGTGGAGCTGCAGTTCTCGGCCGTGTTGCTGCGCGTGGAGTCCCGGCCCCGTTCGTCCGCGCACGCCGTGCACGCGTCCCTTGGGGCCGTGGTGCTGCGGGACCGCGTCACTCCGGACACGTTGTTCCCGGTGCTCGTCGCGCCGCAAGTACTGCTTTTCATTTACACATCCTTTTTTTCCGTTTCGCGGATATCCGTTAATGTGTCGTTCCTCGTCAGGGCATGATTCGTGAAGGCCTGAGTGCAATGAATGCGGCGGCGAGCGCAGCCGCGTGGTGGCGCGCTCAGCGGCCGCTGCACAATTCCTCTGCCGCCGCCGAGCCGTTGTTCCAACTATTTTATGAGAAACGCCCGACCGGACCCGGCTATGACTATAGACTGCGGGTGAAGTCTCGTTCCGTGGAGGTGGTGTGGGCGGTGGGCGTGGCTCGGTGGGCGCGTCGCTGGGCGGCAGCAGGCGGCGCCTTCGCCACCGTTCGTAGCCACACTCGCGCTACGCTGCATCACCACTGGGGTCGCCTCATGCATCACGCTCGTACTCCGGTTTGTTTCGTCAACATCTGAGGCGCAGTTGTTGTTAACGTCAGCTAAATGTAATTGGTTTTGTTCGCAGAGCGAAAGACGTTCGTGGCAGATCGAGCTGGACATTTCCGCCCCTCAGATCCTCTTAGTGGAGGAACTGTCTGACCGCGACGCATCCGTGCTGCTCCTAGATTTTGGTCGTTTACGTCTCGCAAACGCGCCGCCGCCCGATAACGAGCACAAATGTGACGAAGTGCCGAAACAGTTTTCCGCTGATGACGACGAAGGTATCCCTAGTTCCGATCTCCTCACGATTCCATTTCATTCTTCTATGAAGACTGCGCTCTCTTCCAGAGCTGTTCATGACGCCCTGCTCGACGCCTCCTGGCAGCCTGCTGTCCCCGGCGTCCCCCGGGCCGTCCCCCGCGGGTCCGCCCCCGCTGCGGCCCGCCGACCTGCACCCTCGCCTGTATGACCGCTACTGCGTGGAGCTCAGTGAGCTGCAGGTGCTGGTGGGGCGCGCTCGTGACAACTGGCGCTACGCCCACAACAAGACCACCTCCGCTCTTCACCTGCTGGATCGCTTCACCATCTCGCTTCAGGTGCGCTCACTTCGTGTTGAAAGTCATAAACTGTGTAACCTGTCTCCCATTTCAGACGTCAGTTAAAGTGGCTTCCGATTCGTTTTCGCCGTAATGTACATGTTTTGACCACACTTTTTAATATATTAAATCACTCGACTTCACACTATATTTTCGAACGATTCAAGTTTTCTGCACCGCGTGAAAGGCCACTTCGGTCTTGTGTCTTGAATAAAGTTTTTATATACACCCGTATAATGGTATGTGTATTTTTTTTATATATGTGTGTATATATTATTTGTATTTATGTAAATTAATATGTAATTAATAATAGTTTTATGTATATATAAGTATGTTTATGTAAAGTAATAAATAAAACGCAATTTAATTATTCTTTTTGTTACCAAAATTAAAGATGTACCTACCTTACCTGTAATTTAACATAATATTACTCACACTCCAGGGTGGCTGGAAGAGATCTCTCATAGAGATAAACTTTCCTATGTATCACTTTGTTTTTTGTTATTCTTTTTTTCTGTGTTACTTGTTTTTCGTACATGAATAAATAAATAAATAACCTGTCGTCTGTCCCAGGCGGAGCGCCGCGTGGTGTCGACGGCCGACCCTCAGTACCCTCGCGCGGCTGTGGGCGGCTCGCTGCCGGCGCTCGTGGTCCACCTCAGTGAACACAAGCTGGCCGCCGTCAGAGCCGTTATCGCCTCTCTGAGACCGGAAGGCTCCCACAACGGTCACAACGACCTGTAAGTTATTAGACTTATGGGGATGTTAATGTCCGTTGCGTTGGTTTAATAAAAGTCCACGACACTATTTAAAATGTAATTGTATTGTAATAATGCACACAGAAGAAAGTTACAAGACTGACACAGAAAGGATAAAGTTCATACAGTTCCGAAGGAGATAACTAACAAACTATCAATACACACGAAATAAAATAACAAGAGTAAAACATGTATTTGGTATTAAAGCGCAAGATGGAATGTTTTAAGTTTTTATTCGGATCTAGTTATTAGAATTTAACACAGTAAATAACGTGAAACTCATATTGTCGCCCGCACGCGTTGCCGCATACTCCGCGCTTCACCCGAGTATGCTCGTGAATTAAATTTTTATTATAAATAATATTATATAAATTTTTATACATATAATATTGAATATATAAATGTGTAGTGTGAATGTGTAGTGTGTAATATACGTAAATAAATATTAAATATAATTTTATATATCAAATATGTTGTGTAATAAATAAATATATTATAGTTACATATATATTATGATAATACGCCTACAGACTCATGTGCATAGCGATAGAAATACGAACAGTCAATAATCGACATTACCAGGTCGCCTCATCGAGAGGGCGCGGGCGAGGAGCCGGGCGAGGACAGAGACGACACGGAGACTGAGTTCTCAGAAATGTCCACCAACCAGAACACGGCGCTGCTGATGCTGCAGTTCGCTATCGATCAGATGTCTCTGGAGGTACGGATTGTTTCTGAGCCGTTTTATGAGACTAATATCGATTCCGCTAACCGATGAGCATATCTGTGTGCAGGTCCAGTCCCGGGGGCGAAGCATCGCCGAGGTCCAGGTGTGTGGAGTGCGCGCTGCCCTGGCGCTCCGGCCTGCTGACACCTCCCTCTCTCTGTCCGTCCACTCGCTGCTGCTGGTGGACGCGCTCCAGACCTACGGGCCGGACTTCGAGCTCCTCCTCGCCAGTCATAAGCATCTCGGGTAACGGATCTTTAGATTATGATCGGTTATATTCATCCTATCATACCTTTAGCATCACCTGATGCTTTGTGCTTTGATCTCAACCTAGTCAAAACCCTTAGGACATACGAAGATAGGCTCAAGTTCTTTAAATTACAGTCACTTTCGGATCGAAGACAGCTCTATGATCTCACTTTCCTATATAAATTGGTGAATCCCTATTAATTGACAGTCCCTGTTTATTAAAACAGTTAAATATTCGTGCACCGGTGAGAACATTAAGACCGTTGTCTTATACTCCATTTGTAGAAAAACCTACACGCTCACGTCAAGGACGCTACTCTCCGGTTAATAGATTAATGTTAAGTTACAATGCTATCCATAAATTAACAAAAAATAATTGTACTACTTCATCCACTATTGATAAAAAGCTATTAGATAGAAAGATGGATATTGACATATTTTGTAATAGCCTTGTGGAATTTAAATGTAATTTATTAAGTTTTTATTCGTTATATAATTATAATGTAAATTAATCTAATATGATGGTCGTGTATGCTGACTCATTAATTTGTTGTATTTCATTTTATTGGATATTGCAATTCTATATTTTATATATTAATGATATTTAAGTACATAATTATAAATATTTTAAATTTATTTTTTATAAAAAACTATTAATTATTATTTTAATGTTAATGTTGATGATTTTTATTAGTAATATAATTTTATCTGCGTGTTACGTGTCTATTTTTCTTTGAAATGTGTGTAACACCTATAATTAAGACAACATTTTGATTTTATGATTACTTGTTCAATATTGTATTTTTCGCTTTTATTAATGTATGTCTTGTTGGTGTTAATAAATAAATAAATCACTGACATCCGAGTGTCCCCCACTTTCAGTATGGACACTACGTCGGGCAGCATCCTCGGCTCGGAGCCCACGTCCCCCACGTCTCCGTCGTCTCCGCCGGCCCGCTCTCCTCCTCCGCCGCCCACACCGCGTCAGCTGCACCAGGCGCTGCACTCCTTGCGATACCAGAACGACAACCACGACCATCTGGATCACGCCGAGACGGGCGACGGTAAACGGTTTAGAATATTAAGATCATGATATGATGATGATATTGATATTTAATAATAATGTGGAATAAAATTTTAGTGGTCGATCGAGCCGCTCCGAGTGCAGCTACCGATTGGGCGAATGGAATTTGCTGGAATTCTGTGAACACGTCGTTCGCCACCAGCGGGGCGGCGTGGACGAGCTTCGGACAGAGTTTAGGGAATTGTTGGACCGGAGTCGGGCAAGGGAGTCGGAGAGGAGCGGGCGCGGGGGGGTTCGGGCAGGAGGGAGGCTGGGCCGCGCCGGGACTCGTGGACTCGGAGGCGCTCATAGCGGTGGAGCTGTGCTTCGTCAAGGGGGAGGGGGACGCTGAGGACCTGAGGATCGCTAACATACTGTTCAACAATCTGGATGTCATAGGTTAGATGACGTATAACATTATTTCATTATATTGTTCGTTTACTGTATTGGGAGTATAAAGATAACCTCATAACGAAATTTCAAATTTTAAGAGTATACTTATAAAGTTTCAAAATTTCTATTTTCTTTACATCCTCTATAATATTGAAACGCATACATTCCGCCTCGAAATTATTCATCCACTATCATAGTTTACGTTTGATGATTTAGGGCTGAATTTATCTATCACAAATTTATCGGATAAGTTTGTTTTTATAGATAGATATGATAGATTTTGATGCTTCTATCTTCTTTTCGGCAAAAGTTTCTAATATTCTTGACAAACTTTCTTCTGTGATTCCATAAGGAGCTGGTTTTTGTTCTTCTACAAATTCCTCCAGTAGATATCCCCTGAACTGCACGTTTCCGTCTAGTATCCTTTATCTCTTTATGTATCCATTATCTTCGGTGACATAGATATCCATATTTGTCTTTTTTCATGTCTCTTTTGTAATGTTGTCTTTACTGACTTGTATACATGAGATTTATATATTGTCTCGTGCAAATTTATCGGTTGAAATTTCTCCGGAATTTTAAAAGTATGTTTTTCATCATTCATGATTGAGGTTATACAAATTATATTGGTTTTTGGATCTTCAGCAGCCTTCACCTTAAATTCGAACTTTAGCCTCTCCATAGTCCCTGCAATAGCTATGCAAATGTTGTTTTATAATGTGTATTAACACACTACCAAAGGTTGTGTAGGAATAAAAGCCCAAATAAAAGCTGTGAAAGAAATGTTTTATTATAATAATCATAAGTTACAAAACACTGTAGTTCCATAAAAGTAATTATTATAAATATCACAGACCTGTGAAAGAAACAACATTTAAAGCTATTAACTTATTCCTAATTTAATTAATTAGTGTTCTTAAACAAGAAACAACTATTTCACCACGTGTTCTTAAAAAGTAATCCTAGTAGTGACAGCAGCGACCCTCATGACATATAAGCTGCGTTCAAAAACTAAAAATAAATGAAGTTTAATATATGATCTTCATTTACATACTTTTAATTTTCAAGAGTTAAAAATACTAATCAAATATACACACCGTTCAGCCAATCAGGAGACTATAGTGGAGCTGATCGGCTTCGCTCACCGAGTGTGGGGTCCGGCGCCGGCCCCGGCTGACGGAGGGCACCAACATCAGGAGCGGGAGGAACACGTGGACGCTCTCACACCGGTATATTTATTGTGTGCTCAGGTTCTTACAACGTTGTTAATCTTTTAAACTTCTTATTCCCACTTCACCAGCAGCCGGTGCGCACGGAGATTACGTTCGACTTCCACCGCCTGGGCGTGCTGCTGCTCCGGTCGGGCCTTCAAGACGGCGCGCTGGTCGCCAGCAAGATCGCCACAGCCACGGTGGGGGACGCGCGGATCCAGGCCACTCTAGGTTCTTAATTTCCCTCCCTGACCTCTCTGTTTTGTTCTTCATCATCACTAATCGTCCCCACCGTTGCAGACGGAGACCGTATCGAGGTGGGCGGGTCGCTGGGCGGCGTGCAGGTGGTCTCTCTGTCGGAGCGCGCCGGTATACACTCGCGCGTGCTGACGGCGGGCCGACCTCCCGCTCCTCCCGCTCAACCCGCGCCTGCCACGAGACCTGCGCCGGGGACTCTGCCCCCGCAGCCTCAGTATCAGACCTCCAGTGAAGACAAAGCTCTGCTCTTTTCGATATCTAGGACTGTCAAAGAAGGAGGGAGTCGCGCTTCCAGTGAGTATCGACTCTTTAGTGTTTAGATTCGTGATCTCGGTATTACAATGGACTCTCCAAACTGAGTTTCATTCCACATATCGACGATATTGTTAATAAGTCTTTCAAATCCATAGGCTTCATAATTAGGAATACAAAAAAATTTAAGAGTACGTACACACGGCAGTTGTTGTTTGATTATTTAGTTCGCAGGAAGTTAGAGTACTGTTCAACTACTTGGAATCCATATTATAATGTCCATAAAGACAGAATAGAAAGAATATTTAAGATTTTTATTTATGCTTTATGCTTTATTGAAAAAATGATTTACAGAACGAAAATTACAAGACTATACTTGCAAACTATAATGCACTTGCTTTAGTAGATTGCAGATATATGCTGGACCTGTGTTTCTTTCATAAATTATATCCGATGCTATCGACTGTCCTGATCTATTAAATCGAATTAATTTTGTAGTTCCTAGACAAAATACCAGACATACAACATAGTACACTTTTAAAAGTAGATTTTCTAGGACCAAATTAGGCCAAGCTGCGCCAATAAGTAGAATCATTAAATGTTATAATGATATTGAGCGTAAAACAAACCTAGAAATTTTTAATGATAGTTTGAATTTGTTAAAAAGTAAAATTAAAAAACATTTCCATGCTCAATAATATGTCATGTCACAACTTTTTTTTTGGTAATTAAGTTTCTTTTTATATAGCTGTTTTTAGATTATTATTATTATTATTTATTCCTCTTTGTTATTATATACATACTTTTTTCACCATTTTTATTATTGTATCTAGTAAGTTTTGGAGTAAGATCTAAACATTATGTAACCCATGTTGAGTTAGCCTGTAAGTGATGATACGCAATTGTAAACAATTAATATAACAATTGTAAACAATAATAAAAATGTTATAATGTAACTTTTTGTGTATCACGTTGGCTTCCTATTAAATAAAAAATAGATGTACAGGTCCGTTCTGTGTTGTATTATATATCGTGTGTGTGTGCAGGTCCCGGCGAGCCTCCGTCCATGGCGTCGTGTCCCGCTGGTGTCCTGGAGGTGTGCGTGTCGGTGCGCGTGGCCCGCGTGTGGTACACCCACTCCCCGCCGCTGCTCCGCGAGCTCCGTGACTGCGTGGCTCAGTTCCAGCAGTACCTGGCCAACCTGGCGCGCTCCATCCGCGCCGCCGCCGCTGACATGGCTATAGGTCTCGTGCAACCAAGGTGTGGAATAACTACGCTGTCGAACACTAAATAATTTTCAGTGTTTCAATAAAGAGAAAGAAGAAAGAATGTGATGTCCTTTACAAGGACAATTGAGCAGGAAGACGTTTAACAAGTGTTTTAGTTACAGAGGTGAATCGATTTACTCCAACCCGCGCTTGTCACAGTCCACGGAGGGCGTGTCCCCTCGCAGGCGGACCGTGAGCGTGGGCTGCTCCTTGGACGAGCCGGACCACGACACGCAGAATATCATACTGAGGTAGTACAAGTTATCAATATTCGATAGATAAGTATGTATGCCTTGGCGTGGCGGGTCACGTAACTGAAGGGCTACTGTTCGTGTAGTGTGAGCGTGGAGCTGGAGTCCCCGGTGGTGGTGGTCCCCCGCGCGGCCCGCAGCCCGCACGTGCTGGTGGCGCACCTCGGCCGCATGTCCCTGCAGCAGCGTCCCGCCCCGGCCGCCGCTGCCGTCTGCACAGTTCGTGTCCGGGACATTTCTCTCGTTTCTGTAAGTTGTGTCACGGCAGACCTTACGAATCTTTTTATCAACTTCACATAGACAGGATAGAGAGAATTCAAAAGAAATTACTAAAATTTGTAAGATTCAAAGATAGAAACACGATTATGCTTAATAATTATGATGAATTATTAAAACATTACAATATGAAACCGCTTAAAAATCCTAGAGATATGCTGGACTTATCTTTTTACATAAAATAATATCAGGTAACATTGATTGTCCTAAATTACTAAAAAAAATTCATCTAATAGTAACGAGACCTAACGCGAGGCATACAAATACACCAACTTTCAAATTTCGTTTTGCAAGAACAAATTTAGGAATAAAGGCACCTTTAAATAGGGCTTTTAGAAGTTATAATAATATTTCTAAAAAAGTGGGTATTGATATATTTAACGATAATATAAAATCTTATAAAACAAAAATAAAAAAAACTTTAAACTTTTAATGTAATATACTTATTGTAAATAATATCTGCGGAATAGTCCATACACCTCTTACAAAAGAGTTCTACTCTATCTTATAAGAGTTCTACTTTATTCTTTATTATTTATTATTTAATAACTTGCTATATATATATACAGTGTAAACTCCATATAACGACACTCGATTTAACGACAAACTCTCTAAAGCGTCGAAATCATTTGACTTTGGTTGGTTTAGCTTGTCTACCATACAATGATACACTCTATATAGCGTCACAGCCACTCTCAATAACAACAAAATTGAGTAATAAAAGTACCCTTTAAGTTGCTAAAATTAGTAAAAAATGAGCAGCTGTGTACGTTTTTTTGTCGCTTTGTTATCCTAGCCCGCAATAAACTCCACTGTCGTAATCATGCATACCAAACTTTCTAAGAAATTCGTTCTTCACCAATATGCCTCAATATCGCAAGATATGAATAAAATACGTAAAAAATACAACAACATTACTGGTGCAGCAAAACACGTCAAACAAAAACAACAGACTTTATAACATTCTTTTTTATGTACATAAGTACTAACAGTAGTCGGAAACAAACTTTGTCTTTTTCTAATTCTGATTTTTCTTCCCTCTATTTAACGGCAACTCTCTATAACGCACTAAAATGCACGGTCCCTTCAGTGTCGTTATATAGAGTTTACACTGTATATATATTTGTGAATGCATGCTGAGTTAGCCTTTAATTGTAGTGTACTTTGTAAGATCATTATACATATTGGCTTCCTAATAAAATTAATAAATAAATTCTTCGTCTGTGAACTCCTTCACGTCGGATCTCTGTGTCAGCTGGTGTCTAACGTTCTGTTCTATGGGTGATGACCTTGGCAGTTGGACGTCGGTGACAAGGTCAGCAGACAACCTCTGGCCACCGACGATATGGCGGACATCTACGACGCGTCCGCCGGCCGGCCCGTGCTGCATGACACGGGTCTGCGCCTGCGCGTGGCGGCGGGCCGGCCGTGTCTGGTGGACGGGGCCGTGGTGGGCGGCCTGCACGTGTCGGCCAGCCGCGAGCAGTACGAGCAGCTGCTGGACACGCTCCGGTGGTTGTCGTCGTCGGGCCCGCCCCCCGCCGGCCCCTCCTCGTCGTTGTCCTTGACGTCCTCCTCCGCGCCCCTGCTGGAGCCCGCGGTGCCGACTCTCAAGCTGGATCCTCAGCTCCGCGCCGCCGTGCTGGCCGTGCCGCCGCCCTCCCCGCCCGTCACAGACCGAACCCTCCACACGCCGCTGCTCGGTACTATGTTCTTGATAGAATCTAGCTTTTATTTATTTTTATTTTCGTTTATTGGTAATCCAACAGTGTTACAGTATTCTTAGAATAACAGAGTAACAATATAGCTATAAACAAGGCTAATTTAGGATTACACAAATTTACAGTTCTACAGTTACACTCGAGCTTACAATTAAGGATAAAAAGAAAAGGAAAAAAAAAAGCAAAGCAAATGGTGTTACATACAAAAGTGTGTATGTGTGTGCGTGTGTGTGTGTGTTTTTTAACATAAAATTACGGGTTACGATGTATCTTTATTATTTCTTTTTTAAGTTGATTTTTAGTAACATGGTTCAGGTCTAGAGGTGAATAAAATCTATTGTATGTATTTGCTAAACGAATATGTATGGAATTTTTGGCGTAGTTTGTCTTCATGTTGGGCACGTGCAGCAACGCCGTGTGACGAGTTCTGTATCTCGGTACTTGTAGTGATAAGGCTGACAATAGGCAAGGACAATCAGGTTTTCCAGTCAGTATTGCTTGCAATAGTACCATATCACTTTGTTTTCGTCTGTCTTCAAGAGAATCAATTTTGTAGTTAATACACGCTTCCTGGTATTTATTAAATTGCTTGTATTCTTTGAATGAAAGATATTTCTCCGCCTAATTTCTTTGAGGATGTTGTTTCGTTTCGATCATACCTTAATATATCATAACGTTCGTCACAAATTTTGTCCTCGTAGAAACCGTCTGTAAACCATGACTCCGTTATAAGAATTAGGTCGAAATTATGATTAAGTATATTTTGTCAAACCTCTTTAGTTTTTGTCCTTAAACCACGTACATTTTGGTATAATACATATTTCAATAGGTTTAACTGACATTTATGAAAATACTTTTGTTTGAAAATATCTTTGTCCGTATGTGTAAATATGTTAGGTATGTAGTGTGATGTGTGTTTATGATACAAAACAGGAAAAAAATAATATGAATATGAATGAAAACAACAACAAAATTACGTTATAACTATCTATGGAAGGAATAAATTCACGTTATAATTAATTAAGTTTTTTTAACATCTTTTTCTTGAGGAATAGTCAGCGCTGGTGTCTCCTCGTTTTTTCTCGAATAAATAATGCAATTTCTGATCCAAACGAATTTGTAGCCTTTCCCCCTCGCCTGAGTTTTGGTCGCTTTGAGTAGTTGCTTATTTTTGGGAGTCAAGTGTTCATTTACAAAAAGCTTTCTTTCTGGACCTCCAAAACCAACATCAGACGTCTTAATGCCTTGTTTACGTTTCAGATTTGATAATATTTGATCTTTCAAAGTTCGATTCTTTAATTTGACGACAATAGGTTTGGGCCTGTCCGGAACGTTTTTTTGAGGCTGAACGCGGTGTGCAAATTCTATGCCACCTGGGTTAAGGTCAACCCTCGCATGTTTGGCTATTTTAGTAACTAAATCAGTTGGGAATTCCTTATTGCTTTGTGGAACGCCAATAATCTCTAGTTTATTCAACCTTGCTTGTTGTTGCTGTCTGCTGAACTGTGTGCGTATTTCAGATACTTCAGTGTCAGTAGCCTTAATACGGTCCTGCAGCTTACTTATATCACTCTTAAGATTTTCATTCTCGAATTGTGTGAGATTATATGAGGCTTGTAGTTGTGATATTTCGGCCGTCAGTAACGAAATTTCATTCTTTAGCTCTTTAAAGATGTTTGATTTAAGATCTTCAATAATTTCATTCTTTATTGAACTTAGTTTTGCATCTAACAGTTTTTCAAAGTGGCGGATAATCAGTGTTATTAATATATGGTTTTATTTGTGTTCGTTTATCACTTGAAATTGGTGGTGTTTTATTACGGTCAAGACCTTTATGTTCAGTGGCTCCAGTTACGCACTTTTGACACTTCCATTGAGTTCTTATTGATGAGAGATCGCCAACAAGTCCCAAGCATTCCGAGTGATATAGATAGTGACAGATAGTACATTTTATACGTTCATGTTTGCAATGATTAACGTAGAAAATACTATGCTTTGCAAATTTTTTAACAGGAGCTCTCGAGATACGTGTACTTTGACGTTGACTATGTGTAGTTTATTAATTTATGTTTTTAAGTCATCGTATGGTTGCTCATACAAATATTGTGTTGTATGTAACAGTAACTTTCGAACTGACCGACATCACCGTCGAACTTCGGGCCGACTTGGGCACGGGAGAGAGGAGTCTCGTGGCGCTCACATTCAGGGAGTTCCTGTTACGACGGGAACACTTACATCCCCACGAGTCCACACTGCAGGTCACTTACTATATATACATAACGAACCGTGAGGAGCTATATATATATATATATATATATAGCTTCTTACGGTTACACTATAGCTAAAAACACCATAATTGATGGTTTTTTTTTTGCATAAATAGGTTTCCCTCCACTCGATCACTATGGAAGATCTAACCAAGGACCCGGAGTCTCGTCACCGCATGCTGATGGTGTCTCACACTCCCCCCAGTCCTCCCAAGGCCGTGTTCGTGTCCAAGTCGTGTCCGGACTTCGTCACCCACTACGGGGAGGAGGCCCTCCGCGGCTCACTGACACACTCGCGACCCGCCTCCGCCTCCATGCCGTTCGCACTCAACATGTCGGACAGGGAGGTGAGTCACTTCATGTTTGAATGCAGATATTATAATGTGAGATATTATAATGTTTATGTTTCGTTCAGTACGAGAGCATCGTGAAGTCAGAGGGCCAGGACCGGCGCTGTGGGCCCACCCCGCCCTGCTCGCCCGAGCATGACGCGCCGGGGGGAGCGGGGGGCCGGGACGAGGGGGACGGGGACGGGGAGCCCGGCGCCGCCAGGGACAACCTCGTGTGGGTGTCCGTACATACACGGGACCCGCAACATCCACACTACCACGATCAACACAACAAGGTGAGCGCATAGACACTCACAATAATACGACGTGAGATCTGAATAATATGTGTTCTTGATTGTTATATTTTTAGGTATCGAGGTCGACGAAAGTGGACTTCAACTGTCTCAAGATCGTTCTCAGCATCGACAGCTGGGTGACGGTGCTGGACTTCTTCGGTGTGGCGGGAGACGAGCCCGACCAGCCGCCCTGCTCCACCAGCCTCACCAGAGACAGTACGCTATATTTATTTATTTATTTAATATGCAACTCCAACACAGGTACATATGTAATACAAAAATACAAGTTTAGACAGTAAAATTTTAAATGTACCTCCAATTATAGGAGAACACAACATGCACTTATACAGTGTTGAACTCTAAAACAAAACTTAATAAACAAAAATAAAAAGAAAAAAAAAAACTAAAACTAATAATTACAAAACAATGAAATAAAATAATTTATCGAAAACTATTTAACAAATCTAAACTAAACAAAATGAAAATACGTTAAGAAACAAATTTACTTTGACTAACAGTTTGCATAAAAGGCATAGCATTTCTTTTTGAAAGTGCTAAAAGTGTCGAAACCCATGTCGATAGTTGGTATTGCGTTATATAAGCGTGTCATTCGAGCTAATGGTGAATTTTTCCCAAGATTGGTTCTATTCTTACTAATTTTGAACAATGGACATGGGTTCCGAGGTGGTCCCCGTGGCACGTTTATATTACGTTTTTCGACCAAATATATATTGTCTACTTTATTATGAAAAAGCTTATACAAAAAGGCTAAATCCAATAAGGATCTTCGCACACGAAGAGGTTGCATTTCGAAGTACTTAAATCTGTCGCTATAGCTTTTTACGTGAACCCTCATTCCGTAATACAAGTGTCTCAAAAATCGTTTTTGCAACTTTTCAATACGATCATCATATACCTTATATAACGGTATATATGAAAGTACTCACTGAAATAGACATCGACTCCTCTCAATAATAACGAGCGTAATCATCCAGGCTCCTCCACGAACATGGCCGGCGAGGAGGCCGGGGCGGGCGAGGCTGGCGAGCTCGGCGTCACGGAGACGGAGATGAGCGTGCGGTCGTTGTCAGTGCTGGTGGTGGGCGCGCGCGGGGAGGCGTGTCGTGCGCTCGTGTCCAGGGTCAACGTGCGCGTGCGCGGGCTGGACGGAGGAAGAGACGTGCACGCCACGCTGGGAGCACTGGCGCTGGCCGACCTCACGCCGCACGCGCCGCTCTGGCGGGAGAGGCTCCGCATGCGAACCGAACACGCTCTGGATATACACTACCGAAGGTGAGTCTCTTGAAGCTGTTATCGACAACCAGATAGGAAGGCAGGTTTTAAAAACTATAATGTCTATATATATTGCTAGTGAGGGGACTTATGTTATTGAAACGAATTATTAACGCATCGATCTTAATATTTATACATCTGACTTACATACTACTTATTACACTACACCTAGGGGGGTGAATTGAAAAAAATGTTTTGATATATTTTTTTAAGAATAATTGAATTTAGGTTTTAAATGGTTTAGTTCTATTTTTATGGAAAATATAAGGCTTATTATACTTCAAAATTTTTACATACACTCCTAAATCTTCTAAAACAAATGGTCCAACCCACTGTATATCCAGCTTATTTGCCGTTTTATTTTTAATTAAAATTGATTGACCATTTGTATAAGTTACATTATTTGTATATTTATCATAATTACACTTACGATTTTGTTTGCTTAAAATTAAATTTTCACGAGTATCCTGCTGCGCTACTTGTAACTTAAACTTAAGATCTAAAGCATAATTATCTGGAATATATAATGGTTCAATATATTGACTTACTCTACAAGGTATTACACTAGGTCTACCAAAAACTAGCTCGAATGGTGTGTATTTCGTTTCTGTATGAACAGTATTATTAAAACTAAAACACCAAAAAGATAACCATTGACTCCAGGTGTCTTTCTGACCATCACACTGAATGCGTAAGAAAGCACCTAAATTTTTATGCGAATTTTCAAGTGCACCGATAGATTTGTGGTGATAAGTTGTAGAAGTCAATTTTTGTATATTTAAATACCTGTTCCATTACAGTAGATACAAACTCTGTTCCACGATCCGTAGCTATGGTGTTTGGTATCCCGAACCTTAATATAAAATTATTAACTAATGCTTTTGCTATACTTACCGTGTCTTTATTTTTTCGAGGAAAGGCCTCTACGAACTTAGTCAATTCACATTGAAGTGTTCAAATGTAGCAATTGTCTTCAATGTCCCTTTGCAAAGGTCCAACGACGTCAAGATAGATCTTTTCAAAAGCATGTGAAGCCGTTGTAGTTATGTCCATGGGCGCCTTGACATACCTACAATGTTTCATTTTTTGACATTGAAGTTTGAACGCACTTGCTAACAAATGTTTTAACATCTTTATCCAAGCCTGGCCAGTAAAATTTTCTTTTAATATTATTGGTCATTCTACGCACACCTGCATGACCTGCGGTGGGTAGTAAATGAAAGTCATGTAATATGTATTTTGTTTCTTCCTCGTCATATATTCTTTTAACTCCTCTTAGAACCTAAATACGTGGACCACTCCAGTCCTTACGTTCTTTAATTTCATTTAGCATGTCTTTTATGAAATTTTTAATTTCATTATTCTTTACTATGCATAGTTCATTTATTTTTCCAGTGTTACAAAATTCTCCTAACTTAGTCACAAATTCGGCTCGCGTAAATTGTGCCCTTGTGTTAAGATTAATATATAATATTTTTCTACGTAGACTATAAATGAAACATTCTTTTTCTTCGTATAAATTATCAGTATTTTTCAATTTATTTAACTCCTCATTATTAATAATAAAATTCCTTATTCCCTCCCCTCCCTATCGCCAAAAAACAAGGTTGGCAACGCATCCGCAACAAAATGTTGTGGATGTCCATGGGCGACGGTAACCACTTTCCATCAAGTGGGCCGTCTGCTCGTTTGCCACCTTTAACATAAAAAAAAAATAATAATAATACATAAAAGTCATTTCTACTGAGTCATTTGGTATCTTTAGTACCTCAACTACTCGTGGTTGACCAGGCCACGATTCGTTAGGTTTTCTAATTTTAGATGTATTACACTACACTAGGTTGAGTTCTGAGGAGGCGGCCGCGGCGGGACATGAGACGTCGCTGTCTCTGGAAATGGGTCCCGTCACTTACGTACACACGCGGCGCTTCGTGCTCGAGCTTCAGGCCTTCGCCCGAGATTTCAGTCTTCTGAGACGCGTCATCGCTCAGGCCAGACGGAAGGTATTATCTAACTTCTAAAATGAACAGTATATACCGGACGTTATATATACAGTATATACAGGATATACCGGATGTGACCTGTGACCTGTTCACGTTCCAGGTGTCACGAGGTCCGAAGGATGCCTCTCTACAACGGATGAAGCTGCGCGTCCGCTGCTCGGCGCCCGTCATCGTGCTGCCGGTATCGGGCCGCAGCCGGGACGCGCTAGCTGCTGAGCTTCAGCTGCTGCTGTTGGACAACTGCTTCCGTCCCGCCGGACACCCCGACACCGTCTCCAAGATCGTAGATCCCTCTATCAGTGAGGACCCACTGACAGAACATGGGGCCGTCCATATATTACGTCATTCTAAATTAGGGAGGGGGGGTTGGTCTGCGGATGACGGTAAATGATGGATAGGGGGGGGGTGTTTCGAAATTGACGTCATTCTTATTTATGTATTTACAATTTATTGTTCACGTACAAAAAGTTTCTTTCTAAAAAGAAATTTCTTCCAGCACACCTAGTAAGTGAGACTGCAAATGTGAGAGGCGGCTAAGGCGCGTACAATACTAAAATAACTCATAATAAACATACATAATGCAACATAGATGTACACAAATACAGTAATAACTACAGATAAAATACTCTAACAATAATATTACATATAATACTAGCTGCCCGCCCCGACTTCGCCTGTGGTACTTACTAGTATTATACATATAAACCTTCCTTAAGAATCACTCTCTATTAAAAAACACCGTAATACATATGGATAGACAGCTTAAGCGACTTTGTTTTATATAATGTATTGATAATAAACACAATACTTAAATAATAACTACAACATTACATAATTAATAAAAGTACATAAATACTATACTTAAACACATGTCTCATACTAAGGAAAGATAGTGTTCTTGTGATATTTTGCAAGTATTTAAGGGTATTAATTATTTACTCATTATTTATTTATTTATTACAAGGTCAAGGCATGTCTACACTATTTTTTAAAACTATTAATTCAACTATACTATAAAGGTGATTCTATAACCAAGTGTTTTAATCATATAATACACTATTGTTCTCAAATCTGCAATGTTTTAATTTTGTCAAACTGGTAATGACGTCAATTTTGGGAGAAGGGGGGGGGGGGGGTCATTAAGAAATGACGATAGGATGATTGTAGGGTGGGGAGGTCTAAAATGTGAAAAAATCGATGACGTAATTTATGGACGGCCTCCATGGGCATCATTAATCGTAAGGACCGGATATCATAATGGTCACTTTTTTATGTCCAGAGGAACGCGAGCTGCTCGACGTCCGCACGGTTCGTGCTGAGGGACTGACTTTGTGGTGTGCGCGCGCCGGGGAGAGCTGCGGCGTGAGGAGCGAGAGTCACGAGCGGGTCCGGCGGGTGGGTGTGCCGCTGCTGCCCGCGCCCGCCGCGCTCGCCCTGCAGCTGGAGCACAACTGCAGCGACACTCACAACGGTAGGAAGTCCACGGACCTCATGTGTATGTCTGTACGTCTTTATCGGACGTCCCCGGCTCACCGTCAGCTCACCTCCGCAGTGCCCGAGATGACGGTTCAAGGTCGACTGGCCACACTGGCCGCTTCGCTGGATGCGTCTCAATACCGGCTCGTGCGGGGCGTGCTCGCGCATAATTTAGGCGAAGCGTGCACGGAGCTGCTGGCGCCGGCCCCGCCGCTGGTGCCGGGCCCGCCCGCCTGCTGGCCCACCTGGTCCCTGCAGCTGGACCTGCAGGACGTGAGCCTGGAGCTGCGCGCGCCCCGCCCGCGCCCTCCGCTCGCATGCATCAACTTCATCAAGTCTCGCCTGCTCATAGAGACCTACTCGGACCTCTCTCAGGACATCGACCTCGTCTCGCAAGTGAGATATCTTCACTTTTTCGAACTTTATTGCACACCAATATAGATAAAAATAATAGGAGTAAAACAAAGAAAAGAAAAATGTACAATAGGCGGCCTTATCGCTAAAACAGCGATCTCTTCCAGGCAACCTTTGGTAGAGGAGAGAGGTAGGATGGTAGGGGTGTACAAATTACTAAATACATAAAAAAATAGATACAATATATATGTATATATACGATACATAACTAAGTATACCATAAATATATACTTATATAATAATATAATATACATACACATTATAAATATATACATTTACATACTATAGATACTTACATAATAAATAAAATATTTAGTTGCAGTATTTCTTCATGAAGTAAGATAGTGCTCTTTTATCATTTTTTTTTTAAAAGAAGTCATAGTTTGTGCACGTCTTGCTTCTAGTGGAAGAGAGTTCCAAAGACGAATTGAATGGACTGTAAATGAGTCACTATAAAAAGATGTTGTATGGGGTGGTATTTTTAAGACCAAATTCTCTTCACAACGAACATTATGGCTATGTGAAGAACTAAGAAATTGAAAACGTTCTTTTAGATATGAAGGAGAAGACGGATTGAACAGAATACAGTACAGAAGTTGAAGGATGTGAGTATTCCTGCGAAGCCGGATTTACAGCCACTTGAGCTTTTTATTTGAAATTCATAAACGTGATCATACATATTTACGAAGACCAAATATGAATCGGATGCAAAGATTTTGGAGACGCTCAATTTTATTTAATTGCTCCTCTTTTAGATCAAGATAACATGCGTCAACATTTTTTTAGGCTTTTAAAAGACTATTATCTGTCATTGTAAATTGTTGTACTTTTATATCTTCTAATATATAAAATTCTCGTGTCACAGTTTTCGTGCCCATACTCCTCCGAAACAACCTGACCGATTTTGATGAAATTTTTTGTGCTTATTCGGTAGCTATGAGAATCGGCCAACATCTATTTTTCATCCCCCTAAATGTTAGGGGTAGTCCACCCCTAAATTTTTTATTTTTATTTTTTAGACAAAATTTTTAATTACTATTTTTTTATGATACAACGTACAAAAATACATACAATCCTAAATTTTCACCCTTCTACGATCAACCCTTATTTTTTAATAGCTATTTTAGTAATTTAATCATTTTTCATCTCCGGTCGATAACTGATCAATCGTCATTTAATAAGTTATCCCCGCCAGATATCTACAGGTGTCACTTCTGACCCAGTAAACAGCACGGAGTAGGGATGAGAACGAAGCCGGTCTTCTGTTTCTCTCACACAATTAGACTTCTCTCACTCCCTACACAGTTGTCGGCCATCGTTATTGTTTGTGCATCAAGTGTAGTAGTAACGTTGACAATTATTATTTTGCTAGCTCAGTGTAACTCTCATATTAACTATTAATCATTCCTAATCACTTCAAAACACGGAGATTTATGGCTTTAATAGGTAAACTCCAAAAATATAAATAAAAAAACGTAACAGATATTTCTTGATTATAGGGCGAAACGAAGTTCGCCGGGTCTTCTAGTATAAGTATGTATTTTTATGTATTTGAATTTATTTATAAAACATATGTATTATTTTGCTTATACACGTATTTATATATTATATATATAATGTATTAATCGTATGTATGTATGTTATGTACATATGTTATGTTTGTGTATGTATGGTTTACCTAAAAAGTGTACACCTCCGAACCCCTTTCTTAGTATTCAATGTCCTCTATCCAAAGGTTGTCTGGAAGAGATCGCTCTTTCAGCGATAAGACCACCCTTTGTACTATGTTTTCTATTTTGTTATGTTTCTTCTTGTATTCTTTTGTTTCGGTGTACAATAAAGTATATTTATCTTTATCTTATCCAATGCGTCAACATAATCGAGAATTGGTAGTAGGAGTGACTGTGCTAATATAATTTTGGTAGGGATGGGTAGAAAGTTTCGTAATCTTCGAAGGGAGCCAAAGGCTGCAAAATTTTTTTACTTACCTCACTTATCTGTGGTTCCCAAGACAGACAAATTATTATTTTGTGCAATAATAGTCCAAAGTGTTTGTGTCTCGCAGGAGATCCTGGTGAGTGACATGCGGTTCTCCTCGGAGCCTGCGAACAGACGCGGCAACGTGTTCAGCCACATCGTGCAGCCGCTGCCGGACCACCGACACAGCGTGCAGGCCGAGGTGCATGCCAGGTACTAGGACGAGACGGTGACATCACACGCCTCATGTGAACAACTTACATGAAAATAATTATTATTATTTATAATTAAAAATAGAAAACGGCCCGATTCCTCGGCGTATACGATCCTCGTGAACAACATGCGTCTCATGGCGATCCTCGACTGGTGGGAGGCGGCGGGACAGTTCGTGATGCAGCCACCTCCGCCGCCCTCGGACTCCGACCTCGTGCATCTGTACAGTAGTTTGTATGAAATGAATACAAAAATATATCACAATGATTATTTATCCTCGGCCAATATAATTATAGAGAAACCCTCCTGGAAATGGAGAGCGAGAGCTCCTGTGCGGCGGGCTATGTGTCGGGGCCGGCCGCGTCCGAGCAGGTGGAGCTGAAACTGAACGTCACGGACTCGCAGCTGGTGCTGGTGGAGGACGCCTCGCTGTGGGACACGAACGCTGTCATACTCAAGGTGCTCACTGAACCTGACCCTCCCATTAAAACTTTTTATTTCTTATTAATTTTAATGGTTTACAATTCTTTTTTTGTTATCAACAAGCTATTAAGCTTGACGGTGAGACGCGCTCATTTTTTTAAACATAAAAAAAATAAACAAAAAAAATTTATACATAATGGTTCACAAAAAGTTAAAGAAATAAAAACATAACAACATATTCTTAAAAACTAAAAGTAAATCAACACTATGTATAAGTTTTATAATATGATAAGTTCACTGCGGTCTTGTTTCACGATGACGACAGGTTTTCGTCATTGAGAAACAAGTCCCTATGTTTTGTTTTTAACGTTTGTTTACTTATTTTATCATTTTTTCTTAACATATCAATTTTATCAAATACTTTAGGTACTATGTATGCCGATAATCTCTCTCCATAATAATTTTTTAATCTTGGTTGTACAAATTTATTCTTTTCCACATTCCGGGTATTGTATACATTTTTTATCGGTATTTTATATTCTTTATTGTAAAAATGCTCTAATCCTATTAAATATTCCATTTCTTTTTTCTATCGGTAAAATTTTACAAACACTAAAGAGTTTTTCATAGTCCTTATTACAATCTCATCGTGTGTGTACGCTGCCCAATGGGCGAGTATTTTTATTTGATGTCACCAAATTTGTTTAAATCCTCTTCCGACCGTATATTATAGATCTTTTAATCTTCATTAAGATTTTGAACCCAAATATATTGATATCCTTTAGGTTTTAGTTTATTTCTTACACTCCATAGAAGTTGGCGTTTGAATTTCGGTAGAACTTCATTTATGTAAATACGTTTATCGCTGCCATTATTGCATACTGTGTTATTCGTCATCTTATTTCCTTTCTTTGCCTTCAACCACATGTTTCGTGCACTTTAAGAGCGCAGATCTTCTATTTTCTTCTCTAACTTATAAATTACCTCCAGTTTTTTTATTAATTTCGGCCAATATTTTCTAACCTGATGACTCATTAGGATTTATTATGGTGTTGGAATCTTCGGCAGAGCATAACGGCTTAGTTTTTTGGCATTCCTCACAGTTTTGAGTTTGTGAAAACTGTTTCTTTACACATTTTTTGTGGAAAATAGACTCACATACACCTTTATATTTTACTATAACATCTTTTGATAGTGAGACAAAAAGTTTGCATTTTTTACACTGAACCATTATTTCGCAAATAATGTCACAACTCGGCACAACTACGTGACCGTACGCTGAGCGCGCGCCGGTGACAGGCCTATGACCGGTGTTGTGTAAGGTGTTCGTTGTGTGAGGTGCAGAGTACGACGGTGATCACGTACCGGCCGGCGGACGTGTCGCGGCCCGTGGTGTGCGAGCTCAACGACCTGGAGGTGTTCTCGTGCGTGCTGGGGCTGGAGGAGGAGACGGCGCTGTCCATCGTGGAGCCGGCCGCGGTGGCCGTCACGCTGTTGCCGGGCCGCGTGCTGTCGGTCAGCGCGCCCGCGCTTCGTCTGCGGCTGTCCTACCACGATATGCGCATGTTCGCGTCCATGCTGCACTCACTGCCGGCCCAGGCCCGCGCCGCACTCTCAGGTGAGGTCCCGTACTCTGACACATCCGCTAACGTTGAACCCCTCCTCACTGTTGTCGTCAACTTGCAGGTAAATCAGAAGAGGAGGCGGTCCCGGACGTGCCCGCTAACAGCGTGCATATGCGTGTTGGTGGAGGCGTGTCGGGCGGCGCGGTGTATGTGACGGCGCTCCCTCGCTGGGCGCGACGCTCGGCGCCCCGGCCGCCGCCCCCTGCACAGCCCGCCCTGTGGCCACTGAAAGCAGTGCAGGTGATGATCCACTAAAACAGGGAATCTCAACTTCATTTTGCGCAACCCGTGGGAGAGGGGTCCCTTAGAATAGTCATTTCTGCTGAAAAAAAATGATTAGTAATTTGTAATGGTTGTAGGTGGGCGCTGAATGCGTGACCCTGTGTGTCATAGACGACTGCCTGGACTCGGACGTGCCGCTCCTGGAGGTGACGCTGACGGACCTGCAGCTGGAACAGGTGAGACCACACGTGACAGACGCTAACATGGTTATATTATAACAGGGACAAGCATTGTATGACTATAAGGACTATAACTCAGCCGTAGTTCGGGTTTAAGAAATGACGCAGTTAAATACCTCACTATTAAATACTCACTAAGACCCAGTTTCACCAATCAATGTTAAATAAGTAACATCGTGTTAAGGCGTTTGATGCTCTGTTAGATGCATCGAGCGTCCCACCACGCACAAATGTCCGTTTAAATGTCTTAACAAGCCACTTATATTAATTCCTGCTCTGGAGCTCCGTCTAATGGTTAACAGAATGTTAATGGTATTGTCAAAACTCAATTGTCCAATCACAGGCCTGATTTCTTGTAACCATAGTAACGTTATCTGTTTTGTCAGTTTCGACTATTTCCTTGTACTTATTAATAAAGTGAATTAAAATTTCATTTAGTATGATGATTTTGCCTCCAGATTTTCTTTGACATTGCAAATTAAATTGTCTTTTTATCTCGTATAATTTGAACACAATTATAACATAATAATATATAAGACAGTTTATTGACAACCCGATTTTATCAGGTTACACCTAGTAAATTGAAAAGAAAGCTTTTTGTGTGCTAAATGTATGCAAACAACGATACATAAAATTTGGACGCATTACCTAACAAGTGACGTATCGAGGGATATATACGATCAAACGCTATAGTCTCCACTTGGTCGTCTTATAACAAGAACGAATAATTTAGTAGACGGTCATTGACATGACGTTTAATAATACGTTGTTAATTTGTCATCGTGGGACGTAAATATTTTAACAGACATTTATAACTTTGAAGGTTGGTTAGTAAAGTGCTGTGATTAGAGTAAACAAACGTTGATTGGTGAAACTGGGTCTAAATATTAAATTCCTTCATACAAATTTCTTCTGTTAAAAAAGTGTATAATATATCTTGCCTACAAAAATGTGTTCTTTAAAGGAGATTATTCAGGTTTCATTCAGTTTTGAGCCTTTTTTGAAAGTGCAGGCCAACAAAAAAAAAATGGTACATATTCTTAGAACTAACCATTTGAAGCAATAGTTAATATGGCACAAAAGTTGTAGGATCCAAGATATAGAAGTTATACAAGTTCTATAATTCATCATTTTCGTACATTTATTTTTCTGAAAGTGCCAGGAAACATAAAATGATGACTGATATTGCTAGAGTTAAGCTTCTCAAGCAAATCATTATATCGAGAAAGCCACAATCTGTTCTCTTGTACATGTTAGAAACCTGTCATTTTTATGTATTACTAGCGAACCCGACAGACGTTGTTCCGCCAAGTATCTGAACGCATCCAACACAATTTGTTTGTTGTTGGTTTTATTATTTGTCTAAACTAATATGTATATCAGGGTGCTATCTTTATATATTAAAACAACGTTACATAGCATTCTATGTATAACTCAAAAAATAATTTAAGGATAATACAAGTAAAACACAAATACTGATTCACGTATTTTTATATAACAAAAACCATCACAATTATTGTTGACGCCCGTTAATATAAAAAGTTGTGGGTAAATTTGTTTCTTACGCGGGTCACCGTGTCGATGATGACGATGCATTTTTGAACACTCTTTGTCTGCATTAAACCGTTGTACGAAACACACGAGTTTTATTCAATTATAATCTTCTAATTAAACATCGTTTATGTTATAATGTCATCTTCCAGGCCTTGTGCTGGTACACGTATGTTCTCATACCGTGCGAAACACATATACCATACGATAGTCATGGTGTGTGAACAACACCCTATTGTCCGTTTACCTATTGGACATGAGCAATAATATTGTGGAATAGCTATTCGTTGCTATATAACGTTGTTATAATATATAATAAAAGAACTTTTTAAGTTAAACGGCTTTACGTGAAATATACATTGCAATGTTTTAGATAAATGTACTAAAAACCAAAAAATAATAAAATAGATACAGTCGTGGGAATTATAAACATATTATGCATAGACTAGACTAAAATAAAGCCGTGGGGCACGGCAATTGTCTACAAATTATCGACTTAATGTGCGATAGAAGAATCGTTTAATTCGTCTTTAGGCAGTTGGCCCGCAGACGGTGAGGAAATTACTTACTATTTTCTTGGTCATGGAAATTACAACTGCCTAATTATAGTGTAATATTACAAAATAAACATTTTAATCAACGATTGTAGAATTGTCTAAGAATATGTACCATTTTTTTTGTTGTCCGGCATTTTCAGAAAAGGCCCAAAAAGAATGATCTCCTTTAAAGGTTTATCTTAATTATTATTTGTTGAAAGTTAATTGTATTTGAAAAAGATATTATGTATTTTCATAAAACTCGATCCTCTCGACTTGTTTGAAATGAAAGACTCGTTGATTCGACGCGTATATATTATTCACTCGTCTATGAAACTCGATCGAAACATATATGTAACATTTTAATTACGACTCTTAAACGTGGTCGGATTATGTTCCTCTTAAAATTTGTAAGAGACGTCAGGAACTTTCGACAAAATATGATATTCGCATAATGGCCCTTTAATAAATGTAAAAAAAAACTGTATCTTCAGGATCTACGGAAAGTCGAGGAATCCTTCGAAGATCCTCTTCTGGTGTCGACGCCGTCCGGCCCTGCAGGGGTGGTGGCGGTGGGGGCGGAGGGGCGCGCGGGGGCGGGGGGCGGCCGGCTGCGGGGACAGCTCAGCGTGGATTACTACAACAGAACTCTGTCCGACTGGGAGCCGGTCGTGGAGCCTTGGCGCTTCGAGGCCGGCTGGGAGCACGCGCTGTCGCGAGGCCTGGCGCTGGGCCGCCTGCAGCTGGACGTGCGCTCCGAGGACACCCTCGACACCAACCTCACGTCCGCCCTCGTCGACCTCGTGCGGCTCGTGCGCACCAACTGGACGCAGGATTACTACGCGCCTCAGGTGACAGACCCAACTAATGAAATGTTCATTGAAAGCTTAATGATCGTATTAATAAAAATATTAATAATGATTGTATTATTAATAAAATTAAACATTTTAAGGTACCGTTTACTAAAATAATTATGTATAATTCTTTGGTACGGAATCACCTAGAATATGAATCTGTAGTTTGGTCTCCTCATTATAAATACTAAGTTGACAGAATTGAAAAAATTCAAAAGAAATTTATGAGGCATTTAACTTATAGTTGTAATCTAAAAAGAAAACTTATTTCCTATCAGGATCGTCTTAGTTATTTCAATTTTGCGACATTGTCTTATCGCAGAAATTTTTTGGATTTAATATTTCTTACCAAAATTGTTACGGGATCTTTAAATGATCCCAATCTATTAAAAAAATAATTATTTTCGTATTCCTTCCAGACTGCCAAGGTCATGTAATCTACATCTGTTCTGTCAGGCTAGACATTATACTAACCTTAAATTGTACAGTCCTCTATCAAGAATGTATAATGTATTTTCTGAGTACCAAGATAGTATTGATTTAACTACTACATCCATAAAATCAGTAAAAACTATAGTACTAAAATAGAAATTACCAATACATTTTATTCAGACTTTTTTTTTTGTTTTTTGTTTGCTTATTTTACTTTGATTTTGCTTCTTTATGTTTTATATACCATATATTTTGTATAATATATGTATATCATCTATATATATAAAAGAAAGTCGTGTTAGTTAGTCCACTTATAACTCAAGAACGGCTGAACAGATTTAGCTGAAAATTGGCAGGGAGGTAGTTTAGAACCAGGAAATTTCAATAGGATACTTTTTATCCCGTTCGACAGCATTCCCGTGCGACTTGACATGAAACGTCAGTCACTATAAAACGTGGAATAACGAAACACAATTGACAGCTATGCAATTGACGTATAATGACAGATATGTAATGACGTAATGATGACAATTTGATATTTGTAAGAAATCTACTATATACAAATAAGTCCGGTTTTCCACCCTGACGCTATAACTTCAGAACAAAAGAACCAATTTCCACGGTTTTGCATTCGTTGGAAAGGTCTTGGGCTCCGTGACAACAAAAAATTTCAACAGAAAAGGGGGAAAATCGTTTTTCACATACAGCGCCATCATACATAACATGTACTACAAATCAATATCTTAAGTAGATGGGGCTGATGCATGATACATTGTTTGACAGCTACTCATTGTTCTGTTCTCAGTTAATTTCATGTGACAAACCGGTATTGTGTTTGTAGTTTAAACTCTTAAAACCATTTAGTATTTGCGGGATACATTTAGAAAATCATTGTTTTTCACATGGGCAGTTATATTTTGCGTATTCAACAGTTTGGAAAACATCCGCTTTATTTGTGTTAAAGTGAGACCAAAAAAACAAAATTTGTGGTTTACAAAGGAGCACTTCAATGAAACGGATAATTTGCGGACATTATAACGCTTCAATTTAGTATCTACTTTGGATTCACTTTCATTTACTTAGAGAAGTGAAACTAAATAACACTTCATTTTTGTAATCGAAATGAATTCATTACTGTTGTGAAATGAAATAAAAATTTTCCTTTTCAAATATAAAAGAAAAAAAATTCTTCATCTTTTAATCACCAAACGAAATGTTATATAAAAGCCTTCTGGTGGCGAAACGGAGTTCGCCGGGTTTATTAGTAAATAATACAATGTTGTTCCGCTAAATAATTCGTGCATTATGTGTTCTCCTATAAATAATTGTGACACTTAGTTTTAAGATTTATTCACTGAAAATTGTATTTATTTAGTGTACACATTGTTGGAGAACCAAATAAATAAATAAATGTTACATAAACCGCACAGAACCCCACCTCGGAGCAGTCTCCGAAGGGCAGTCCGTCGGGTCACCGTCGCCGGTCGCCCTTCGTGCCGTATGCCTTGCGGAACCTGACCGGCCAGCGACTGTGGTTCACCACCCTCACCACCACTTCCGACGAGTAAGTCCGATTCTAACGACGAGGAACGGTTTCTGAAACCGATTAATGCGATCCGTGTGCTCACAGACTCCGCGAGTCGGGCGAGCTGGAGGTGCGTCCCGACGACTCGTGGCTGATGGTCCGCGCGGGGGACACGGAGCCCTTCTCGTTCGGCGCTCGCCGCGGGCGGGGTCGCGGGGCGGCAGGCGCGTCCGCGGGGCCCGCGCCGCTCCACCGGCTCGTCCTCCGCATCGACGGCTGGGCGCCGCCCGACCCCGTGTGTGTGGACCGGGTCGGCGTGTTCTTCAGACACATCACGCACGCGGTGAGTCTCCTGTGCCCATCTGACGGACGCTGCTCTCTTCTTCGTATCTAATCGGAGCCTCTTTTGTTCCTCGAGCAGAAGACAGGAGCGGAGGCGCGCGTAGTGTTGGAGGTGTCTCTGGAGGGCAGCGCCAGGAAATTGGTGGCGGTGCGGTCCGCGCTGCAGGTCATCAACAAGCTGCCTCATCCCGTGGAGTTGAGGCTGGACCACACGCCGGCTGCCGGTAAATCAATTTCGTATAGAAAAGAATAGGGGAAGCGGAAGTGGGGCGCGCCGGGGGTGGGACGAGAAACGTGATCAGGATATAATGAGTATATTCATAATAGCTAATACAGTGCAACCTTAATATAACGTACCTCAATATAACGAATTCCTCGATTGAACGAATTTTTCGTAATCCCCTTGAATTGTCCATACGATGCAATATAAAATATACCTCTACATTGCGAATATTCTTTTCGAACAACCTCTTTATAACGAATTTTGTCAACCCAAAACTTTATATAAAGTTCCCACCAATAATATAACTCTTAATCTTATATTGTAATTCAGGTGTCGACATATTTCGACACGCCTTTGTTCATAAAGTAATCGTTGTTGTTCGATGAAAAGTAATATAAACACTTCTGCTCGTCATTATTGTTAAAGTTTTAAGTTAAAATGTAGTCCGGTCAATTTAGACATTCGAAGTTACATAAAGTCCCAGCAAGCTGAATTTCTGTGAAATTGTTCAAAACATAATTATAAACGATGTCTAGAAGTTCCCCATCATTCTCCTGTAAGGAAAAATTTTTATTCAAGGTCAAAGTTCAAAAAATTGAGTTTTTCGCGATTTTCAGCAAAACGGTAAGTTTTATCATAAAAGTATTTCAGACAAAAATTATACATAGATCATAAAATTATCTATAACAAATGTATCAATACTTCTTTTCTTACGAGCCACCGTTTCTGAGATATAACGACTCAAAAAGTTATAAAAGTTGTTATCATAATATGCTTGAGTACGACACGTATATATGTACATCTAGAGTTGTTATATTTTATATATATAACAGTCAGTGGTGGCCTAGTGGTTAAAAGGCCCGCCTTTCATGCACGAGGGTGCGGGTTCGATCCTGGCAAGTACCAATGTGATTTTTCCGAATCATGTACTTTCTAAGAGTATTTAGACATCACTGATTAATGCATTCCCAAAGAGGGTTGATGTCAGGCTGGAGTCCGGTCGTAAAAACAAATAGCAAAAACTTTTCACAACATGTAAGGCAGACCCTGGTTATAGCTGGGAAATTGCCAGGTAGAAGAAGAGGATTTATCTTTATATATATAATTCGTCTGTGAGTGTGTATGTCACTGAACTTCTCTCAAACGAATGGTCCGATTTGGATGAAATGTTTTATGTGTGTTCAAGGGGATCTGGGAATGGTTTAGATTCACAATTTTGTCGGCTGGACAATATTTTTTTTAATTAATTTTTAATTTATTAGTAGCTGTTGATACAAACGTTTTTTTTGACATTAGATTTGACAACTAACTAATATGTCAATCATTCTGTCGCATTTCAAAACACGGAGATTTATGGCTGAATATCTTAACTCCAAAAATATAAATACAAAAACGTAATAGATATTTCTTGATTATAGGGCGATACGAAGTTCGCCGAGTCTTCTAGTATATATATATATATATATATATATATAAATATTGAAGTTGTTACTGTTGAACGTGGTATTAATTAATGCAAGTATCGAAAGAGCTGATGATTTTTCGGAATATCTCAAAACTCAGAAATCTGTGACAATATATGAAAGTTGCCGTAAAAATTATACTCGAACTCTTCTATAGCTCCTGCTAATAAAAGACAACGTGAAGAACAAGAAATCAGTACATCCATAGCAAGTCCTCCTCGTACTACATCACGTATCAGTGAATCAGCTTTTTGTTTCAAAGAACTATGCTTGTTTTGTAGCGAGAAATTATATGAAGAGAGTGAAAGAAGAAAATCCTCAGAAATTTGGCGTCAAATTAGCTGACTGTTATATATATCATCTAAAATATAACAACTCTAGATGTATATACATACGTGTCGTACTCAAGCATATTATGGCGATAACAACTTTTATAACTTTTTGAATCGTTATATCTCAGAAACGGTGGCTCGTAAGAAAAGGAGTGTTGATACATTTGTTATAGATAATTTTATGATCTATAATTTTTGTCTGAAATACTTTTATGATAAAACTTACCGTTTTGCTGAAAATCGCGAAAAACTCAATTTTTTGAACTTTGACCTTGAATAAAAATTTTTCCTTACAGGAGAATGATGGGGAACTTCTAGACATCGTTTATAATTATGTTTTGAACAATTTCACAGAAATTCAGCTTGTTGGGACTTTATGTAACTTCAATCTCATTTTTGGTCTAAATTGACCGGACTAATGGCTCAGAAACGTAAAAGGTGTACCTTATCGGTCGCAGAAAAGCGAAACATAATTAATTACATTGACCATAATCCTATGACAAAAAATTAGACATAGCTTATAAGTTCGGAATTCCCGAAAGTACATTGACTACAATTTTAAAATTTAAAGATAAGTTTTCAGAAGAAAGTGGTTTGACTGTAAACAGTAGTAATTTGATAAAAATGTGTTATCATTTATTAATAGAAGTTGTTCGCTATAACAATATATTAACGTAATGTTGAGGTAAGTAAAACTATGTATTATTTTACCTTTTTATAACGAATTTTAGACCAACCTTACCTCAACATAACAAACCTCAGTTCAACGAATTACTAGATATAACGAATATTTTCTGGTTCCCCTCCGATTTTTTATATCGAGTTTGCACTGTAATATAGAACCCACTAGACTAGACTGCAGGGTCAATAATTCTGAAGCCATCGGTTCGTTTCCCTTTACCAATGTGTCAGTCGTGTAATCGTTCGCTCGTCCCCGAGGCCGCTGGGTGTGGGGCGCGGTGCGGGCGTGGCGCGCGCGGGGCGGCGGGACGTGGTGCGGGGCGGGCGCGGCGCTCCACCGGCGCGCGGCGCTCGGCGCTCTCACTCCACTGCGCCTCGCCCCGCTGCGACCCATATATACCAATAGCGGTGATTCACGCCTCTCGCCGCTCCCTTCGCTCATCAGACTCATCCTCCATCCCTCACATGTTACTAGTTGTGGTCTCACCTCACCATACATTCTATTTCTTTTGTCTCATAGTACATCATGTAAATTGTAATCATAAACGTCCACACTCGTCTACAGTAGCTTTATCGTTAGCCGCACCTCTGTTCATCGATAGATTACAGTTGACTGTATTGGTGGTATGTGTATGACATTATGAAGGTTGTATTGTGTTGTCCAGGTGGTTGGAGTGGTGCGGGCGCCGGGTCCCGCGCGACCAGTGTGTCCGCCGGTGGTCGCTGGGCGGCGCCGCTGGTCCCCCGTGCGGGCGCGGTGTGGGTCCGTCCGCTGGTGTCAGCCCGAGCCCCCCCCGCGCCCCCGCTGCCCCCCGCGCCGGTGGACTGGCGCGCGGCCGCCTCGTCCTCCGAGCGAGCCCTGCTGCATCACGAGTGCCGCGCACCTCACGATTACTGCTACAGGTGCGGCAGGCGGAGGACTCATTCTCTGCCGCAGTTTTTAAATCTTATCATCGTATCGTTTATAGACCAGTGCTTTTAAAACATAATTTAATTATAGTAGAATGAAACCCGTTAGAAAGGGAGTCGAATATTATAAAAATTAAAGGAAAAATAATTTACGAGCGATCTGAGGTCGAGAAGGGTACGGATATCGGTATTTAAGGGTAAAAAATGGGGTTTCTCGATTTCCGGCAAAACTAAAAGTCCTACAGAAAAAAATTATATGACAAAGTTGTAGGTAGTAAAAAGATCTAAAACTTTTGTAGTTACATTTTTTCACATTTTAGCACCTTAATGTCAATTTTCTCTAAATTACCTAAGAGAGGGACTATCTGGAGAAATTTAAGAGTACACAACTATTAAAAATAAATTTGAAAGAGCATTGCAAAACGATGTCGAGTGTCTTTTCATTAAAAGAGACATGATTATTTTATCCAAAAATGGTACTGCAAGTAAGAAACTTATATATTTTTTTCCACTATCGGAAAATAGAGATTTTAAGAACTAAAGAACATACCAAATTTTTTAAAAAAGCTGATATTTTGAGGGGTATTTTTTCCATTCAAAGTGAGGCTGATTTTTTGGCATTTATTCAAAATAAGCTGAAAAAATAAATATTTCTAAGCAAATAAATTACAGTGCATTTGGAACATCATAAGAAAAATTTTCACCAAATTCCTTGACAAAAAAATTTTTTTTGGAAGAGATTAAAATAAAAAACCAAAAACTTTACCTTTTCACATAAAACTTGAGGTTATGTGAAAAAAATGTTACAACTTTGTCATATAATTTTTTTCTGTAGGACTTTTAGTTTTGCCGGAAATCGAGAAAACCCATTTTTTACCCTTAAATACCCATCCCTACCCTTCTCGACCTCAGATCGCCCGTAAATTATTTTTCCTTTAATTTTTATAATATTCCTCTCCTTTTCTAATGAGTTCCATTCTACTATAATTTATTTATATTTATCATTGTTTTTAAAGGCATCTGCACTGGCCTATTAGACTGCATCAATACAACATCCTCCCTCTTTTTTTCTCTTCCGATCTGGTTACATTCACTATAATTCACGTCCTCGTTGTCTCACTGTTCTGTTGTATGGTGTATCAGGTTCTGTTGCGTGGTTGTTCGTGAGCGGTTCCCTCCCGAGCGTGGCGAGCCCCTTGCTGGCCACACCCTGACGCTGGTCCCGGCGCTGCGGCTCGAGAACCTGCTGCCCCTGGAGCTGCACTACCGCACGGAGCACGTGACCGGCACACTCGCGCCCGCCGGCACGCAACCCTTCCATCAGGTCCTTACAACCCTACTTATTTATTTATCTATTTAAAGGTACATCAACATCACATATATTCAGCACACATAAGCAACAGTTAAAATTGATAAAATCTAGGATCTGATATGAGTGACAATTACAGACGTACACAACATTCACGAAAAGAAAAAAAAAATAAAACTTATTGTCTACCTGATGAATTTAAGTGATAATCAAATAACAATAAACAAAATTACAAGAAAAAGAATATATATATATATATATATATATATATATATATAGAAACAGAAACATGTGACAAAATGTGACTGCAGGCTAAGAAGTTAATTGACAGATTTTATTCTTAAATCTGGGCAAGGCATCAGAAAATACGTCCAAATGCGGGATCTTAGAACATATTTGGTTGTACTCAGAGCAAAGTCTATTCATAGGACAGTGTTCGCCGATATTGGTGCGAGAGATCGCTGTATAAAATATTTTATAAATAGGCTTTCTAGAAGCTCGCTTTTGACTACCGCGTTAATAATTTTATATAAAAATATTAAGTCATGCATTTGCCAAAGTTTAGACAAGGTTTCCATTTTAAAGAAATTTAAACGCGTGTCATATGGTGTTCTAAGAGATATTTCACTGCAACTAAAAGCAAGAGATCTGGTAAATGCACGTTGTAAGATTTCTGTTCTCTGTGATTGGACTGTATACGTGGGGTTCCATACCTGGGACGCATATTCAAGAAGACTTCGTACAAGACCATTATATAGGGAGATCTCGGTTTTACTGTTAAAAGGTTTTGTGTTTCTCTTTATGAAACCGATCATTTGTGATGCCTTCTTGACTATGGTTTCAATATGGGGTATAAATGTGAGTTTCTTGTCGATTGTAATCCCCAGATCACGAACGTCATCAACTTGTTCAACAGATTCTCCATCAATTGTGTATTCAGCTGGATAAGCGATAAGGCTACGATGAGTCTTCTGGCACGTGTCTTACATAAATATATTTTTTGTTGGAGTATGTTATGATCGTCTCGTTCTATCCGTGTAGGTGAACGTGGAGGAGGGAGTCGAGTTGTGTGTGAAGCTGGAGGGCTTCGGCTGGTCGACTCCGCTGAGCGTGGGAGGTCCCAACAACAGCGGGACGTTCTCCGCCCGCCTCAAGCTGCGGGACCAGCGGGGACGGAGGCTCTACCTCAACGCACGAGTCGTCGTGAAGAGAACCGACGGCATAAAGGTCCGCCTCACGTTTGTACCGCGCAGCCTCGGATCACTTCCATCGTAACGAGTGGTGTGTGGTGCAGGTGAGCGTCTCGGCCGCCTACTGGCTCGTGAACCGCACGGGCCTGCCGCTGGTGTTCCGCGCGGAGGGCGGGGGAGAGGCCGCGGGACAGTTCGCGGAGCACGAGCTGGCGCGGATGGTGGCGCCGCTACCCTTCTCCTTCGCCGACGGAGACGGACCCACGCTGGCCGCGCGCCTCGGCACGTCGCTGGCTCCCAACCCGGAGGTAAGTGGACGGGAGACGCGACCGGCACGTGAGACGTGACACTACGGTACTTTGAAAATGAAAAATACTGTATTACTAGCAATAACTCAATGTTAACAGGGAACACAATTAAAAACATAACAATATTTTGCTGAAGTGATAACATGGCGCGATTCCCAGGGGCGTCCACACTAAGCGAGCTTGTGTCGTGGATGCCTTATTTACGATTAACTATAACAAGTTTCACCTACGGTAGATGGCGTGTTCTTTATAAAGATGTTACAAATGGCTCAAAAGTTAAAGTATCATATCTTAAATATAGAAAGAAGAAGATACATAAAGTAATTAATATTACGATAATTATATACAGTAGGACCTCGATTATCCGGACTAATTGTTGTCGGTAGGCATCCGGATAATTGAAAGTCCGGATAATCCAATATATGAAGAAAAACGGGCTTTTTGCATATGTACATATGTAGTCTGTACCATAATTAAGGTTAGGTGTTTATTTAAAACAACAAATATTTATGAGCGAAAATCAACGTTTATTACGAAATTGTACATATTCTATACTAATATTATAAAGCTGATGAGTTTGTTTGTTTGAAAGCGCTAATCTCCGAAACTACTGGTTCGAATTGAATAATTATTTTTGTGCTGGATAATCCAGTTATCGAGGAAGGCTGTGAGCTATATAACATCACGCTACGACCAATAGGAGCAAAGATATAGTGGTAAATGTGTAAAAAACGGGAGAAATTATTTCATCTTTGAAGCCTTTCGTTGCGTGCGCCGTGAAAATAGTTCAAGATACACAAAAATATACATATTTTATATTAAAGAATAATAGCTCTTTTAATGATCTAAAAAACAGTCCGCGACAGTACATATCTATCTTTTAAGATTAACTTACAAAAACCGTTTTTATGGTACCTAATTTGGTCGAAATAATTTGTTAAAGTTGTATCAACATAATAATATTAATCTTTATTCAAATAAACAAATAAATATGTTGTTGGTTAAGAGTACTTCATTGTGAATAAAAAAAACCGTAGGTTTTATCCTGAAAATTCTACGGGAACTCGACCATTCCGAAAACCCCGCAAGAACGGAAACTATGTGGGAAGAACCAAAAATCTGCCGGAAGTCACTATTCCACGCGGACGAAGTCGCGCCAAAAGCTAGTGTACGTATAAGTATTATAAGTGGCGTGGCGTTACGCAAGTTCTGACATGTTAATTTTAGAATAAACTCGTCACGATTGGCAGTCCGGATAATCGCGAATTCGGATAACCGAGGTCCGGATAATCGGGGTCCTACTGTATATATATATATATATATATATATATACACACACATATATAAACACACACACAAAAAACATATATATATATATATATATATATATATATATATATACAGACACACATACATAATAAAGTAAATATACAAGATATAAATATAATTATCGTGAATCTGAGATTACGTTTGTACGATAAGAACTTTTTCTGTATTTTCATATGACAATGAAATTAGCCAATTATGGAGAACTTTTTTAGCTTGTAATGTTTGACAGTGGTGCTCGCCGTTCGGCCTCGGTCCCGGAGTGACGGTGAAGCGGCTCGAGTGTCGCGGCGCGGGGCCGGCCGCAGAGAGCGAGCGCTCGTACGCCGTGGGGGTGGCCGTGCGCTCGGGCCGCGGACGGTACCGGCGCACCAACATCGTCACCTTCACGCCGCGCTACCAGCTGCACAACAACACCTCACACTGTCTGCAGTTCGCACAGAAGTGCACCGCGACCACTCTCGTAAGAAAATTATAGTTTTTTCAAATTACATACAGTCAATCTGGGTAACTTTGAAAGTGGGACCATGAACTAATTTCGATAATTTTTTCGCATGAAACCAACACTATTCATATATGTTCATTTTAGATTTGCGATTTTAAACAAGCTTACTAAACGCACCTTAAAAAAAAGTAAGTTGTGAAAGTAAAAAAATAGTCAAGACTTTTTTCTGAATATTGCGCGCGAATTTAAGTTCACTTTAGGGTGAATAACTTTTTGAATATTTTGTGATTTTGGTCGCTGATAAGGTAAGTGAGATGTTATACAGAGCCATTTGTGATTTTACTACCACATTTTCATGAAAAATTTGCGTATAATTACGTCTTATTTTCAAATTTCATGCATAAATATGAAGATACGTATTGACTTTGACAGTGTCAAAGTTACCCTTACATAGAAACTGAATGGTGGAAGAAGAGGTGGTAGAAGAGGTGATTGAAGAAACTGTTGTTAAAGATGGAGTTTTGCAACATGCACATCAAAATATGTTAAGTTCTCACCTGGAACAACAGTTATATTTAAATAGAACGTACACTGTGTCCAGGAAAAGTGACAAGTTTCACACTCCCGTATTATATATACACTTGTTGTCATGAGTAGATCAACACAAGGTGGTTGGAAATGAGCAGATAAAAGAGAAATTATTAAAATTAAATATGATGATGATGTATCTCCAGTAGATAACAGTAACATCAGTATAAAACAGCCTGGGCTCTACACAATTAATGACGATTTGCTCTATATGGAGTGGGGAGAATAGACAATTTAGGCTCAAGATTTTACAAAATGTTTGTTTGTTTTAATTATTTTTGCTGGTTTTCTTTTTAATTTGAATTAAAATGTTAAATTAAAGGAGTTTTTTAAGCGTTTTTGATGGTGTTAAAAAATGTGTGTAACATTGCCAAATGTTGTAGGGTGATTCTTCATTTTTTTTAATATAAGGCAAAACTGCATAATGGTTGTTTTATTGCGTCACATGCATCTATTAGTTAATAAATATATACACCAATGTTACCCAGATTGATAAAAATAACACTTATAACTAGTTTTCTATGCACGGCTGTGTGTTTGCCAAAGTTACCCAACTTACGAGGGTAACTTTGACACACACATTATTGAGATTTTATACTAGGTATATTGGTATGTTTTATAAACTTTCTGTGAATGTCTATAAACGGAAAGTAATACGAGAGCACTGATAAAGTAAAAAAACACTCGAGTGATATGGTTTAATTTTTTTAAATATAGTATAAATTATCACCCTTATCTGTCAAAGTTACCCAGATTGAGTGTAATGAAAAAAAAAAAGAAATATCCTTAATATACAGGGTGACTGGTGAATTACTATCGATATTTGAGGACGTGATATTTGACGATCATATATGACAAAATAAAAATTAATATAACATAAATATTAATAAACTTCTAAGTAAAGGTAACCAAAAGTTATGTAATTAATTACGCATCGTGTGAACACCCTACAGATTAGGTATACACACACACACTCGCACGCGGCGGCGTGTTGTTGTATCAGCACGCCGCCGCACACGTCCACACTTGGAACACTTGGAACGTGTACACACTTTATTTATTTATACGGAAATTTGGTCAAAAATTAAGTACCTATTTTTTTTACATAATTCGAATGAGAATCATGTACCGAGTATGCTCCTTAAATATTGATAGTAATTCACCAGTCACCCTGTATAATATGTACGGACGTAGAATGACCCAGGAGCGACGTCCACCCACGTGTCGGCAGTGGCGGGCTGCCACCTGCCCTGGCACTGGGCGCGCTGGGACCGCGAGCGGCTGCTGTGTGTGCGCGTGTTGGAGGCTGGCGGGGCGGCGCGCACGGGCTGGTCGGGCGGGTTCAAGCTGGACGCGGCACGCAGCCTGCACGTGGCGTGTCGCGGCGGCGCGGGCTCGTACGAGCTGCTGCGGGTGGAGGTGGCGGCGCAGGGCGCGGCGCTGCTGGTGGTGCTCACGGACGCGCACCGCTCGCCCCCGCCGCTCTGTATCGACAACCACTCGCCCGTGGCCATCATGTTCCACCAGGTACGGTTGGCGGACCGAGTATTTTTTTTTAATTTATTTATTTCTTAGTAATTATAATGTTAATTGTTGTGTTTACAATTCTTTTTTTGTTCTCACCAAGCTATCATGCTTGACGGTGAAACGCGCTCATTTTGTTTAACATAAAAATATTGGTTCACAAAAAGTTAAAGAAATAAAAACATAACAACATATTCTTAAAAACTAAAAGTAAATCAACACTATGTATAAGTTTTATAATATTATAAGTTCACTGGTCTTGTTTCACGATGACGACAGGTTTTCTTCATTGAGAAACAAGTCCCTATGTTTTGTTTTTAACATTTGTTTACTTATTTTATCATTTTTCTTAACATATGTATCAATTTTATTAAATACATACTTTAGGTACAATGTATGCTGACAATCTCCCTCCATAAATTTTTTTAAATCTTGGTTGTACATTTTTATTTTTTTCCACATTCCGGGTATTGTATACATTTTTTATCGGTATTTTATATTCTTTATTGTTGTATGAGATAATATCACACACCAATTAGATTTGATAGTTTTATGGAGACCAGCTAGTTTGTGAGTATCGCGTCTAGGTAATGAGAACGACCTGTTTATTTGAACGCTTTATTGATACTGACTAAATTATGACAATGCTTACGAATGTGTACGTACAATGAAATTATGTTAATGTATGGGTAAACCCATACAATTGTAATAATACTCTAATCCTATTAAATATTATATTTTTTTTTCAATCGGTAAAATTTTACAAACACTAAAGAGTGTTTCGTAGTCCTTATTATAATTATCCTTATCTTTTTTATTTACTAGGAACTTGATCAGTCTTATTTGTATATTCTTAAAGTCCTTTATATACGTCATAAACGTTTTCCCGTAAACCATTAGTCCGTAACTTATCAACGAGTCAGCAAGTGCAAAGTACACGATCCTTAACGTATGTTTATTTAACACCGAATTTAATTGATAAAGTTTACATCATACATCATTTACATGTACCTATCTTTCGGTTGACATTTCTATCAATGTTTAGGCCTAAATACTTAAATCAATCTACATGTTGTAGTTTTATACAGTTGCAGTTTAATTTGTTGTTTTGTAAACAATCATACGTGTGACCTACTACAGTAAGATATTGTGACTCAACGTACTTAGCTCTCATATTATATGGCGAGTATATATGCACAAATTTAGTTTTTTCGTTATTTAATATGATTCCATTATCATGTGACCATTTGCAGATATTGTCAAAGTCCTCCTGTGTATATTTTTGAATTTCCGTTATATCTTTTGACGCATAAATAATGACCTAGCCATAAATTAATATTTTCCCATATTTTTCTAGTGTCCCCGTTACATTTCTTTATTTCCCTCAGTATTATCATATTCATCAGAAACCTTTGTAACGCTCTCTGTCCGTCCCTCTTCAGGTGGGATGTACGGAGGAGTGTGTGGTGGGTGCGGGAGGGCGAGCTCGCTGGGCGCTCCCGGAGCCCGAGGCGACCCCGGCCCTCGCCCTGCGCGCCCCGGGCGGCCCGCGCCTCACGCTGCCGCTGCACGCGCTCCACGAGACGCACACGCTGCTCTACCAGAACTTCATCTACGTCGCGTTCTACGCCAACGATACGAACGCTCCCGATACTGTCACGTGAGTACTGACGCGTACTTTTTTTTATATATTTTGGAAACAAACAGTACTATTAATAATTATAAATGTTGTACATAATTAAACCTTAAACCAAAACAGTTTCCTATGATAAATTATACATAAATAACTTTCAGAGTGTAGAAAGCATAACAATGATTGGGAACGTTCAAGTATTACGTAACGCAATTTTCGAAGATTTTTGAGCCCCCCTTCCCCCTTTGTAACCCACAGAAACGTTTTTCTGTAACCCCCCCCCCCCCCTTCTCAAAACGTTACGTAACACTCAAGTGATCAATTTCATCCAAAGTCGTAAAACAATATGTAATAGTTTGGTATAGTTTTAATCTATTAAATGAAAAAAGGTCATTGACACAAATCTCCCTCTTCTGAAGAAATTACACTATAAACACTATGAACTCACGGATAAACACTAACGAATACTGACCACGGAAGCAACATTAAAAGACTTACAACGTAATCTAGGTATTCCCCGTAAAATATCAATTAAGAGGTTTGCAAACTTGGAATAACAAATAAAAATATCGACCAGACTAATACAATCTGGTGAACATAATGTAACGTATATGAAAAGAGTTGCCAGTTTGGGGGTTTTTATTAATATTTTTTTTTAGAAACAATACTACGTAACGTTTTGTAAGGACCACCCCCCTCCACCAAAATTGCGTTACGTAATACTTGAACGCTCCCATTACTATTATAAATTATTATACATTATCAAATAATTAACTTATTATACATATAAATATTAAAATTAAAACTTTAAATTCAAAATTATTGCAATATATAGTTGTGTTAAATATCATTCAGATTCATTCAATAAATATTTTACATCAGATTTAAATTGACGGAGAGAGAGATGAAACATATCCAATTTAAAGAACATCTTGTTATGTTGTTTAGCACTTCTAATAATAAAAGCATTTCCTGCAAATTTGGTGCGGGTATACGGTATATTAAAAATAGGTACTTGACGTAGTTAACTATGTAGTTACTGTATCATGGGAAGATGTTGTCATCATAATATTTGTTCAGTGAGCCGACCGACGGGTCCGGGGACGGGCTGCTGGTCCTGGAGGTGCCCCTCGGCTCTACTCGTGTGCAGCTCGCTCGACTCAGATACGGGGACAGGTGAGAGCATCCTTAACCAAATATACATAGCGTCGGTTGTATTTCCATTCTGATGTTCCCGCGGCGGCCGCAGGTGCCAGCTGTGGCGGCGAGGAGCGGGCGGCCAGCTCGTCCACGAGGGCAGCTCTCCGCCGCAGCCCACGGACCAGCTGGCCAGCGATACCGCGCTCTCCCCGCACGCGCTCGTGAGTAGCGGTGACACACACCCGAGCGATGTATAACAGTAGAGCGAGTCGGTTACAGCTGTTTGTGAGTAGGTTCTAGACATCGAGGAGGCTGCCCCCCGGCCGACGCGAGCCGCCCCTCTCGTGCTGCGGCGCGCCGACCCGCGGCGGGCCTCCACGCAGGCCTGGCGGCTGGTGGGCCCCGCCATGTGCTGCGCTCACAGTAACCTGTGCGTTCAACCCGAGGACGGGTTCATGGGACTCAATCCCGGTAGGACATCATCTACGACCTTCCGTATGCATAATGCGATCCATCAGAAGAGGTAAGTAAGTAAGTCAACATGTCCCGTGTGATGCAGGGGCTCGTGTGGTGCTCGGCATGTCGGTGTCGTCGCGAGTCCCCGCCGTCCGCTGGCCGACCCTGCGGCCGGGCTCCGGACGGCTGGCCGTCAAGCTGTGTGCCGACGGACCGACCCGACGCGTGCGCATCGTCGACAGCGCTGAACAGGTTCGTTGTGTGGGGTGGTCGGCTCATGTAGAAACAACGAGCCGGTGTGGACTTAACCTTATTCAGGGTTTTATTTTTTTTTTTTAATTTATTTGAAACACCATCAGCATATTCACAATAACACTTATGTAATAATAGTACACGGACCAGCGCAGTGTGATACACCACTACAGGTATTTACAGCACTTTTAAATTTAAACGAAGTAATACACTCTTTAGTAATATTAAAAACTTAAATACTATTAAAAACTTATGTAATATATAAAAACTTAAGCTAGAACAAACATAAACTAATAAGGTTTAAGGCCATAAATACAATACAGACAATTAAATCAAAATAAACAATTATAAACCAATGAAAATAATTTTTAAAAATAAAAGTATAATAACAACATACTAATGTACTACTCGCTTACAGCGTATAATAAGGATTTCTTAAAACTAAATAAATTTTGGTGGTGGATATCGATGTCAAATCTGTTTATAGAATTGTAAGTTCTGATGCATCGAGTAATAGGTGAAAATTTTCCTGTATTCGTACGGTGTCCTGGTATAAACGAACGTATTTTTGATGGGTTGTCGAGGTATATTACGTGGGAGTAAGGCCTCGGCCTCGAATTTTGCGGGCAGCGGAGCGGGAGCGGGAGCGGCAGGATCTTACGCGTATAATCAAATGGACCGACCCTCGAATACAGCGGTGCCCGCTGCCCGCTATTTTGGAGAAATGTATGCGTTTTCGTGCCGCCGCCGCTGCCGCTCCGCTGCCCGCAAAATTCGAGGCCGAGGCCTTACAGATTAATATAAGATATAATCTCTGGCGATTGTATTTTACCGTTTATAAGTTTATGCAGAAATAATAAGTCGTTAATGGAGCGGCGCTTCTGCAATGATTCCATTTTAAAATGCTTCAGACGTCTTATGTAATCCGCACTAATCCAACCGTTTTGTACTATTGCTAGGAACTAAATTTCTTTCATTTGGTTTGAAAATCCAGTTTATAAAACTTAAATTAAAATCTCCTGATACAATAGTTTCACATATATTACTTTCCATTACCCTACTTATGTTTTTTAATACTGATTCTAAATTACTAAAAGTTACAGGTGGTGGTAAATACAATAAACAGAAAAGTACGTTTTTAGTTATGCCATTTTAACTTAAGCTAACTGATATCCACAAATCTTCATTATTGCTTTCCAGATGTTTGACTCGTTGACATTGTAAATTTTTTGATATCGCGAACAACACTCCACCCCTCTGTGTCCAACCGATGAAGTTGTTAATCTGACTCTTCTGTATACTGTATAATTATCAGTTAGAATTTCTTTATCATTTATTGAATCATTCAACCAAGTCTCAGTTAACGCTATTATTTCGTAGTTGTTTCTCAAAGAAGCCAGATTAATGTCTGGTATTGTAGTTTTCATACCACGGACATTTTGATAATAAGTAGTGAATGATGTTATTTAATTTACGGACTTAAACGCTATTTTCCTTTAAATTTTAATATGGTTTAAATTTTCAATGCTACGAATCTGTTTAGCTGGTGATGTGTCATTTTTTCGAATAAAAATGCGTCCATTACGCACCCATACATACCTTATAAGCTTCTCCCGCGCCACTTGTCTTGTGCGGCCATGTAGATACTTAAGGTGAGGTGGTAAGTGTTCCGACACATATAAAGTGATTTACGGGCGATCTGAGGTCGGGAAGGGTACGAACGGTTTCTCGATTTTCGGAAAAACTAACTAATGAAAAATGTTATATGGCAAAGTTGTAGGTAATAAAAAGATCTAAAACTTTTGTATTTACATTTTTTCCACATAACCTGAAAATTTATGTGATAAATTCGAAAAACCAAGTTTTTGGCTTTTCATTTTTATCTCTTACAAAAAACAGTTTTTTGTCACGAAATTTGGTGTAACTTTCCTTTTGATGTTACAAATGCACTGTAATTTATTTGTTTAGAAATATTTATTTTCTCAAGTTATTTTGAATAAATACCTAAAAATCAGCCTCATTTTCAATCGATAAATCACCCGTCAAAATATTAGCGGTTTCAAAAATTTGGTGTGTTTTCTGTTCGTTGAAATCTTTATTTTCCGATGGTGAAGAAATAAATATAGGTTTGTTACCCACTTAGTTGTGTACTCTGAAAGTTCTCCAGATAGTCCCTCTTTCAGGTAATTTACAGAAAATTGACATTAAGCTGCTAAAACTATTAAAAATAAACCGAAAGAGCATTTTCCAAACGATATCGAGTGTCATTTCATTAAAAGGGGCATGATTGTTTTTACCAAAAATGGTACTGCAAGTAAGAAATTTATATTTATTTCTTCACCATCGTAAAATAGAGATTTCATCAAATTGAAAACATACCAAATTTTTGAAAATAGCTGATATTTTGACGGATAATTTTTCGATTGAAAATGAGGCTGATTTTTCGTTACTTATTCAAAATAAGCTGAAAAAATTAATATTTCTAATCAAATAAATTAGAGTGCATGTGTAACATCAAAAGGAAAGTTTTCACCAAATTTCGTGACCAAGAATTGTTCCTAACCTACAAAAACTTTAATGTTAAAACAGGACACGAAGCGTCTCGAGACTTGGGAGGACGAGGAGGAGGAGGAGGAGGAGCCTCCAGCAGCGGGAGGAGTGTCGGAGTGGGAGGTGCGCGTATCGCTCGGCGGGTTGTCGTTGTCGCTGGTGGCCCGCCGGCCGCCCGCCGAGCTCCTCTACGCGCAGTTCTCGGGCGTGCGGCTGCGGGCGGCGCGTGAGCCGCGCGGCGCACAGTTCGCGCTGACCGTGGGCTCAATGCAGTGGGACAACCAGCTGGTGACGGCGCCCAGCCCCGTGCTGCTGTACGTGCTGGGGGAGCGCGAGGCGGACGACCAGCCGGCGGGGATCGGCTCGCCCGCCCTACACGTGTCCCTGGAGCTGCAGCGGGCGCCGCCCAAACACTACAACGCCCTGTATTTCAACCACTTCGTGGTGGCGATGCGTCCGCTCGCCATCAGACTCGATGAGAGGTAGCGTCGCCGTTACTGAGATAATGTTTTTTTTAATGGGAAACAAACAGCATATACACAGCATAATAGTTTTCACATATTAAAAATAATTGGGTACGTAAGCCAACAAAATTTCCACATTTGCACAGTTTCATGGAGTGAATACAAAAAAAAATACTATAATTATTATTAGAATTTAAACATTATACAATTCAAAGTGAATTTAAGTATGAGAAAGAAAAACAAACATCTTAAATGTAATAACTATATGAGCTTTTTCAAAAAGCGAGAATACTTTAAAAAACTAACATTAAAAATATCAACACTGGTAAACAATGTGGTATAGTTAGTACAGGCTCTTACGAGAATACGATTTTTTGCATAATTTCTTTTACATAATGGGACAGAGAAGATATGTTTACATCGTATGGAAGAATTAGAACACTTAAAAAATGTGTTATTTAATAAATATGTTGAGTCTATAAGATTATTTATGATTTTATATAGGAAAAGTTGATTCCTATATACCCTACGGTTCTCAAGTGATATAATGTTTAAACTTTAGACAGAGTTTTCTCCGAATTTGTATGTCATTCTTTTAAGAAACTTGTTTTGGACGCTTTCTATTGCCAAAATATACTTAGAATATTGTTGATTCCAAACAGTGGAAGCATATTCCAAATGAGATCTAACATAAGAGTTATATAAATATTGTAAGTGTGTATATTCTTGAAATCGCTTCCTTAACGAAATATGAATCCCAGCATACTGTAAGCTTGGGCTGTTATTTTATTTATATGTTGATCAAATATTAAATCAGCGTCAAGAAGAACTCCCAGGTCAATCACCTCGGTCACTCTTTTCACAACTTTATCATAAATAATGTAGTTAAATAATATTGGATTTATTTGTTGTTGATGTTCCGAACATTTTGACAGGAAATTATAATACTGATTACTAATTGAGTTTTTTCATAAAACGTCCGTTAGGTTGATCCTGCTGCTGTGGTCGTGGGTGGAGGGCGGCGGGGAGCGCGGGGAGGGGCCGGCCGAGGAGGAGCCGGACGAGGCGGAGTACGAGACGAGGCGCGTGCTGCACGAGCTGACCGCGCTGCACGCCACCAGATACTACTTCGCGCTCATCAAGATCATACCGAGCCAGGTGCGGCCGCGCGCTCACTCACCCGCCCCACCAGCACACCGACCTAACTCTCGTTCTGTGGAACAGATCCGCCTGTCGATGTTCACCGCCAACAAACTGGAAGGAGAGCTGGCGGCGCTCAAGAGGTCGCTGGGCCTCACGCTGGTGCGCTTCGAGGACGCGGCCGTGGAGCTGGAGCCCTTCGCCAGGGCGCACGCCTTCGACACGGCCGCCGCGCTGGCCAGGCATCTGCTGCAACACTTTAAAGATGTACGACGACTCCTCATCGCTGATTATAATGAGTGAACGGTTCAGTAATAATACACTGTTTGACAGGAGTTGAAGTGGCAGGCCGCGAAGATCCTGGGGTCGGTAGACTTCCTCGGGAACCCGTTGGGCTTCGTGGCGGACGTGTCGGAGGGCGTGTCGGGCCTCCTGGAGGGCAACGTGAGAGCCCTGTTCAAGAACGTCACTCACGGGATCTCCAACTCTGCGGCCAAAGTCACCGGTAACTGTAGACTACATTAAACGGTTATGACGGCTCCATGGACCGTGGTGGTGGATGTCTAATGTGGTTCATTACTGGGTTGGAAAAGAAACGTCTTTGTAGCTTTAAGTCGTATTTAATAATATTAGAAAATTTTAACATAGCATAATGAAAGCTTGGGCCAATGGGTGGTCCAGCATATTTGGATGTATACATGAGATGTTTTATAAAGGAGACTTTACACTAGACTTAATTCTATAATATACCATACACACTATATTTATTACACTTCAGATGTACATTTCATATTATTTCAGAAACTCTGGGGGACGGGCTGGAGCGTGTGGTGGCGGACGAGGCCCACGAGGAGACGCGCCGACGGATACGCTCCGGAGCGGCCGGGGCGCACCTGGCCGCCGGCTTCAGGGGACTGGGACTGGGGCTGCTGGGTGAGGCCGGGATAACGTTATGACAGTGTGAATAAAATCGGAGCATCAATCTGATGACACGTATATTTCAGGGGGTCTGACGTCACTGGCGAAGCACAGCTACGAGGGCGCCGCGGCCGAGGGTGTGGCGGGATTCCTGGCCGGGGTCGGCAAGGGACTCGTGGGCACCGTCACCAAGCCCATGATCGGCGTGCTGGACCTGGCCACCGAGACCGCGGCCGCCGTGCGGGACAGCGCTCGGCGGGGCGGGGGAGCTCCTGGCCGGGCGCGCGCTCCCCGCCTGGCCGCCGCGGGCGCTCCACTGCCGCGCTACTGCAGCGAGCTGGCGGCCGGCGCTGCACTACTGCTGGCGCTACCGCAGCGGGACGCGGCGGAGCGCTTCCTCGCCTACCGCATCGTCCGTGACTCTCCGCATGACATCCGCGCGTTACTCTCCGACTCGTTCCTGCGCATCGTGACGTGCAAGCACGGCGCGCCGCAGGTGGTCATGGAGACGCACCTCGGTAACCTGGTGTCGTGCTGCGCGGTGCAGGCGGACGGAGCGTGGTTCGTGGAGCTGGGCGTGCGGGGGGCTGCGGGCCCGGCCGGGGGCGGGGGGCCGCACGAGGCGGTCCGTCGTCCGCGCGTGCAGTGTGACACGTCGTCGGTGGCGTGCTGGCTGTCCCGCCACGCGGCCGCCGCCAGTCAGCTCTACCACGACCGCACACACACGCTCCTCCCTCACGCTGACCTCTGACCCCTCCTCCCCCCTCCTCCTGGCTCCTAACGTCCTCGTCGTCGCTACCTCGTCTGTATCTGTTACAAACGCGATCGATCTGCAAGAAGTTTGTTTTTTTAAAAATAAAGAAGAAGAGTTGTGCCAACATGGTCTGTAGTTATGTTATATAACGTGATGACTAGTGCCGTGTGATCCTCGTGGCTGTGGTGGAGTGTCCTAGCTGGTATTATTTATTATCATCCCGGCCGTCTGGTTGTGCTCACCCTCCCTCATATATATCGGTTGTAGCTTGTTCCTCTGTATCCCGGGTTGTGTACTCGTCGTGACGGTCACACACTCGTCTTCACATTTAGATAACACGAACTGTTCGTCGCTCAAAATCAAATGAAACGAAGCGCATCAAAACAGTAGTGTAGAGAGGCATGATTTGTTACACTGTCAGCAATAAATAAGGACTGTATTATGTGTTTTGACTGAGGACCGACTTATGACGACTGTTGACGATTATTGATGACTGACTACGGGTGTGGATGAATGTTGTGGTATATGTACTCCTTAAGATATTTTATTTGCTGCATTCTAAAGTATAAAACAGTTTCCGAGTCTTGATCCGTGTTGTTTTAGTTAGTCAATGGAGCGATATAATGTATATAAAACAATACGCTTATTAAACATTTCTTAATTTGTGTTATCTTGTGTTAACACATGTTTTAGTGATATTAATTGTCATGTCTTCTTACATGACTCGTTGTAAGACAAGGTCAACGTTACTGATCTTTCTGTTTTAATTGTAATGGTATACAATGTTACTTTCTCATCCTTCCTCTTGTACAAAAACTGTAAAACTATCAAATATAAAATATTATTACTTATTATGACTCCAGGAAGCAGAGTCGAGTTGTACGTTCACTATTATATATTATTTATACTTAATATACATTTAGTTAGTGTATTGATTTAAGTTAAATGTTTGTCTTTGAGTTGGGAGTTGTTTGTTGTGTGTATGTTGAGGAAAAAAACATGTTACGTCTGAACTCGAGCTGATAATAAATGATTAATATATAATTGTTCTTTTATTTTACACTTAGATATAATACACACGTATGTTCCGAACGAGAGGAACGACACAGTTACATATAGTCTAAGAACCCGATATAAGGTGACCTTCACCGAGATGCTTATTTGATGAAACATATTTTATATTCAATTTAATATGTCAATAACAATATTACATATGGGTTGCCTCATAAATTTTAGTCCAGGATATGATTAATTAACAATTAAAAATAGATTTTTTTCAAATATTTCACCGGTTTGATTATTAGATAAATTTCACACCAATCGAAAGTACGGAGCCCATAGAATATGAAAACGTTAGGTTGCCTATTCTTTTCCAGTCACAACTCTCGGGTTGCCAGGGATAAACAGGTACATCGATAGTAGCATCTTGCACCGGTCTGATAATTTAATCAAATTTAAATGAAAACAAAGAATATTTAATTACGAACAAGGTAGTATAGGGTTGCCTCCGAAAAATCAGTCCTAAATTAGGGTTGTCTATTTTTAAAGTTTAATATTTCTGCAAACGAAAATGTGCAACTGAGAGGTCCCAAGCAAAAACAATTTATAAAACCTCTGTTTATTGTTCAAAATAATAAAAACATATATTTTTAAATTATTCAGCTTCTGAGTCATTGGACATAAAACTGGGATCTTCGACATCTGCACCTTCTTCGTCATCACTCTCTGTTTCGATTCTTTATTTTATTACAATATCAGCTATTCTTAAAGGTGTATAATCCCCAAGGAACCCTCGTGGTTTTAAATATTCATCTAAGTACCATCCGCAGCTCTCAGGTTCAAGTTTGATGCATATTGAATCTGTTGCATTCGGCCACATCGAATTTACGAAAAAAGTATGTAAAACTTTTTGTGTTAATGATATCCAGCACGGAGGTCTGGAGTTAGAGTCAAAGCGTTGTCATCCATTGGACAGACAAAGAGAAGCATCGGCACAAGGGTTAAGGAACACATTTCAGACGTCAAGAATAGGCGCCCCTCGAAGTCAGCAGTGTGTGAACACGCTTTGGACAAACCAGGCATTACATTAGATTTGATAAACTTCATATCATCGCAAGTAACGACAAGTATATATCAAGGTGCTATCCAATTCTTTGTATATTTTCAATAAAATATCTTTTTTTACAATATATCTGTTAGAAAATATAAGAGTGAAGCGGAAAAAAGAAAATAACAGCTTGGTCGAGAAAACATGCGCAAAAATTGAAACTCTTTTTAAATCGGAACATATAAACGCAAATGAAAAAACTATAAATCCATTAAAAATCGTAATGAAAATATGCAAGATTTTGAAAACCAAAGTCTGAGTAGACCAAGGACTCCGTAAACGGCGCAGAAAAATTTAAATGAGACACGCTTAACGTTGCGTTGGATAAGATGATTATGGATTTAAATAAAGAAATCATGCCTTTGAGACCTATAGCAAAAAATATATATTTAATATATTTGCAAGAAAAAAATCTAGAACACATAGATCTAGAAAGAGTATGTAATATAATTGATTATTATCCAAATGAATTAGACGAACATTATGTGAATGAGTGCATTCAGTTAAAATCTTACTTCAATCTACGACATAGTGTTACACTTCCCGAAGAGACATTTTTTGACTAATATATGAAAAGAAACTTGTTAATGTTTTCCCAAATTGCTATACCATCCTAAAGATTTTTTTAACGATGCCCATAGCTAGCTGTGAAGCGGAGCGCTCTTTCTCTAGGATGTCATATATAGAAAACAAATACAGGACACAATGTCGAACTATCGACTAAATCTTTACAGTTCTTTCGATAAATTGCGATTTAACAAAGGACCTATAGTGCGATGACAAAATTAAAAGAATTTGCAGCACAAAATGCAGAGGTTGCTTTTTAATTTAAATAACATAACGATATAACCTTTCAATTTATGTTGCAATAAATAATGTTTTAATAAATAAATAAAATATTTTATTTTGCTATTTTCGTCCTGTACTTAACATATATATTACATTACTTATGCCTACATAACTGCAGAAAATAGTTTCATGTCAAAATGGCAATTAGTTAAGTAATTAGGTAGGGCCCCTAAGCAGTCTTAGCCCAGGGCCCCAGAAATCGAAGATCCGCCCCTGTTTGTTTATCCCTGGCAACCCGAGAGTTGTGACTGGAAAAGAATAGGCAACCTAACGTTTTCATATTCTATGGGCTCCGTACTTTCGATTGGTGTGGAATTTATGGAATAATCAAACCGGTGAAATATTTGAAAAAAAATCTATTTTTAATTAATCATATCCTGGACTAAAATTTATGAGCCAACCCATATATATATATATATGTAATATAGCTGTGTACATATTAAATGGAATATAAAATATGTTTCATCAAATAAGCATCTCGATTAAGGTCGCCTTATATCGGGATCCTCTACTAATAGTTAAAGTTTACTTCATAAACAACTGAGACAATATATTTAATATTATCGATAATAACTTGCGAGAATGATTATTTCAGTTAAAATATTTGCCGTTTAAAATAAAACACTAATAGCAATCAGTTGGATCGTGAGGTCAGTTGTAGAGTGTAGTCGACGAAGGACGCTCGCGGCCGGCGCACGTCTCACACGGTGTTACATTGACCTCCGAAATATTAAATACTGTTAGTATTATGTAAGTTATAATCACACAGGCAGAGGCGACGCTCCCTGACCTACTGATAAATAATATTCAGATTTAATACTCACGGGTATTTTAAATATAATTATCTGAGACTCTAGTTGTATTACATATTTATAATGTTGAAAATATTAAACATCTCGTTTTTGTTTTACCTCCAACATGTCTGTATATCCTCGGCTCGTGCGGCAGCTCTGACAACACAATATATTACAAGGTAAGTTGCCAGTAGGTAGTCACTACGCTAACTTTCTTAACCATCGATGAAAGAGTCGAGGTGAACTCGATACTTATTCGATGTCTGTTTGTAACGTCAGGTACTTGACTTATTGTTAAAATGTTTTCAAAGATAATTAAATGTTTCAGCACTATGGCCTCCGTTGACTACTCCAAAGTACCGGTTATTGAAAAATCACTTCATGTACCACCTTTGGAAGAAATAGTAGAAGGTAAAATTACTTATTAAGAGTAACTATTTACTTCGCAAAGTAAAATATATGTATTGTATATAAAATGTAATTTAATGATTTCAGTTTTATCACAAAAACTACCATCAAATTTCGAGTATGTCAGAGTGTCTGCTGAGGAGAGTTCAGACCTTACACAGTCTCCCTACAACCTGACGTCACCAGGTCAGATAAACAATAACATCTGATTCAAATATTTTTAGTTTTATTAACTGAATTCATTTCATTATAATAAAAGCCGTTGCTACTAGATATTAAACACATCAGCTCTTGAATAGAAGTATACATCCAGGATTAGATAGTATTAAGTGTTTTAATATCAAACTTATTCTAGCAAACATTTGCGTATATATTATATAAAAGTAATGATAACACAACATGTTTTTCTTTTACAAAAAAAGATATTACGTATGATGCAATATCATAAACGGTGCATTCTATAAATATTAATAGGAATTCCTTTTTATAATTAATAATAATAATAGCTAGGTACATACATAATAAAGGGCAATTAGAAAGGAACTGTTTTCAAAACACGATCTTAATTCTTATAATAACATATCTACAGTAACCTAACAGAGGTCATATTGTGGTTATTTTTATAAATTATCCAGTTTTCAAAAAGTATCTGTCTTAGGCATTTTTAGTTCCTATTAAGCTGGTTCTCTTGAAGATATTTTTAAGGAAGCATTATGAGAATATGATCCATTATTTTTGTTGAAATCTTTTATTTTAATAGAAACGTAATTAGATGGATGTGTTGTCATCGTTTTTGGGGATCGTTAAAATCAGGCGCACGAATACTACTTGAACGCTGGATATTTTGTATTAAAATGTGCTTGTGATGATGTTTACAGGATAAATACTACCTAAAAGTCACTTTCTTCTACAGGAAATGAAAAGGATTTTTTACGTTTGTGTAAATCTTATACGGAAGGCGTCAATCAATTGAATGTTTGGCCATAGACATGATAAGATTGATTTTGTAACATTCTTTTATTTATTAATAATTAATAACGAGCAGGTCTGTGTGGTGACGCCAAGCTGGTGGAGTTGGGCGGCCCACCGTACCTGGTGCCCACGGTGAGACGAGACAAGCTGTACTCCTTGACGGACTTGTTGCGCCACCTCCGCCGAGACCCGGCGCTGCTGGCGGGAGCCGGCGCCGGACCCTGGCCCTACCTCGGAGTCAACTGTGAGGTACTCCTTGGCATCCCTACTAATATTATAAATGCTAAAGTAACTCTGTTTGTCTGTTACGCTTTCACGCCTAAACCATTGAACTGATTTTAATGAAATTTTGTATAGAGATAGAGTTGACCTTGAGAAAGAACATAGGATAGTTATATCTCAGACTTTTGGGAGGTTCTCTTGGAAACACGATATCACCGAACTCCACGCGGGAGAAGCTGAGGGCGGAAAGCTAGTAGTTCAATATTTCCTTCCTGCTCTGTACTATGTATTACTAACTATCACTCTGTATTGTTTCTCTTCAGGGTATCATCAACGTGTACGTCAAAGACAGCGCCGTGTCTCAAGGATCGCACGTGGTGTCCGTGTCTCCGGTGGGCGCGCCCAAGGGACAGTCGTCGTTTGTTCAGGAGAAGCTGCCGGCCAACGAGACCCGCACCGCCTTACTCGGGAACTACCTGCTGTCCAACGGAGAGCCGGGGAAGGTCCGACCCTCTCTCATGACCTGTTAGCCCTATGTCGATATCTCGAAACAAAAATGGATGTTCTCATTCCAGGTGATCAAAGTGGTCGCTAAGAAACGCATCGGCGAGAAAAACTTCATCACCGCCATCAGAGAAGCGCTCAAAGAGCACTATGGAGATAAAGTAGTAGGTGAGTGAGTGAGTGTTCGTGTGTTGTCTGTCGGGTGGTCATCGTGACAAGCCTCGCTCATGTGCAGGTCTCGGCGGGACGTTCTCGCTGCTGGAGGGTCGCGCCAAGCACCACGTGATGCCGGACTTCTCCCCCACCCCTCTGTGTAGCGACTCCGACGTGGACTCGTGGCTGCACTACTTCGAGCACTCGGCGCCGCTCGCTCACGTGGGCACGCTGGTGACGGGCGACCTGGGTCTGGACCTGCGAGTCCAACACTTCCACGGAGTGAGCGAGCACGGCCAGGGAGGTCACTACCACTACGACACCACGCCTCACGACGCGCACTACGAGGGATACTTCACCGTCGCCGGCTCCGTCATACGGATCGACGCGCCCGAGAACACACACGCCATAGGACGGGACTGAACAGATCTTTACCGACTTATATACACAATACATGTTATATATATTATGTTGGTATGTTTGTATGTATGTGTGAGTTTGTGTGTGACGTTAAAATAAACACAAATGGAATGTAAACCTTTATTTTTTATTTATCCTGTTAATAACTAAATGAGTATTTACAAACAGTGAGTACAATGAAGCGTAACACCGGTTGAATATTAGCTGAGCTACAACAAACATGTTCCTGATAACGTTTGCTGACATTCTGATAACATACTCGGCGGCAACGGGTCGTGACGTCACGGCTTGTTATGATAAGTCATGTGGCACCAGACAACCACAGCTCGGTCAGCCCGGCCCGGCCGAGATGAGGAACTTTAAGGAATATGACCGTCAATCTAACGTCACCTCTGGTCAAGTTAATTCATAATAAATCCATATTTACTTTAATAGTTAGAGGTATTTGAACAACAGAAATCAGTAACTCCTAGTCTATGTAACTCTGAGCGAAACTTTAACTATATTATTTAACGTACTGAAGATCGGCTACATTCAATATTTTATCATGACTTTTGGCGACTTACATCGTGAGGGATGTGAACAGAAGGGAAATAAAGTATAGCGCTAGGGTGGAATTGATTTATTTAAATGACGATATAAAGATGACGTCACAAAAAACTATACAGGTGACGTCACACGACGCCGCGGCTCCAGCGCGGACCGGCGAGGGGTCTCTTAGTAACATCGTACAAAAAAATAACAAATAATTCATATAAAAATAAAGGACTTAATGTAACCATTTACAATAAAGATCAATCACACAGCTCCAGCGATAACGGTCCGCTCGCTCGGCGTACACTACATGACGCTACCTCGACGGTCACATCGCTACTGTAACACACACACACACACACACATACACGCGCGGACTCACACACTGATATGTACACGACATGGACATTCAACAATAATCACACTCAACAGTCTGCGGGCCGAGCGAGCGGGTCCGGGACACACGGCTCATACAAACATCGCGGACCCTACACACGGAGAAGCTTTATTACATATAATTATGTATTATATGGAGCACCGACCGCGGGCTCCGACCACATCACATGACTCCTACTACAGCGGGATGGAGACACGGACGAAGACTTCACATCAATAAGTAATTACAAATAGATTGGTATAACATGACATTTTATTACATGAGAGGGGGTGGGGGTGAGTCAGGAGCGGAAGACGCGCACAGCGCGCACCACGTACTGGCGGCAGATGGGGCACTCGGCCAGCTGGCGCGCGCAGCTGGTGCAGGCGGCGATGTGGCCGCACTCCAGCAGCACGCACTCCAGCGGCGCCGCCATGCAGATCTTGCAGCTGTCCTCGATGGGCAGGTTGTCGATATCTGCGGGTGGGGCTCCTTGTAATGATAGTCTGTCTATGTACGTGTGTGTGTATGTATAACCCCTACGAATTAACTGTGCACCTTGCTCTGTGACGTCATTAGAACGATAGCGATTGCAAAAACTGAGAATTATATAAAAAATATATAAATTATAATTTTTTTTATGTTGATAAAGGGTCGTTTTTATGAAGGCGTCATAATACTAGGTCATTTTACTCACAAAGTTTTCTAATTTAATAGATACATATGGACCGATATAAAATTACAGCTTAACAATAAAAAAACGGCAAGTGGACGCTAGATTTTTCATTGCAGTGACATTTTTCATAGTTTAAGATCATTTTTGTATTTAATAATAAGTAAATAAGTAAATGCAACAAAGATGCTATCGCTACAGATGCGACTGCGGGGCGCCGCGAGGGGTAGCAGAAGAGGGGTCGCATTCCAGAGAAGTGCACAGTTGATTCGTAGGGGTAATATGTATGTTCGGTGTGTCGTACCGTCCTTGTACTTGTCGTGGTCCCTCCACAGCATCTTGGCCCGCTCCAGCAGGTCGCTCCTCTCCAGACAGCCCTTGTACTCCACGCGGTTCCTCATCAGCAGCTCCTTCAGCTGTTTGACGTTCAATGCGTCCAGCTCCGAGGCCAGCTTGAACTGTGACAGGTGTATGTGAGGACCTGCAGCGGAAATATAAAAGATAATGTTACCGTCCGTCGATTTATTACCGAAAATAAAGTTTGTCTGCGAACTTCAGTTATTGAAATTATAGTTTCAGTAGTCTACAGACAGCGCCACCTGCCGCCTGTCAGTTGTTGAATTCATACCAATTATCTCCATGGTGTTTCCGAGGGAACACAAATATTTTTGTGATGATGAAACCTAGTAAATTTGTTATTCTGAGGTGTGAGAATTATTGTTAGTAATGTTAACTATACTCCAGCAAAATTCGATGTGGAAGGTTTAATAACAAAGCGTTGCTTAGCAACCAACGTCAGGCAGATTCAGGCTCAAAACATTTTTAGAAATATGTACAACAATTATTTTTGATGTTAATGAAAATTTAAATTGATGATTAATAATAAAATATTTAAGACTAAGGACTAAGCGCATTCTTGGTTATACATAATTATAATACTTATGATCATATGGAATAATGTAGATCTTGTTATTATTAATAAAGAGAATTAAAATTTCATTTAGTATGATGATTTTGGCTCCAGTTTGTCTATGACATTGCAAATTAAGTTTTCTTTTTATTGCTTATAATTTGAACACAATTTATGTCTATATTTATAACACAATATTATATAACACAATTTATTGACAACACGATTTTTACAGGTTACAACTAGTAAATAGAAAAGAAAGCTTTTTGTGTGCCAAATGTATGCATTACCTTACAAGTGACGTATCGAGGGATATATACGATCAAAGTATAAAGTAGTGCATCGTGGCAAACGTGCCGTGTTAAACGATATAATTTCCATTTGGTCGTCTTATAACAAGAACGAATAATTTGGTAGTCGGTCATTTGACATGACGTTTAATAATGCGTTGTTATTTTGTCATCGTGGGACGTAAATATTTTAACAGACATTTAAAATTTTGTAGGTTGCTTAGTAAATGTGATTAGCTTAAACAAACATCAATTGATGAAACTGGGTCTTATAGTGGTAATTAAAGATTTTTAAACTTTTATTTTAAGCTAATTTTCATATAATTAATAAATAAATGTATTGACCGGCTAAATAAAATTTTCGGATTCTATATTAAATTAAAATTTTTGTGTTTAAACAGGAAATTGTGTTACAATGAATATAGTTGTAATTATAATAATAATTATTTTTTATTAAGAGTGTATCAACCCTAATTATGATGACTCATGGTTTGTTTACTAAAATTCCAGATCGAATGTGGCTGGAGTATAGCTTGTTCGGTCGTTGTCACCCATCGTGTGTGTGTGTGTGTATGTGTGTGTGTGTCGACTCACTGTAGGCGGGGTCGTGCGCGTGCCGGTCCGCGTGTTCCGTGTACGCGGGCTCGTCCTGCAGGCTGGCCGTGTCGTTGGTGTCAGTGTCGTCGGCGGCCGACACGCTCCTCAGCTCCAGGGAGGAGGCGGCCCGCTGCGGGGTGCCCGCGCTCGCCGCCGCCAGCAGGACGGACGAGTCTGTACAGATAATGACACTCGCTCTTACATTACACTTCTTAACTCCGGACATATGATAAACCCGTTTCCTGGAGGTTCGTCGTCGTCGTCAGCGCCCACTGCTGAGCAAAGCCTCTTTCTCACATGGAGAAGGTTTGAGCATTAATCACCACGCTTGCTCAACACTAGTCCAGGTTTCCTCACGATGTTTTCCTTCACCGTATGTCAGTGATGTCTTAATACTCTCAGAAAGTACATATGACTCCGAAAAATCACATTGTTACTTACCAGGTTTGAACCCGCGCCCTCGGCAACGAGAGGCGGACCCTTTAACCACTAGGCCACCACTGACGTTCAGTGGTGATGAACCACCAGCATACTGACAAGAATATCACTTAAGACAGACAGAGAATTGGAACAAGATTATGACGTCTTCTGTGAAAGTCGTCACACATATCATGAGAGTGGTGTACACACCGGTGGGCAGAGGGTCAGCGGGCCGCGCGATGAACTCCCAGCCGGTGTCGTCGAGGTCCTCTATCTCGAAGCAGTCCGTGGTGTCGAGGGGCTGCTCCACGGACGAGGGGGTCGCGTCCAGAGGAGTCGCCGCTTCAGGTACTGGAACCTCGATGTTCCTCTCACCACCTGTTATAAAATTTTCTGATAATATACTCGATACATGCATGTGGTATGAAACAAACTCTTGAACCGTTTTATATACTTTAATACAGACAAATTGAAGTTGTTTTGTTTGAAGTTTTGGTTATATTTATGTAAATGAAGCTCTTTTATTCTTCATTTAACTTAATAATTACTCTAACTATAATTTATTATTTATGGTAGCACCACTTTTTACTCTGCATTCATTATATATTTTAATATATATTATAGAAAAAGGCTCTCTGGTTTTGTACGTTTAAGTTTAGCAAGATTTTTGAAAAGGAATAACGATTGTTTAAAATAGCTTTTAATGTTGTTTCTCTTTACGGGTTAGTAAATAATATAATGTTAATTTATAGTTAACGTCTTTAAAATCGTTTTAGTCGGTTGACATGTTCAGAAATTTGTATCACAACAAAACCTCACGAGCGCGATCGCAGGTATAACGAGAGAGAGACGGACCGATCTCCCGTCTCATCTCGAGCGCTGCCAGTCATTCCGTGAAACTTGTCACGCGGAATCCTCACGAGCGGAGGCGTTCGAGTGAGTGGACCGATCTTCCGTCTCTCTCACTCTAGCATCATACAAACGAATGGAGATTTTCTCGTGCGGTTAAGTTTTCGTTGAATGTTTAACAGTGAAACAAAATGGCACCCCGATATACATATTAGGTTAGACAAATAATAAAATCATCAAGAAATGTGTTGCATGCGTTCAGATACTTGGCGGAATAACGTCTGTCGGGTTCGCTAGTATTACATAAAAACGACAGGTTTCTAACAGATTATGACTATAATGATTTGCTTGAGAAGCTTAACTCTAGCAATATCAATCATTATTTTATGTTTCTTGACACTTTCAGAAAAAATAAATGTACCAAAATGATGAATCTTGAAACTTGTATAACTTCTATATCTTGGATCCTACAACTTTTGCGCCATATTAACTATTGTTCCAAATGGTTAGTTCTACAAATATGTACCATTTTTTTTTATTGGCCGGCACTTTTAAAAAAGGCCCAAAAATGTATGAAGCCTGAATGATCTCCTTTATCATCAAAAGTGTGAATAAATCGATAGATGTAATTTAAAACTTGAAAAAATTGTTATCCTCATTAATTCCTTACTTCCCAAAAACTTATATCACCAATAAGACGTTATCACGTAAACATCTCGATCGTAAACCTACTTTACAAACAATCAATTTTTTTTTGTTTTATATTTGGAAAGGAAAATTTTTATTTAATTTCGCAACAGTAATGAATTCATTTCGATTACAAAAATGAAGTTTTATGTAGTTGAACTTCTCTAAGTAAATGAAAGTGAATCCAAAGTAGATACCGAATGGAAGCGTTATACATGTCCGCAAATTATCAGTTTCATTGAAATGGTCCTTTGTAAAACCACATTTTTTGGTTTTTGGTCTAACTTTAACACAAATAAAGCGGATGGTTTCCAAACTCCTGAACACGCAAAATGTAACTGCCCATGTGAAAAACAATGATTTTCTAAATTGATCCAGCAAATACTAAATGGTTTTAAGAGTTCAAACTACAAACACAATACCGGTTTGTCACATGAAAGTAACTGAGCAGAGAACAATGAGTTGCTGTCAAACAATGTATCATGCACCAGCACCATCTACAGGGTGGCCCAGAAAGACCGAAGTGGTGTGAATTCCTTATAACTTTTTTATTATATTTTTTTTTCTTTTCTTTTCAGTATTTTGTAAAGAAGACTTGGATAATTTATAATGGAGCAATACACAATTGAACAACGTGCCCAAATTGTTAAAAATTTACTTTTCAAATCAACGGTCCATTGTGTTGACTCAGCGTGCATACCGTCGTCAATTTAATGTGCGGGTTGCACCCTCTCAGTCAACAATAAACCGTCTGGTTGCAAATTTTCGAGAACAAGGAGCAGTAAGGAACCTTCCTGGTTCCGGCAGACACCGAACTGTCCACACGGCTGACAATATTCAAGTGGTACAGGAGAGTATTCGGGAGGATCCAGAAACATCAACCAGGAGACGTTCGTCACAACTGAGCCTCTCAAGAACGTCGCTGCAGCGAATTTTGCACACCATAGGATTGTTTCCATACAAAATTCAACTTGTCCAAGAATTGAAACCAACAGATTACCAGCAACGACTTGACTATGCAATTTATTTCCAGCAAAAAGCACAAGAGAATCCAAATTTTATTCATAACTTAATAATGAGTGACGAAGCCCATTTTCAATTAAATGGGTTCGTTAACAAGCAAAACTGTAGGATATGGGCTACGGAAAACCCGAGAGTACTTCATCAACGACAATTGCACCCAGTTAAGTGTACCGTTTGGTGCGGTGTTTCTTCAGAAAGGATCATTGGCCCATTTTTTTTTGAAAATGAACAAGGTGTCGCCATTTCCGTCAATGGTGATCGATATCGGGCCATGTTGCAAAATTTTGTAAGGCCAGCCGTGGAAAACCATCCGCAAATATGGTTCCAACAAGATGGAGCCACAGCGCACACTGCGAGGGCCACAATGACTCTTACGCGACATCTTTGGTGAAAGAATAATTTCTCGTAACAGCAATTTTAATTGGCCTCCGCGGTCCCCGGATTTAACCGCTCCAGACTGTTTTCTCTGGGGCTATTTAAAAGGAAAAGTTTATGTTAATAAGCCTAGGACTATTGAGGAGTTAAAAACCAATATTCGAGAAGAAATTAACAACATACCACCGGAAGTTTTGCGAAAGGTCATGGAAAATGTGTTGGAAAGAGCACATTTGTGCGAAGCAGAATATGGCCACCACTTGCGGGATATCATTTTTAATAACTAATCCAAAAATATTCCCCATAAATTTAATGTATTAAAAAAAAAAAATTAAAAAAATATCTCTTAAATAAAAAGTTATAAGCAATTCACACCACTTCGGTCTTTCTGGGCCACCCTGTACTTAAAATATTGATTTGTAGTAGGTACATGTTATGTATGATGGCGCTGTATGTGAAAAAAGATTTTCCCGCTTTTCTGTTGAAAATTTTTGTTATAAAACTCAGGGACCCCGAGACCTTTCCAACGAATGCTTAACCGTGGAAATTGGTTCGTTTGTTCTGAAGTTATAGCGTCAGGATGGAAAACCGGACTTATTTTTATATAGTAGATCTCTTACAAATATCTAATAGTCATCATTATGTCATTACACATCTGTCATTATACGTCAATTGCATAGCTGTCAATTGTATTTCGTTATTCCACGTTTCATAGTGACTGACGTTTCATGTCAAGTCTCACGGGAATGCTGTCGAACGGGATAAAAAGTATCCTATTGCATTTTCCTGGCTCTAAACTACCTCCCTGCCAATTTTCAGCTAAATCGGTTCAGCCGTACTTGAGTTATAAGTGGAGTGACTAACACGACTTTCTTTTATATATATAGATTCAAATATACCACAACAGCCTGTAGGCTCTCATGACCAAATGTTCCCTATCAATGTGTTCAACTCAATCAAATGTAATATAATGTAATCCTTGTTACCGGGCGTGGGTGTGAAGTGCCTGTCAGGTATACTGGTGTTGGAGTGAGGAGCGTCGGCTGACGGAGAGTGGAGGTGGGATGAGTTGAAACAGTTACCTGGAAATGTTGTAATATATGTATTAATAGTAATACATTTATACTTAATGGTTACTGTACTTAGACATATCTTTATATATGTATATAATTCTTCTGTGAGTATGTTGCTGAACTTCTCTCAAGCGACTTGACCAATTTAGATGAAATTTTTTGTATGTGTTCAATTTTGTCGGCTGGACAATGTTTTTTTAATTAATTTTTAATTTATTAGTAGTTGTTGATACAAACGTTTTTTTGACATTAGATTTGACAACTAACTAATATGTCAATCATTCTGTCGCACTTCAAAACACAGATTTATTAGGCTTTAATAGGTAAACTCCAAAAATATAAATAAAAAAACGTAACACATATTTCTTGATTATAGGTCGATACGAAGTTCGCCGGGTCTTCTAGAAGTAATATACAGGGTGACTGGTGAATTACTATCGATACTTGAGGACGTGATATTTGACGATCATATTTGACAAAATAAAAATTAATATAACATAAATATTAATAAACTTCTAAGTAAAGTTAACCAAAAGTTATGTAATTAATTACGCATCGTGTGAACACCCTACAGATTAGGTATACACACACACACACACACGCGTTTGGCGGCGTGGTGTTGTATCAGCACGCCGCCGCACGCGTCCACACTTGGAACACTTGGAACGTGTCCACACTTTATTTATTTATACGGAAATTTGGTCAAAAATTAAGTACCTATTTTTTTACATAATTCGAATGAGAATCATGTACCGAGTATGCTCCTTAAATATTGATAGTAATTCACCAGTCACCCTGTATATTTATGTATATAATAATAGTTGTCAACTGACAAGAACATCTCCATGCCACACAGTTAACCTACTTCTGTTTGAAGCCGGCGGAGGGCTGGTGGGACTTCTAAGATCGAAGGCTGAGTTGATGAACTCATTGATGTTGGTGGTGATTCCCTTGAGAGTGCAGAAGGCACTAGTGTTGTTCCGCGGCCCTCTCCGCCTGTACGCTCCACTGTTTACATGCGACACACACAGGCTCAGTAATTCCTCTTTCTCTGTAAATGACAAACAGAGATTATAGAATTATATATGGTAGGAGCAGTCAGCTCGAGAGCACAGGCATACATATGACGGGACACCACATATATTTTTAAACATGTATTTTTTTTTTTGTGAACCGATTAAGAATGACGGAAAAATTTCTTGAAGTGGAAAAACTGCTTTAAACTTTTTTCATATCATAATCTTCTATATATACAGGGTGACTGGTGAATTACTATCAATATTTAAGGAGAATACTCGGTACATGATTCTCATTCGAATTATGTAAAAAAAATAGGTACTTAATTTTTGACAAAATTTCCCTATAAATAAATAAAGTGTTGACACGTTCCAAGTGTTCAAGTGTGGACGCGTGCGGCAGCGTGCTGATACAACACCACGTCACGACACGCGTATGTGTGAGTGTCAGTGTATACCTAATCTGTAGGGTGTTCACACGAAGCGTAATTAATTACACAACTTTTGGTTAACTTTACTTAGAAGTTTATTAATATTTATGTTATATTAATTTTTATTTTGTCATATATGATCGTCAAATATCACGTCCTCAAATATCGATAGTAATTCACCAGTCACCCTGTATAAAAATGGATTGCTGTTCCTTAGTCTCGCTAAAACTCGAGAACGGCTGAACCGATTTGGCTAATTGTAGTCTTGAAATACTCCTGGAAGTCCAGGAAAGGTTTAAAAGGTGAGAAAAATTGGAATAATTGCCGGGAAAACCCTAAAAACAGCCCTTTTCTATTTCCCATACAAACGTTTTTTTTGACATTAGATTTGACAACTAACTAATATGTCAATCATTCTGTTTGATTGAAACAGGAAAAACCTGATTATTTATGGCCTCTAAGACGGAATAGAGTTTGCCTGGTCAGCTTCTTCTTCTACCTGGCAATTTCCCAGCTATAGCCAGGGTCTGCCTTACATGTTTGTGAATAGTTTTGGCTATTTGTTTTTACGACCGGCCGCCTGCCTGACATCAACCCTCTCTTTGGGAATCAACATAAATCAGTGATGTTTAAATACTCTTAGAAAGTACATATGACTCGGAAAAATCACATTGGTACTTGCCCGGGCCAGGATCGAACCCGCGCCCTCGGCAACAAGAGGCGGGCCCTTTAACCACTAGGCCACCACTGCCTGGTCAGCTATACCTACATATATTACACTTGACCAAACTAACGCGGACGAAGTCGCGGGCAAAAACTAGTATAGATATAAATGTTATAAGGTTCATGTCAATAGTCTATTAATTAAAGAAACTTACTCTCTAATACTTATTACAATGTCTAGTTTCATACAGCTATTTTTAAAACATCTTGTAGTTTCTTTATTTTATATATTAATTTATATCAAACTTCACAGATCTCTAATCTCTATAATATTGTAGATCTGGATGTGTATGTGTGTTTGTTATGTATGATTTTATATAAACATTAATTTCTCAATTCTATATATTGCTGAGTGTTTATAATGCCCAATAAAACAATTACCTTTACAGCACAGTACCAATCATATTACATGAATAGAAATGCTAATAAGGGAAGTCCCTTGACTTTTCACATATGTATATATGTTTTTCATATTGTGTATATTGTTATTAAGTTAGATTTATAACATATATGTTGACCGTGATTCATCTACAGCTATTAGTCTAAGATCCCGATATAAGGCGACCTTCACCGAGATGCTTATTTGATGAAACATATTTTATATTCAATTTAATATGTCAATAACTATATTACATGTGGGTTGCCTCATAAATTTGATGCATATTGGATCTGTTGCATTTGGCCACATCGAATTTACGAAAATAGTTTGTAAAACTTTTTGTGTTAATGATATCCAGCACGGAGGTCTGGAGTTAGAGTCAAAGCCTTTTAGTCAAATTTGATTAAATTATCAGACCGGTGCAAAATGCTACTATCAATGTATAGTCTGTTAGACTAAAGCTGAACTTTGCATTTGTGTGAGTGAAAGTAAAAGTAGGGTTGGACAAAAAACTTTTAGAATTTAATTTTATTATATTTTAAATAGATACATGGCATAAGTGCTATAAAATGAGCAAAACTTATAAAAGGCCAGATGGAAATATTATGAATATTATGGAAAAAAATATTGATTAATAAAAATTTTGAAAAAATTATACAAATTCTTATTCACTTGTCATTACGTTTTCAACATTTCATTTTGCTACCGGTACAAAAAGTGAAGTGAGGAAGGTTCGGGGCGGAGTAAAAGCAGAATAAACCGGTTCAAAACTAGAAAGGAATGTGGTATTAAAAAAATTTACATCACACCTACACTATTCGTGTACACTCACACAAATGCAAAGCTCAGCTTAAATCAAACACACTATACCTGTTTATCTCTGGCAACCCAAGAGTTGTGATTGGAAAGGAATAGGCAACCTAACATTTATATAATAATCAAACCGGTGAAATATATAAAAAAAATCTATTTTTAATTGTTAATTAATCATATCCTGGACTAAAATTGATGAGGCAACCCATATGTAATATAGTTATTGACATTTTAAATTGAATATAAAATATGTTTCATCAAATAAGCATCTCGGTGAAGGTTGTCTTATATCGGGATCCTCTACTATATGGACAGACACAAATCCAAATCAATTCAACAGAAAGGACAATTCTCATTGACATTGATATTTAGTTAAGTGTAATAATGATTTCTTATCTCTAATTGATATCAAATTACAAACCAAATACTTTATATTCTACAAAATAGACAATGTAAGTAAGAATTTCCCTCTTGTATTACAATGATAGTTAATAACATGTTGTTATATGAGTGTACAATATAATCACTTTGTTTCTTGATCTAACACAAATGTTATGTTTCAGTTATTATTTAATATTCAGGAAATGTTTATATTACACATCTACTTGGGTCTGACCTCACTTGTGACATTATTTTTGTAACTTGTTATAATAAAAATAAATTGTAATATACTAATGATAGTGTTTGATAATTTAATTGACAGTGTGTATTGAATCATAGATTGTTCTAGAATGTTTCATCATTGTTATAATTAGATATATTAGCGTTAAAGGCGACTCACCGACGCATCCTCTGGTGGATACGTTCTGCCTGTGAAGGAAACATTGGAGGTCGCGCACTTTGAGGTGCGCGATGTTTTGTCTGGACAAGGGGCGAGTTGAGAGCACCCTGCACGGAGCACACATAGTGCCTCCGCCACGACGCAAGCAGCCGCTGCAGTAGTACCGCTCACATTCCGAACAAGCCCGTTTTCTCTTGAATACGCTGAATTGTATACCACAGCTCTCGCAAGGCATCTTACACTCGCGTCCTCGCTGTATCATCGAACTATTTTATCTTATTGAATACATAACGCGGTAATTCAAGTCAATATGGTACTCCAGGTAGACATCCTTTTTTTAATAATTTTACGTTTTTATTTTTTTTAATACTAAATACTATAAAACAAAAAAACTGCCATTGCAAAAATAACGTTACAACTACGTCTGACTTTTCTGTTTTCAATTGCCACTTGCCAGTCGAGTCATTTGAGTTGACAGTATTTGCCACAGATGATATAATATTTATATAGACTTTCATGTTCGAAGGAGAATTTTACGTCATTTACTAAATTGATTTTGCTACCCCAATATATTGTAAGAATAAAATCAAATTATTGAAGTTTTCTGGAGCTGAATGTTTATTTATTTAAACAACTTATGTCCTCGTTTCATGCACGAGTTCATATTTATTTTATTGTGTAAGTTGAAATATTAGTTACAAATAATTTTCAACAGGATATATTTGGCACTTTTATATTATTGTTTTTTCAAACGGGTCATAAAGGGGTCATATTGTTTTTTTAAAACGGGTCATAAAGTAATAGTGTAATCATTAAAATATTAATTATAATATTTCTAAATTATTATTTTTTATAAATGTACATACTTACCTATATAAACTTTAAATTTAAAGATAGAAAAGAGGGATCTGATCATCTGAAAACGTGAACTAAACTTTTTCACACCACAAGTTATCATAAAACTAATGAGGGTGTATATAAATAAGGAAATCTACAAATTCCAACTACGACAAACCATCCCAAAAGTAACATCTGATGATATAACAATTCTAATATCCATTCATACCTACCTAAAAACATCTAAAATGTTTAAATATATTATGTTCTATGTACATGTATCCCTGCGTAACATATTTTACCTATTAAATATCATATTGTTATGGATTTTTAAACACTGACGTAGAAAGAGATGTGTTGTAAGTTTGATGTCGATATTCTCGCGTGCTCTATATCCTCTATCCTCGATTTAGAGTCTCACTCTTGAAAGTACATATAATGATAAGATGAAAATTATTAGGAAGAGGCTTTTTACTTTATTTTTTAAATTACGTCTGTTTTTTTTTGCCAGGAAAAAAAAAAGGTTCACAAACAATTTCTTATTATTTCTCATCTATGAGTATTCTATTTTGATGAAAAATAATAATAAAAACTAAAATTATTGCACCCTCCTTTATTTATGTTTTTCAAGTCCAAATTAAGTTGAAACAAAATTGAATTTTATCAATTTCATTTTAATAAACCGGCTCATAGCCCTATCACATCACACCTGTCATTATGGGCTGAATAGATTGAACAATTGAAAGTTGAAACGATAAGTTAAGAACGAAATGTTAAGACTAACAACAAAAAAAAGGAAAGTATGGAATATGTTAAAATAGAGGAATGCTTAGAATAAGTCCTTCACTGAAATAAAAAAGGAGGTATCGTTCTGTAAATAATTATAGAAATTTAAAAAAAGTTTGCTTACATGGAAATAATGGGACGTCTACGATTCTCTTTTAATACCTAATGTTCAAATTGTCAAACGGTCAGAAAAATTCTTTATATAAAATTTTTTCATGTTTTGTATGTTGATTTTCCAAAGCTGAATACATTTTATGTTCGTTGGATTTGAAATGTGTTGTTGCGAAACAGAATCTTATATATGAACAATACGACTCAGAAAGCTGACAAATTGATTAAAAATTCAAAAATTTGCTCGCTGAGGACAGGATTCGAACCTGCGCGGGTAAAACCCATTGGATTTCAAGTCCAACTCCTTAACCACTCGGACACCTCAGCTGTTACATTCACTGTCGTAATGAACCCACTGTATAGTGTATACACAAATGTTGAAGACGTCACGACTCACGAATATTATACGTTTAGTTTTTTCATAATAGGTACATGCTACAGTTTTATAGTTTACTATTATATAATTTTGTATATTATGTGAATAAGGAACCTGATGCGTTTTGAAAACAAAAGTCGAAAGTAAGATCCGTACAAAGCGCCTACTATTTATATTTTAGCAATAACATAGTGCATTAAAAACTGTTTTCATATTTACCATTGTAACTCTCTTTATCCGACAAAATTTTAACTGTTTTGAATTTTATTATGGTATACAATTATGTCTTCATAATGAAACTGATTGACAGATTCAATGATTATTACGTAAAAAATGTTGGATGAAAAATTCTTACACTAATTTAGTATTTATTCTAATGAACAAACAATATTCTCTTCTCGTGTACGTCGGAAAATGAATCTTTAAGTATTTCTATAAACAAGTCTCCTACTATTTGCAGTCAGAAGTCAACCTATGTTAGGGGTAACATAAAAAGCTTTCGATCTTAACTCCTCAGTGAGTACAGGGTTGAGGAGTTATTGCTGGTGACCTGAATGTAGCCTGTTTTGTAAATCATTCACAGCCTCTCGTCGATCCGTGTCGAGTGTTGTGAGTGTTAATGTGTACTCACTGTGTTCTAATGTGTCTGTACTTCACATCAGACGTAATATCCAATAACACGGGACATTTATTATTTACTCAGCTTTATCCAAATTTGACCAATGTGAAGACGGACGTTGTGACCTTAACCTGAGTAAATTTCTGTAGTTTCGTAATTACTATGTTTTTTAGAAAAATATATCATATTCATATACTAGAAGACCCGGCAAACTTCGTATCGTCCTATAATCAAGAAATATCTGTTACGTTTTTTTATTTATATTTCTGGAGTTTACCTATTAAAGCCATAAATCTCCGTGTTTTGAAGTGCGACAGAATGATTGACATATTAGTTAGTTGTCAAATCTAATGTCAAAAAAAAACGTTTGTATCAACAACTACTAATAAATTAAAAATTAATTAAAAAACATTGTCCAGCGGACAAAATTGTAAATCTAAACCATTCCCAGATCCCCTTGAACAAGAACAAAAAAGTTCATCAAAATCGTTCCAGTCGTTTGAGAGAAGTTCAGTGACATACACACTCACAGAAAAATTATATATAAAGATATATAAAGTATATGATGTATAAAGATATATAAAGTATATGATGAAAATAAATTCTGTACTCTAAGTACGCTTTGGAAATATTAAGATCTACTTGCTCCAAGTTTAACAGTTTTATATTATTAAAAATTCTCCCATAATAGTACTGACGTAGGTTATTGAGTTAAACGGACAAAGTTTGGTATGTTTATTATTGAGCATTCGCTTAACTTATTACTGAGTACTGAGGAACTAATGTTATCCTCTGGATACATCCACAACAAACATCAGTTAGTAAACTAAAACTTTGTAATTTATAAAAAAAATAGATTTTTAAAATATGTTTTTATTTACTTCTGATAAATTAAATGTCATCCTTAACATTTTATAAGTTTTAATTCCCTTACGAGGATATTGCTACAACCATAATTGAATATCGACTCAACAATCCTACAACTGACTAAAACCCTTCATCCGTGGTAATCGTCACACATTTTCTGTTAAATGTCCACAATCCCTCTAGGGAACCGTCTAGACTTGGTCCTCAGTCTCAATCGCACCTAACTGTACTTCTCTTATATTTAAAGCGAGTTTTGACTGTACGAAATTATAAGAAAGGTTTAGTCTTTAAAATAATCAAGATTAAGGTGAATGTTGCACAACAATGACGGACATTAATTAGAGTGATTTTTGGTCGGAAAACAAAAAAACACAGTTTAATACAAAAATTAAATTCGTATTTCATAAAAATGTATTTCTTGTGTATTAAATAGCGGAGTTTGTGGCTACTGGTGTAGATATCAATAAAAATAAAGAAGACAGGATCATCCTATTCTGTTCTTGATTATTGAATTTTCAAATATGTTATATGTACCTATTTCTAAACACAAGTTCAAAGTTCAATGTCTAAAAAATGAGGGGCCATTCATAAACTATGTCACATGAATTTTAAAATCGTTGAACCCCCCCCCCCCCCTTATTGTCACATTTTTACACATCACATTTTTATAATCCCCCCTCCTGATGAGACTTCACACCTTTTCAAAATGTATGTATGTATTTAAATTAATTGAGACTGAACATTTATTTACGGTTTTTACTTATTTTTATAAATCTAATAAAATCTTATATAAAGTCCAACATTTCTTAAAATAGAAAAAACAAATTACTAGTTAATTAATATACCGATTAATTATATTAATTAAAGATAAAAAAACTTAATTATCCCGTGGACTTTGTATCCACTCTTTTATATCAGCTATTACTGGTCAATCAGGCATTTCATTTTCTTTCTGAATTAGGTCGTCAGGAATATCCTTGGTTTAGCTCTGGAAGTCAAATGACGTTAGATTAAAGATTATCTTATAGCGAGAATGTAAAATTATCAATAAATATAGATCAAGTTTTTTTATTTTCAATTAACATTCAAACTTTGCCTTTTTATTTTAATAAGTGACGTCACAATACTATTGACCCCGCATCCCCTTGTCACACGATGTCACACTTAAGTGATACCCTCTCACCCCATTAACGTGTGACAATAATATTTAAAAAATCTTGTTTAAACCAAAAATATAACATATGAAACATGTTCATCAAGAGTTATCATGTGTTAAAATTATGTAATGAAATTCTAATAATATTAATTTTTAAAGGCATTCTCACAGACTGTTCATATCTGACTGTGGATCTGGAGCTCCTTACTGTTAGCTGTAGCTACGTAATACTATACTTAATGCTACTCACAGTATCTTCGCATATTATAAAGATAATTACTTTAACACCGTTTATTAAATAAAATTTTCAAATTAAGTGACTGTAATGTCATCAATAGACTACTAGCAGTATTTCGCGACTTAACTAACAGCTGAGGTGTCCGAGTGGTTAAGGAGTTGGACTTGAAATCCAATGGGTTTTACCCGCGCAGGTTCGAATCCTGTCCTCAGCGGACTTTTTTTATATTTTTTAATAGCATTTTT